TTAAGCTGTTTAACCAGCGGATAATAAAAGTAAATAAAATACTTTATTAAATATTATATAGCCTTTAAGGCACTAATAAATTAACTATTAATATAATAAGTAATTTTATTAATAATATTAAACTAGATACATGCCTTTAGGAATCCCTTATAAATATACTTATAAATATACTTAATAATTAAAATATTTTAAATAACTTTTATATTAATATACGCACGGTAGTAATAAAAAAGGTAAGAAAAATAAGGTATTACTTATTTATTACTTATTTAAATTATCTTCTTTTTATTATTTAGGTTAGGGATATTAATATAGGCACTATTATTATATTATTAGTATTTAGGGTAATAGCCTTTATAAAAAATTATTTTAAAATAAAATAGCTTAAAAAAGCCTTTATTATATTTTTAAGGCTTTTTATTATTATTAAAATAATATAGCATGTTTAGCTTAAGCTTTTTATATAGCCTATAAATTATATTACCCTTAATAATATTAAATAAGGCCTTGGGATTAAAATCCCCTTTAAAAATAATATTTAAATTAAAAATTTTAGCTAAAATAAGGTTATTAATATTTTCTTATATGGTGAACCTTTGCTTAAGCTAATAAAAAATATAAAAATAAGGTAAACCTTGCTTTTAAAACTTAATAATAAAATAATAGGTAATATACTTATTAAACATGCTATTTTTAAATTTTTAAAGTATTATTTTATTTTTTATATAAAATATATAGTATACTAAATCCGGCCGGTCCTGCTAGTATTATATTAAATTATTATTATTATTTTAAATAAGCTTTCTAGTAACCTTTTCCCACCCTAAATTAGCTATAAAAATAATAAATAAAGTTAGGGTGCTATACCACAGCACCAGGGCTATAAAATTATAGTAAAACTTATATATATACTAATTACTACCCTTGTAATTAAAGCCTAAAAATATATATTTATTAACTTATACTAAATTATAATTTTTATTTAAGGCCCGAGAAGCACTATTATAATTAATAAAATAATAAGTTTTTTAGTTATAGTAAATATTAAATAAACATAAATTTTTTATATATAGCTAAATATTTATTAAAAATTACTAAAAAAGCATGCCACCCCGGTGTAAGATATTAAAACTCTTTTTATAGGTAAAAATATAAAACTAGTAAAATATAGTTATTATTATTTAATTTTAGTTTTTACTTTATTCTTATTTAGTTTATATTAAAGTATAAATTTTTTATTTATAAAAGTAGCCCATCCCACCCTTGGTGTAAAAAAGAATGTAGTAAAGTGGTAAATAAAATAGGTAATTAAAATTAATTATAGTAAGAAACTACTAAGGTGCTAGATTATTTTTATTTTTAATAACAGGAATATTAATATTATAAGGGTTTATTTTAGGGTGTAACTTAGCTAATAGGGGATTATTAAATAAGTTTAGTAACTTTTTAAAAAAAAAACAAGATTTTATTTAACTTTTATTAAATAAATATTATTAGTAATAGCAGGGTTAAGCTAATATTTTAAGGGAAAGATTATAAAAATATTAGGTATAAAAACACCTATTTTAAATATTTTTAATTAAAAAAAAAGGTTATAGCGCTTGCCCAGCTTACTATTAGTTATAAATTATATTTAAGGTGTTAACCATAGGAAGCCAAGGTCTATATTTTATTTAAAAATAAACTTAGCCTAAAAAAAATATTATACTATAGGTTATATATATAAATAAACTAATTAATTTACTCCAGGGCCTTTTTAACCCTATTTAAAAATATATTACACCCTAAATAATATTTAAGGGCCTTAATAAAATTAAGCTAGTATATTTATATAAATATAATATTATTACTTTTTTATAAATTACCCAGGGGGCCTATATAATAATAAATAAATTTTTATATTTAAAATATATAATTAATATTATTAGGACTAGCACGGGCATAATATTTTATAAATAAACTAGCATAGGTAAAAAAGCTATTAACTAATTAAATATTATATATAAACCTGCTATACTTCAGGGAGTTTTTATTAAAAATTTACTAAATTAAAAAGTTAAGGCTAGGCTTTAGGTAAAAATTAAAATTATTTTAAAGGTTTATGCTACTAGCCATGTAATATTTTTAAAAATTATAATACTTATTAATATAGTTAAAAAAGGTATTTAAACACCATGTAATCTTTTTTTTTATAAATAAAAAGTAATAGCTTGGGTAAGTAACCTTTATATAATTTAAAATTAATAATATTTAAGTGCCACGCCTAAAAAAACTAGTAATTATAATTAAAATATTTTTTAAAGCCCGTGCTAGTATATCCAGCAAGAGCTTTTAATAAAAAATATATTTATTTAGTAAATTAGCTAAATTTAAAACCTTTTTATAAGTAAAATACTTTTAAGTAGTAGTTACTTAAAGCTAGTTATATTTTTAGCATGGCTTATAATAAGCATAATAGCTATTAATTATTTAATAATTATACTAGGCCTAATAAGGGCGCTTTATAGCACCTAGTTAATTAATTAGGCGTAGTTAATTATAGGAAATAAAAAAAAGGTTATTATATAATATAAATATTAGTATAAACTAGGTTAGCTTAAAAATAACTATGCCTAAAAAACCTAGCGCTAGGGGGCTTAATACTAAGGTTAATAATAATATAAAGAAAAATAAAAATAAAGTAAATATAAAAAGCATAGGCTAATAAATTAAAAGGGTAATAACTATACTTAAAATAATATTTAGGGCTAAAAAAATTAATAAAAATTATTAATAATAAATTAAATATACCAAGCGGGAGCATATAAAAGTAAAATTAACTATATAAATAAGGTATTTATAACTTTTAAAGTTATAGCTATTATTATAATATACTTAGCCCTTTTTAAGGGTTAATAATTTACAAGTCTTATAAAAAAATAAAAAAGCAGGAAAACAGCCTATAATACTAGTAATTAAAAGCATAAAAAAAATAAATAAAAATAAAACACTAAATAAAGTGTAAAAAGGCATAATAAAATAGCTAAATTTATAAAATAAAAAGTACTATAAATAAGGAACAAAGCTATACCTAAAAATAAAATAAATAATAAAATTATACTAAACAGGGTAAAAAACTAGGAGTAGCTAATTATAATAAATAATATAAAAAAATACTAAAAAAATAAAACATGTAACACAAGAACTATTAATTTTATACTTATATAACCTATTTTTTTATACCTATATAACCTATTATTATTACTTATTATAAAACTTACTAAAGCTAAAGACATGGACCGCACGGCCTAATATAAAAGCCTAAATAATTTATTTACTAAATAGTATAATATAGATTTTATAAACCTAGATAATTTATCCTAGAATATATATAAATATACTAATTATTTTAATTTAAACTTTTATTTACGTACTAATTACCTGCTATACTTATAAATACTTAAGGCTATTTATAAGACACACGGGGTAAATAATAAAAAAGTATAAAAAAAAATTTAATTATTTTATACTAAAGATATTTAAAAAGGGTTAACCTATATATAGGTATAATAAAATAAATTAAAGGTATAATATTATAAAATATAATATTAATAAAAAGCCAAGGCTAAGGCATGTTAAAAAATAATAACTTAAAAATTATTAAATACATAAAATAAAAATAAAGTAGCTAAAATTATTACGCGGTGTAAAAAGTAAAAAATAAAAATTAAAGTATTTATAATAAATATATATATTATTATAGCATGCCTTATTTATATATATATATATTAATAAGCGGCTAAAAGTATATATTATAAATAATATATTATTACTAAACCCTGTAATAATATTAATAATAATAATATTAATAATACTTATAAATTTTAAAGCCTTAAAAATATAACCTATAATAAACCCAGCCTAAATTAATATTAACCTGCTAACTTAAATATATAAAAAATATATAATAAAATAAAATAATAGTATATAAGGGGTAGTATAGTAATATATATAAAAAAAAATTAATAAATTAAAAACATGTATATAAAGGGAGCTATTTAAGCTATAAATTAAAATAAAAAAAAAGTTTAATAAAATTAAAAAAAGCGCTTAAAAGGAGCTTAATAAAAGACTTAAAAAAATAATAAAAATAATAAAAAAGTTAATAAAGTACTTAAACAGGGGCTAATATACTAGGGCCTAAAAATTAAAGCTTTTTTAAATTAAAATTATTTTAATAATAAGTAAATTTACAAGCCTAATTTATATAAAAATATTAACTATACCACTTTTAACCTATATAAACTAAGCCCCTTAAAATAATAATTATATAAAAAAATATTTATAATTATAAAAATAAAAAAAAAATAGCTATAAAAATTATAAAAAAAATTACTAAAATTATAAGCAAGCACTATATATAAAAAACACGGTTTTTAAAAGCATGGTAGCCAGGCAAACAAAAAATTATGGGGTATAAAAGTAGTGCCTACTAATACCTGTAATACCCGGCGATAGTGGGGCCCACTAACTAATCAGAGGATAAATAAAACCGGGCTGTCGTAGTTACGATACAAATATAAAGGACTTGGCTTTTAGGTAGGTAATACTGTATAAGGAGCCTAGATTTTACTGGTACACGGCGAACTATGCTCGATGTGGTCTATAATGTTAAAAATACTGAAACTGAGAATGTGAGAGATGGCTAGACTGAGCATCGACTCGGGGTATCTACCTAGGGAATTCGAGGAGCTTCATAATCGTCTCTACTGGAAAACATCTCTCCGTTCGCGCCGAACAATGATGCCAATCCCATGCCTTCCATATACAACGCCAAGGTTTAATAATGACAACCGAAAGGATAAAGAAAAGGTGGAAAATATCAGTCAACCCAATGTCCATATAACTGAAATCAATGCTATGCTGCCGATATGTTGACCGTATTTGTGACTTGACATCCGGTATGTCGATTCCAGAATTAACAGCGCAAGTCAGGAGCGGGTAAGGAATAACCCGGGCACTTAACACCTAGAAGCAATCAGTAATCAATCACCAGAAAATAGGCACCGGCCACTTACATTCTATAGAAACAGCCGCCCTCTGCATAACGTGTCTGATCTTGCGTCTCCAGCTTGTACGTAAGGTTGATGTCGAGGTCGCGCTTGTTCTTATCATTTGGCCGGTTCGAAAGGACACCGGAGATAGACTCCTCCTCCTCCACAGTCAAAACATCACGCAGGTAGAAGACAGTCTGCTTCCAATGAGTGTACTTGGCGTGAGGACCAGTGGAAAACGTGATGGGCTTGTGGCAGGCGCCAAACTCGATGTCGAACCACGCGATCACGGCATGGACGAAGTCGCTACGCTTCACGGGAAGTGAGTACGGAACTTCGAAAGCCAAGTCCTCCTTGGTGACTGTGTATAGATCGAATGTGATGATCGGACAAGGATCAGTGGCGAGAGCCTTGAGCTCAACGGTGTCGACGAGAGGTTCCGTGAGAGCGGTCTCCTTCATGGGGCTGTAGTCAAAGCCGTACACATTGTCCCAGACTGGAACTGTCAGCGCATGTTGTCTGAGAACACCGAAACAATTGACTGCTCACATCCAATCTTGTCATCCTTGTAATCCCCATCCTCGATTCCAGCCAGGTACATAGTAGCCTTGTCAGGGAAGATCTTGCCGCCCGGAACAAGGTAGCGGTCACGAGCATACAGAACAGTGTCCAACATGCTCTCGTAGAGGAGGAAGTAGCCCATCCACTCCGAGATGATGATGTCGACGGCGGGGAATGGAAGCTGGACCTCCTCCATCTTTCCCTGGAGCAGCGTAATCTTATCAGACAGGCCGTTGACAGCGACGATCTCTCGGGCCTTCTCGATAATTGACGACATATCAACACCGATTACGTGCTTGGCGCCGGCCTTCGCAGCGAACCTTTGAACATGAATCGTCAGAGTGATGTTACGCGGGCTTTAGATACTGGGCACATACATGCTGAGAATACCTGTTCCGCAGCCGACGTCGAGAACAACCTTGTCCTTGAAGATATGGCGGTTCTGGTAGATAGAATCACGGTACGACCTGGTCCGGACATCGTCTTTCTAATATCACACATGACAAATTAGTTCACCTGCTGGTTCTAACGTCTGGATCGTACAACTTACAAGCATCTCCTCGTGGATGCCTGAGCGGGGTTCCATGTTAGCATGTTCGAAACCATAGGCGCGGGTTATAGGTAATGTATTTACCATGGTGGTCGTAGCTATTATCTGGTTAGTACTTTGTAGGGTTGAAATGAAGTTCAACTGCTCTTACCTAGTGAAGTAGCGCACTTCAGCATGGTCCATGCCCACCATGCGGTCAGCGCTGCTGCTGGTAATAGCAGAGTTCTCGATCTCGCTCATCTTGGCTAAGAGTCCTTTGATGTCGGGGAGGGGGTGTAGGAATACGAGAGGGATGACAGGAGGAGATAGAGAGACCTAAGTCGCGGTAGAATAGTATAGACAGAAGCAAAGGGAAAAAGAAATCACCGTGTCTGGAGTAGATTTTCAGGTTTCCGGGTCGACTTGTCGCTCTTTTTTTTTTGGACTTTTCCCTGATTGGGAATTTCTCCTTGGGCGGTGGCCAGAAACGCTAGTACTACAACGGACTAGCGCGGCTTATCGGTTTATCTCCATGTGACTTACCAGCCCTCTTTCATGATTAGGGTAGTACTATTTTCAATGTTGACCTGGTTACGGGAGTACCTCGGCAGCAAACGACCTTACTAGTTAACTACATGCCCGTCCTGGCTGAGAATTTCAGAGATATAACGGCTAGCGCTTAGAAGTTGTGCTGTAATTTCTACGGAAATGACAAAAGTGATCTATCCTTCTGACTTCTTGGAGTCTATTCAATATTGGAACAATGTTCATACTGTAGATCTTAACGCCAAGAGGTTACTCCGCTAGAGCTCCGTGGTTGCTCCGTTCCTTGGGCTAGCCCCGAAGCGCCGTCTCCCTCCTCCGGCCCCAGGCGTAATCTTGCGCGACTCTGAAGCTGTTTGCGTCTTCCGAATAGTACACCTGACGATGATCTTGAGACCGGCCGCCAGGAAGATCTGCTACTGCTTCCTCTTTCTTCTTCTGGCAACTTATGTTAAAGAGTCGTCTGCCTCATTAGGGGATCACCTTCCCGATTTCAAATCATGCGTCAAGGTACATTTGTCCACCAGCCGCGCTTTCGTTCAAACCGGGCTCATTGAAACCTAGATATGCCAATCTGAAAACTGTCAGAATGGAGACTCGGCTATTCGTATGCTTCGTGCTTCGCTATGACCATCGTCGTGTACTTTCAAGCTGACTATGAGCGACTAGCTTTCCTTCTCCGGCTGATGCTCTGGACGTGCCCCGCCGAATGTGACTATACCTGCCAGCATGTTGTGACTGACCGTCGAGTTGCTCGCGATCCGCCGATGCTTAGCCCTGTTGTTCAATTCCACGGGAAATGGCCATTTCGCAGAATATTGGGCATGCAAGAATTATTTTCGGTCCTCTTCTCTGGCCTTAATTTTCTCGCTCATTGGTACGGGATGTCTCGGATTCGTGAAACAACTCCTTCATGGCATCCTTTACAGAAATATTACATCGCATTCGGATATAGCGGCCTGGCAGCCTGGACTTTCAGCATGCTCTTTCACGCCCGGGATTTTCCCTTGACAGAGAAATTGGACTATTATGGTGCAGGTGCTAGTGTACTGTATGGACTGTACCTTGCTACGGTGCGCATTTTCCGCTTGGACAAAGAGCAGCCGAGATACAGGCCGACGCTGCGGCGGCTTCTGACCACAGTCTGTATCCTTCTTTACACTCTTCATGTGTGCTATCTCAGCTTCTGGTCGTGGGACTACACATACAATATGATTGCCAACATCGTGGTGGGTATGATTCAGAATACTTTGTGGATTTGCTTCAGCGTCGTCCGCTACCAAAAGACCAGTAAACCCTGGACCCTCTGGCCAGCGCTGATTGTGATTTGGATTATCTTAGCCATGAGCCTTGAACTCTTGGATTTTCCACCGTGGTATGCGCTGATCGATGCCCACAGTCTGTGGCACTTGGGGACTGTTATCCCGTGCGCATGGTGGTATCTGTGAGTTTGAACCTCCCAAACTAGCTGGCCAAGCACTAATGAAACTGGCAGATACCTCGTGAAGGACATCCAAGATGACATGGCTGGAGAGAGGTTAAAAGCTTAAAATAGCTGGAACTATAAACAAGTTTTGAAAGCTGAAACTTAGCACAGCCGCATGGCGGGAGGTGGTCAGCTCGTTCGTCCAGATGACCGATCACAAGTGGCATGGCGAAAGGTCGTGGATCTCGTATAGATATACTCCTACCGCCAGTGTATATTAAATACAAAAAATTCTCTGCCAAAATATTATTCTACAGGGACGGGGAAGTAAACACTCACATTGTGCTTTCCGAAGCTGTGATTTGTTCAAATCTACAAGCTGTTGAGCCCACGGTCCACCAAATTTTGGCTCACCGCTCGAGGCTGCCCCACTCTGATAGGGCCCAAGGACCACTGATGTTTTGCTGGCACGGCCGCCAGCAAGGAACCCAGCCTAGTAAAGTGTCTCACTTGTGCTCGCAGCATCTCACACTCTTTTCTTTTCTCCCCCCTTCCTTGCTTGATTTACGTCCTCCATATCTTTGCCTTCTTCTCACACGCTATCTTACACCTCGACCCATTCACAGCTGAATTCGCGCCATAATGGCGTCTCCAGAAATCAAGAAGGCCATCGCAGAGGCCGCATCGCAGTATGCGAAGCCTGAAGGAAAGATTTTCCAGTACGGCACTGCCGGAGTAGGTGACTGTGCAATTTCAGCCTCGTGGCGCTTGGATGATGAAGCTAATATCATATTTGCCGTCTGCAGTTCCGCATGAGGGCGTGAGTAATCTTGTTTTCGTTCTACCCCTTCCTTGAGGATCTGCCTCCCCGCATTCAACCCCGCGATCGGCTTTGTTTACACCTTCTCTAATGCACTCATGTGTCAGTGACTACCTCAACACAGTTGTTTTCGCCGTTGGGCTACTGGCAGGGTTACGTTCTAGGAAGCTTAGTGGACAATGGGTTGGTGTTATGGTCACTGCCAGTCACAACCCTGCCGAGGACAATGGTGTCAAGCTCGTGGATCCCATGGTGAGCTCTTGGCTGTCACTGCGAATTACATTGAGCCACAACTAACGTATCCTTTAGGGCGAGATGTTAGAGGTCTGATTTACGGTGTCTAGTTTTCTCTCTGGGCGATTGCTCACTATTTCACAGGCCGAGTGGGAAGCTCATGCGACAAAACTTGCCAACGCTCCTATGGAATCAATTGCTGATGTATACGAAGAGCTTATCAAGGAAATTGATGTCAGCATGGAAAACCCAGCGCGCGTTGTCTTTGCCCGGGATACTCGCGCATCCGGATCTCGTCTTGTCGGAGTTCTCAATGCTGCTCTCACCGTCACTGAAGTCGAGTTCGTTGACTTCAAATTCATGACCACCCCCCAGCTTCACTATGTTGTCCGGTGCAAGAATACGCTGGGAACACAGTATGAATACGGCGAGCCGACTGAGCAAGGATACTACGAGAAACTTGCCACGTCTTTTAAGAAAGTTATGCGGGGCGTCAAGGTCAATGGCTCACTGACCGTTGATTGCGCTAATGGTGTCGGTGGACCGAAGTTGCGAGAGCTCATCAAGTATTTGCACAGCCCTGAGCAGGGTGGCGTTGACATCAAAATTGTGAATGATGATGTGATCAACCCCGATAGTCTAAACTTCGACGTATGGCTCTGACTCGGTCACCATCATTGGGGAACACAGTGACTAACATTATACAGTGTGGTGCCGACTATGTCAAGACAAAACAGCGTGCTCCTCCCTCATCCAAAGCATCCGCTCTCGATCGATGTGCCTCTCTTGACGGAGATGCTGACAGACTCATTTACTACTTCATGGATGAGGGTAACGTCTTTCGCATGCTTGACGGTGACCGAATTGCCACGCTTGCAGCTTCATTTATTGGCGACCTTGCCCGGAGTGCAGGTATCGCTAGCAAGCTCAAGATTGGTGTCATCCAGACGGCCTATGCCAATGGTTCCAGCACAGATTACATCGAGAAAGTTCTTAAACTTCCTTCTGTTTGCACGAACACTGGTGTTAAGCACCTTCACCATGCTGCTCTTCGTTTCGATGTTGGAGTCTATTTTGAAGCGAACGGACATGGTACTGTCACTTTCTCTGAGAATGCTCTTAAGACTATCAAAACCACAGAGCCTCAATCACCAGCGCAACAGCGAGCGCTGGAATGTCTGGATGCACTCACAGACTTGATCAACCAAGCTGTTGGCGACGCTCTTAGCGACCTGCTCCTCGTTGAGACCATTCTTGCCCACAAGGGCTGGACTCCCACAGAATGGCTGGCCACCTATACGGACCTGCCCTCAAGGCTTGTTCGCGTGGAAGTTGCTGATCGTTCCATCTTCAAGGCCTACGATGCGGAGCGTAAGCTGGAGTCGCCTCCTGGTCTCCAAGCCAAGATTGAGTCTTTGCAATCCCGATACAACAAGGGCCGAAGCTTCGCTCGCGCAAGTGGCACCGAAGATGCCGTGCGTGTCTACGCCGAGGCCGCGAGCCGATCAGAGGCAGACGATCTCGCCACTCGCGTTGCAAATGCAGTCCGCGATGCTGGTGCGAAGGAAGTCATCCAGTAGTTCGAAGAATGTAATGGCCAAGCTCAGACCACCTTGGAGAGGACAGTCCAGGCTCAGGAAGCTTTGATCGGAAGTCACTTGTTGCTCCTTGAAAAATGTTTATGGGAATTACTTACGACACTACCAGTCTATCCTATCTTATAACTGAGTAGGAAATATGATGATTACAATGGGCGCTCTCTTTGTTTGCCAGATCTCATCGCATCGGTAAGCTGATTTCATTTACGAATCATTACTGAAGTCGAGACAATCTAGGAGTTGGGTATTGTTCTTAACTCAACGCTGTGTATATAAAACCAGTCATTTCAACATAATTCTTGATTACCTAGCAGAATCCTAACCTTCCTGCTGTTACATCTTACCCTCTACAGTTCCTCTTTGTTAGATTCTCCCCTCGCTTTATGTCGATTGTGATGAATTGCGCTACCACGTCAATGCCTCCGACGACGACAGCGCAGCGACTCTGATTGTTGATCCAACCGTTCCATAATCCTGCAAGGTTTGATATGGAACTCGCGAGTGAGAGCTAGGCCCAGTCAAAAGGGTGTTAAGGATGATTCTATGAGGACTTCGAAGCATAGTAGGGCAAAGGCCAGCCGTCTTTCCACTTCCAGTTTCTGTAGGACCAAGAACATCTCTATATTCCAGCGCTGAATAGCGTTCACTTGAATCATGGCGGTGACCTTGTAGCCCATGTTCTCACAGGCCTCATCACATGTTTGGTGATGATTCTTAGGATATCGCCGCCACGGCCTCTTTGCCTGTAGTTTCCAGATCACCGTTCACAGAAACGCGAGAGTAACAGGCTCAACGTCAGAGCCACTGTTAGGCCCCAGCTGATTTTGCGTGACCTTGCGCTTTTCAAAGCCAACCCGTCGACAGAATGATACAGTTAGGAAGACGTCTCCGCAGCTGGAGCCAATAGATATACGTATGGGATGCCGCGGAAACATTGATCCGGCGGTATTTTTGGAGCCCGGACTTTATCTTTTTTTTCCGCCCAGAAAAAAGATCAGTTGAACCACGAATGAGGATACATTGATTGTTCTCTATTTCAACAGACCATTTAACTATGGCCAGGCATACAAAGAGTCGTACTCAGCCTAAGCCGCCAAGCGGCCCTGCGAATGGCAAAGGCAGCGCGGCGTCTGTGAGCAAAACTCCGAAGTCTATGGTTATCCGTATCGGAGGTTCTCGAGTCGGCAGCAGTGTCAGCCAACTTGTAAAAGATGTTCGTCTCATGATGGAACCGGATACAGCAGTGCGACTGAAGGTAAGCCTTGCGCTTCCAGTCTATTATTTGGATTGTATACTCACTAGGCCAGGAACGCAAATCGAACAGACTTAGGGACTACACGGTCATGGCCGGCCCTCTCGGTGTCACCCATCTCCTTCTTTTCTCAAAGTCGTCCACCGGAAACACGAATATGCGCTTGGCGCTTACACCGCGCGGCCCTACCCTCAACTTCAAAGTGGAAAGCTACTCTCTGTGTCGTGACGTCGAGAAGGCTCAAAAACGCCCACGAGGCGGAGGTCAGGATCACAAGACACCACCTTTGCTTGTGATGAACAACTTCAACAGTGCCGATGCCGACGAGAACTCGAAGGTGCCTAAGCGCCTTGAAAGCCTCACGACCACCATATTCCAGTCACTCTTCCCGCCGATCAACCCTCAAGCCACACCTCTCCAATCTATCCGCCGTGTAATGCTACTGAATCGAGAGCCGGCTTCTGAGTCTGATGACGAGGGCTCTTACGTGCTCAACTTGAGGCATTATGCGATTACCACCAGAAAGACAGGCATTTCCAAGCGAATTCGACGGCTAGATCCGAAAGAAGTGCGAAATAGAGAAAAGCACAAGTCTGCTGTACCCAATCTGGGAAAGCTAGAAGATGCCGCAGACTATCTGTTAGATCCTTCGGCCGCGGGCTATACGTCAGCCAGTGAAACAGAGCTAGACACGGATGCAGAGGTCGAGGTTGCCGGAACCACTACAAGGAAGGTTCTGACGAAACGGGAGATGCAGCGCATGAAGTCGGGAGAGAAAGTCGGCAATAAGACAGCCACGACGGAAGTCGAAAAACGGGCTGTCAAGTTGGTTGAATTGGGCCCGAGGTTGAGACTCAGACTGATCAAGGTCGAGGATGGATTGTGCGAAGGACGGGTTATGTGGCATGACTACATCCACAAGTCTCAGCACGAGGTCGATGCATTGGATAAGAACTGGGATAAGAAGATGAAGGAGAAAGAAGCCCGGAAGAAGCTGCAGAAGGAAAATGTCGAACGGAAGAAGCAGGAGAAAGCTAAAGCTCGTGCTGAGGGCAACGAAGTTGAGGACGACGAAGATGACCTGGACGATGAGGATCTCGACATGGATGATGAGTGGGTTAGCGATGACGAGGTAGATGAGGACCAGGGAGAGGTGGAAGAAGAAGATGGTGATGAGTCTATGGATGAGTGAAATACCCTGCATTAAGGTCATATATGAACATGTCATCACATGATTCATTTGCCCGCAATCACCGATCTGCAGCGCACCTCCTTCTGCCCGCACCGGCACAGCTGCCTTCCCGCACCCAATGCGGCTGTTTTTGCGCATATGGAGGGTGTTTTCACGATGAGATCCGCTGGTAACTCATCCAAGTCGACATCATATTCCCGAATCAGCGTCAAGCCCCTGTGAGAGTCGCATGTTACGGGTCGTTCAGCTAAGCTGGATGCATATCATGAACCGTATACCATCCATTAGGATACCAAAATATACCCACCATCCTAGACTCAATTGTATGTAGCGTGAACCGATTACACACGGTACTTAAGTTGTAGCATTTTCTTCTCCAAGTCATTGTTTCAGCTTCTCCTCCACTATCCGCTCAACCATCTTCTCCAAGATACTCATATTTCCACCTGCCGTGCCAGCAAAATACGCCTGCACGCCCTTCTCAACGTATTTGGCCATAACATCAATCTCCACATTCACAAAATCTCCAACCTTCTTCGCGGCCGTCACAATCTTTTCCTGCGTATAGGCAATAAGCATAATCTCAAACCACCCGTCCTCGCCATCCTTCACCTGAGTAATCGTCAAACTCGCCCCATCAAGTGTAATAAACCCCTTCTCCACGATGTACCGCAGGACCGCAGGATCGCGCGGCTGCAGACGAAGGACGAGCGAGTTCTCATCGGGCGTCGTGGCAATGATTTTCGCGATTGTGTCGACGTGGCCCTGCACAATGTGTCCGCCCATTCGGGTCTCGCCTTTCACGGCGCGCTCGAGGTTCACTTGGGATGTTTCTGTGAGGGAGCCAAGGTTCGTCCGCCGGAGGGTTTCGGGGGCCACGCCAACTTTGAACCAGGACTTTTCGAAGGCTGTCACGGTGAGGCAGGCTCCTGTGGTTGCGTCAGTGCTAGGTTCGTAGTGTGGAAATACAGCCTATATCAAGTGCGGAGTTGTGATCCATAAGGAATTCTGGGATTGACGTACCATTGACACTGATGCTGTCGCCCAATTGCACATCGGTCAAGATATCCTCGCAATCGGTGATGGTCAAAGATGTACCCTCACCCCCGCTTGCTGAGGTGTCGAAAGGTTCAAGGGACGAGACCGCTAATTCCTGCGGTTAGTTCTTACACAGAAGCAGCCAAGGCAATGCGTTCTACTCACTCCCAATGGCCTCAACTAGTCCGGTAAACATGGCGGGAGTAGGAGGAAGGTCCGGCTGGAGCTATCCGCAGCGGAAGAGGGGTGGAAGTGGAAAAGGCAGTGTTGATGATGCAGCACGGCCGATGGAGCTCTAGTTGCCAGCATTTGTCAGCGCTTACACAGGCCGTTTTCCAGATCATTGTGAAGCAAGCTTCCATACTCACGACAATAATAGTGTTCCGCGTAGGTAAAAGAGGTCTTGGAAGACGCGTGATGCAATGATCGGAGATCGGAGACGAAATGCTTAGCGGAACATGCGGGTCGACCTCGGCTTTGGGGTCGTCGGCGATGGGGCCGGCCGATTCGGGGAGCTTCTGCATACTTGTTGCTTTCTCCTTCTTTGGTCGATTGAGTGGCCTCTTTCGGATGTACACTCGTCCCAGACACTCATAATGCATGCGACGTTCAGGTCACAAATCGCGCTAGTTGCCCAGCGCCCCAGCCTTCAGCAATCAATCAAGAGCAGCACCTTCAGGCGATCGAGACAATGGCGTTCCTACTCTACTCCGCTGCCTGATGGAACACTGCCTCTCCAGGGTATTCGGGTGCTTGATATGACAAGAGTCCTTGCCGGGGTGAGTTTGGCTCATGAATTCCTCCGCCCAGAGCCAATTGCGTGCGGGGTACATGCTGACTCGAGCATAGCCGTACTGTACACAGATCCTCGGAGACTTAGGGTATGTGGCTGTTTGGGACATTCCAGCCATGATAGTGCGCGAGGACATCATCCTAACTTACAACTGCGTCTCAGGGCGGACGTGGTCAAGGTGGAACATCCTGTGCGGGGAGACGATACTCGGGCGTGGGGACCCCCATACGCCAAATACAAGGACGGTCCGCAGAAAGGCCCCGGGGAAAGCGCATATTACTTAGCTGTATGTCATGATCCGATGAGAATGCGTCTTGATATGTCAGACGCAATTAACTCGTGCTCAGGTCAACCGCAACAAAAAGTCGCTCGGCCTCTCGTTTGCTCACAAGTCCGGTGTCGATATCCTCCACAAACTAGTCAAGGAGTGCGATGTCCTAGTCGAGAACTACCTCCCTGGAAGCCTCAAGAAATATAACATGGATTACGAGACCCTACGCCAAATCAATCCTAGCCTAATCTATGCCAGTATTACGGGATACGGCCAGACTGGACCCTACAGCAACCGCGCTGGGTACGATGTGATGGTGGAAGCTGAGATGGGGCTGATGCACATCACTGGGAGTAGAGGGGGAGATCCGGTCAAGGTTGGTGTGGCCGTCACGGATTTGACAACAGGATTATACACGTCCAATGCGATCATGGCCGCCTTGCTTGCCCGGGCAAGAACTGGGAAAGGACAACACATCGATAGCGCGTTGAGCGACTGCCAAGTTGCAACACTTGCCAATATCGCAAGCTCTGCTCTTATTAGTGGACAGAAAGATTCTGGACGATGGGGTACTGAGCATCGTAAGTGCCAAAATCCATTATCATTATCCTCTCGGATCAGGAGTACTGACGATCTCAAGCATCCATTGTTCCGTATCGAAGCTACCAAACACTTGACGGGGATATCCTATTTGGGGGCGGCAATGACAGGCTATTCGGTGTCTTGTGCGATCGACTAGGACACCCCGAGTGGAAAGAGGACCCTCGATTTCTGACCAACAGTGACCGTGTAAAGCACCGGGCTGAAATTGATGGCTTGATTGAGGACTGTGTCAAGCAGAAGACAACACAGCAGTGGCTGGAAATCATGGAAGGCAGTGGGATGCCCTACGCGGCTGTCAATGATATCCAGGGGACCTTGAATCATGCGCACGGTGAGTTTTCCAAAACAAGACGGTCAGTCCGTTTCTCTAACAAGTTCACTGTCTAGTCCGAGCTCGCGGAATGATCACCGAAGTGGATCATCCAACGTGTGGTCCTGTCAAGTTGGTAAACACTCCGATCAAGTATTCCCATGCAACTCCTGGCGTGCGGACGCCCCCTCCAACCCTCGGGCAACACACCGACGAGATTCTCGGAGAACTTCTCCAATATGGCAAAAAAGAGATATCTCAATTGAAGCAGGATGGCATTGTATCATAGACGAAGTATACTGGGACAATAGACGAAGCATGCACACTTCATACTGAATGTTCATGGGAGTGGGACAGATGGTTGGGCCCATCCGTTTCGTTTTTGGCCGTGGAATTTGGGGAGCAATGACGATCAATAGCATAGCGAGTTTTCCGACACGTATTGTAGAGCCATCAGATCCAAATAGCGAGAATGGTGTCTCACTGCAAGGACTCTAGAAGAAGCTCAATGGGTATCAGCTTGCCGTTCTGGCATGATTGACACATCACGTGACCCTGCGTGTATAAATCCTTGGGTCCGTCGAACTCGATAAAGTCCTCCTTTAGGCCCATAGACAACAAGCACGATCCATTCTCTATAAAGCCTACTCGCTGACCCTTGGAATCAACCTCCGGATATCTCTACCAATTTGCTCGGGGGCATGTCCCAGCAAAATGGGGTTTTTCCATCCCTCGCTTCTATAGAAGCCGCGCCACCAACCCACGGATCTGAGACCAGGAGCACTACTGGCTCTCTGTCATATTCGCATCCGTCAACCTCATACAACTCGCCTACCAGGCCGCATGGATCCACTTCCAACCGGTCTGGTACAATATCTACTAGGGTTCATATCCCAAAGCTTTCGGCAGCTACGACGGAGCTCCTTGCGCGGATCGCGGGTAATATCAAAGGAACGCAGCAAAAAGTGCGGAGAGATGACCAAACACCAATCAGCTTGAACCCTTCGCCTTTGAGCTTAAATCAAAATACTCAAAACAGCAAATTCAGGCGTGCAGGCAGGATGAGGTTTTCTTCCATTATCATCGAGCTTCCAGAGCCACCCTTCGTATACCCATCCAGGGTAGAGGCGCCTGCTGTTGCCCCAAGTCCTGCTCCTGAGTCTCAGCCGCCCTCCAACGGCATCAATGGAGCATTATCTGAACCTGATGGCTTGGTTAATATCGCTTCTAAGCCATCAGTACCCTCTCCAACCTCAACAGCCGCACCAGCTGTCCCACAAGTGCCAGAACAGACACAGCTACCGTCAAACCAATTACGATCTTCCAACGACCTCAATGGATCTCTTATAAAGGCTGATAACTCGACAAATGCTGTTCTCAGACCATCGGTGCCGCATTCAGCATCATTACCAGGGCAAGTGAGATCGGAAGAGCCAGCTCATACGCAACCACCGTCAGAAAATCAATCACTATCGTCTAGCGTCATCGACGGGGCTCTAGCAAAGCACAGCTCGGCCCATAATGATCCTAGTCCAGCGGTGTTATATCCAACACAAACACCATTACCAGTTGGGCCATCGACCCATACACTATTACCATCGCATCGCACATCATCTGACAACGTTCATGATTCTTCAGCGAAAACCGATGACTTAGTTAATATCGCTCCGGGGCCGCTTGTGGCAGATCTAAGTCCAGCGCCAGCGCCTGTCCCAAAAGTATTAGTCGGTATACAACCGTCGTCAGGGCACCAGCCGCCTCGACCATCAGCACCATCAGCACCATTGGCACGAGTTCCCACGATATTGAAGGTCCCTAGTTCATATTTACTCAGACTCTCGACAACGGCGCCTAGCAAAGCCACATTTACAGCTAGTCAACGGCGAGGCTCTGGGATCAGAAAAAGTGGATCGAACAAGCGCAAACGTGGCCATGACAGTGACGGTGAAGATATCATCCGAGCCGTCGACTCTAGCTCAGACGAGTCAGATATCGCACCGACGGCAACGCAAACAACATCTGGTAGGCAAGTGAAAAGACCTTCGTTATATGTGCCTTCACCTCTCACCCCAGCTCTTCCCAGAGAAAGCAGTAGCCTTGTTGGGACTTCCGACAGAGCCAAAGGGCGTAAGCAAGCCTCTAGAAAGGTTAAAAGCACAAATATCAGATGCGTATATTGCGAACGCGGCCATAGTCCATCCAGCAACACTATCGTGTACTGCGATGGGTGCAATCGCCCATGGCATCAGCACTGTCATGACCCGCCCATCGAGAATGAGGTAATTGCTCTTAAAGAGAAGGAATGGTTCTGCCGGGAATGCAAACCCGTGGATATTACTATGCGTCATCCGACGGTTGTCAGGAGCAATCCAAGTCTAACCTCTAAGCCCCCTGTTCACCCTCCGTTAACAATACCCAAAACTGAGGTGGGAGGGGAGCGCTTTCCTACAGATGACCGACGAAGGTTCCTGTCGACTCTCTCGCATGCCGCACTCGTCGAGCTTCTTCTCGCCGTATCGAATGATAACCCGACGGTACCCATGTTTCCTGGGAACATGGGGTTGCTGCCGTCATCAAACTTCGCGGCCTCACAAGCTATTGTAAACGGAACCATAGCTACCTCTACATCATCACCTACTAACGGTGCCGATCCCACACCGAGGGCTGTCGCAGTTTCTAATGGACAGCCAACGCCAGATGTCGCTTCTGAGCGCACTGACAGGAGAAATTACCGCGAGTCTTCCGAAGAGGACTCCGACTATGGGTTCCAGGACCATCGTCTATATCCACGAGCTGGGAACGGGGTACGTCTTTCGACCAATGAGGAAGATCTCGATATTCTACGGGAAGACCCGACTTGTAGTACGTTTAGCTATGCATTGCACGCACCAGCAACCGGTGTCATTGGAAACGTTTCTGCTTAGCATTTCTTGAGGCTATCCCTATGCTTTTTGTCTTTCTAGTGCGAATTTTTCACCGGTCAGGTGCATTGCATTGGTATGTTGTCCGGTGTTAGGTTTACTGGAGCGCTGGCGTAGGATTGCATGTCACTCCTCGACTCCTCGAGGACCGGAGTTAGGACTTTCATATTTCATTTAGACTCCAATTTTCAGGGATACTTATTATCTTAACATAACTACTATCTAGCCATGACTACCTCCAACTAGTTGAGAAATCCTACTTTATGTACCGAAACGTAGTCTCGTAACCCTTCGTCAGCGCAGGCATCTTCGCACGACCCCTCGACACAACCGCTCTACTCGTCCTCGCAGGGGGGTCCCAAACAACCTCCGCTACACTCTTCCGAGCCCGTGCTTCACCGGCGCCCATAAGCCCAGTATCGTCCACGTCGTACAAAAGCAGAAGATCGGCACAGTCTCCGCATTTCAGACGCACCCCAGGTTTGGAATCAGGGAAAGGATCAAAATTAGACGACGCAAGTCCAATAGCAGCTCGGGCACGTGTAGATATGCATTCGTACAACAACTCCGCGTCACTCACCGTCCCGGCTTGATATACACCCACGCCTAGACAAGCGAGACTTAGCGGGTCCGCGGAACCCCAAGGTGTAAATGCGTTTCCGACGTTATTCACGCCGATCACAGCATCAAGGCTGTGATTTTTGATCATTGAGGGGATTGGCAGAGTACCCCTTGGATTGGACTTCCCAGGATCGTTGGGTGCGGCAGCCATGTATAGATCACTAGTTGGAAGACCGACGAAATTGACCGGGAGATCGTTGTCGAGGATCTCGTGCGCAAGACGACCCCAGTCTTCTTTTATGAAGAGTGAGAGCCGCGTGCAATGACCAAGCATGATGCGTTTATTCGTCGTCCGGGACGTCCAACCTCTCGCGCGTAGGGTACGCAGGACATGCCAGACGAGCGGTGCAGGCTCTTCCTCTGGGTGCGCGAGGTTATAGTCAAGATGAAAGTCGAGATGCCGATCGTGTTGCAGGGCCAGATCGACCGCCCACTCGATATTCCGTTTCGAGGCTTCAGTGCTTGTTTCAACGTACGGCGTCGTACCCAGAACTGCTAGTTCGTCTGATCCATGGTCCCGAATAGCGTCTTCAATTTGCCGCCTATTCTCATCCCCATGCTCCGTCGAGAAGATAGGATCCTGCGCAAAGCAGACAAGCTGGATATTGCACGCCTCATGCCACCTCTGCTTAAGGGTGATCCCGGCATCGAGGCAGGTATGTTGGACTGTATGGTCGACTTCGACGAAGGCGCGCATGGCGGTCACGCCAGAGGCAACGGAGTCGGCGAGCAGCCATTCGCCGCGTTTCAGGAGGTCGGGCTTTGTGAACGACCCTTTTGCTGCGGTTGTGGTGGTCAGGGCTTCTTGAAATGAACCGGTTGAGGGGAGGAGATGGCTACAAGAGGGGCTGTTGTGAATGTAGGCTTTGTCGAGATGGACGTGAGGGTGTACGAGGGCGGGAAGGGCGAGAGGTGAAGGAGAAGACACGGTGCTGAAGGAGGAATTGCTTGGGTCTATAGACGATATTATTCCTTGTAGAGAGCCTGGATGGTATTCAATGGTGATGTCCCAGGTGGATTCTGGGTCTGTTGTGGCGAGCTTGACACCATGGATCGTCTTCACCGGAGCTGTGAGTTGATGAGCCATTGTCTCATGAAAAAGCAGGTCGAGTATATGGATATATTATTAGTGCTAGTAGATGTTTGGCTGTACTATGGACTGGAGATGCTTGCCTTATCATACTTGTTGGGGTATGAGGGGTGGATACGGAGACTACTCCGAGATATATTTTAGTAGAAGATGTGATAGTTTCGACCAAGTTCCAACCTGCATTTGAGAAGATTCACGCTTCCAACTTGATATCGAAATATCTAACATGGGCATCCCAGAATAGCGCTGTACAAAACATATGATTGTTGACGCCCGGCTATTCTACGCTAAGTGCTCCGTACAGCCAACCCGAAGCTCGAGTCGTCTTTATCCGAGACAAGGTGATTTCCTTCTCTTTGTCATGGCTTGACAGTTCTCTGAATTCATCCCTACCTCTCTACGCAATTAAGTTCGTCGAAGCATTGCCAATCTCACAACTGGAGCGCGCAAGCAGCAGGATGGCACCCCAACGGATCCTCACCACCCCCTCACCCTCTCTCAATCCAACCCCCCCAAAACAGTGGCACGAGCACCTTACTTTTGACCTCTTTATGACCGTCCTAAACCGCTCAATTCTCCACCCCTTTATAGCGTGGATAATTGTCCTCTGCCTCCGCGCGCAAGCCACCCCGTACACGCACCCCGCGTTTCTAGCTGCAGCCGGCTACGCCATATTTCTAACAGCCCTCAATATCGCGTTCATAATAAGCGACCAAATCGCGTATGGAGCACCGAGACATGTCGATCTAAGCGAGGAGGTCATCGTGATTACGGGCGGGGCGAGCGGGGTGGGGAGATTGATTGCACAAATTTACGGGCTGCGCGGGGCGAGCGTTGCGGTGCTGGATATCGCGGAGGAGAAGGATGTTAAAGGGTGGGAGGACGTTGGAGGGGTCGAGTACTATCGATGTGATATTGGGGTAAGGGGTGAGATTGAGGCGGTGGCTCGGAAGATCCAAGAAGATGTATGTGCATTCCCTTGCATGACTTGGCTTGAAAACGCCTACAGCTCCTGCTCGACTGGATGGTGATGCAGACTGAGTTCATCATACTGAGCTTTTCTATCTTGCTAACTATCAATATGAAGTTGGGTACGCCAACAGTGCTCGTCAATTGTGCAGCGACCCGGATCAACGGCCAGCCGCTCCTGTCACTCTCTGCTGAAGCATTCCAGAAGACCATACAAACCAACCTCGTAGCGGTCTTCCACACCTGTCAAGTGTTCCTCCCACATATGCTATCCAGCGAAAACGGAGGCACCATCGTGAACGTAAGTTCGGTCCTTGGACAGCTGTGCGCCGCCGGTCTTGCAGACTACTCAACAAGCAAGGCAGGCCTCAGCGCCCTGCATCGGACGTTGGAGGCGGAACTTCGGGTATCAGGAAACGGGGATAAAGTAAAGATGGTCTTGGTCGAGACCGGCCAAATATCAACGCCATTGTTCAAGTTCATCAAAACGCCAAACTCCTTTTTTGCGCCCATGCTTGAGCCTATCCGTGTTGCTCAAGAAATCGTCTCCTTGATTGACAAGGGCGAAAGCGGTCGTATCAGGTTGCCGACATATGCCATGCTTATCAACTTGTATGCGGCGCTACCAGGAGGTCTTCAGCTGATCGCCCGACGTTTGGCCGGCATCGATTCCGCCGTACCACAAGTGTCATTTTATACTCGGCAGCCAGGGGAGAAACTCAAACCGCAAGCCGAGTAAGACTAAGCATTTTTTGGAAAGCATGATTTCACGGTGTACGTTCCAAGGAGGGAGCAGAGTCCCCGCTTTAGTCATGCCGTGACCGGCGATACGCAGGCAGCGGGATGCAACGACGCTTATTTCTCCTGCGTTAGAATCATCTTTTCACGCTCGCTTTGTCTTGCGCGTAGAGTACTCTTCTTGGCATGCTTGCGAATATTCTCCTCACGCCTCTTGATAGCTGCAAGCTCCTCAGCCTTGATCTCACGAGCCTTCTTGATAGTTCGCGGCACGTGGCGTTGACGTTTGATGCGCTTGATCTCTGGCATATGTGCGTATCTCTGGACCAAAGCCTGGTCGTATTCCATCTTCGTCCTCTGGCGCGCGCTCTTGATTCCGCTGCGGTCGGACGCATTAGCACGCCATAGTCGAATGTTTCCGTCGTCTGAACCGGATAGGACGTATTTGTTATCGGGAGTAAATTTGGCCGAAAAGACACTGTGATCAAATTAGTTCATGGCTCAGAAGTGTGCGAATCGCAATTAACGCACCGTTGCATTCTCTGTGTGTGGTAAATATCACGAGAGTGACCAGTCGCCCGGTTCCACAACCGAATTGTCCGGTCATACGACGCGGTGACAAGTTCCTCGCCTGTCGGGCTGAAGTCAACATCCATAACCGCAGCAACGTGGTCTTTGAGAACGTTCAAGGCACGGTTCATCTTCCTCATGTCGAACATGTAAACGTTGTGGTCTTCATTTGCAACGGCAAAGTTGAATGCCTCCATTGGATTCCAGGAAACGGCGTTGGAGGCCAGTCTCAGAACGAGCTTAGACAGCGGTGACGATGTGCGCAAGTCATATAGGATAATAGAGCGGTCAATGCCAGTCGACGCAAGGACGGAGGTTTCGGTCTGGTTGAAAGCGACAGACGTGATAGTATCAACATTGGTGGGCCAGTGAAGTGTCTGAGAGGGAGTAGAGGAGGGGCGCGAGAGATCGTAGATCGAAATCTGAGAAGATGACGCAGCGAAAAACGGTCGGTCGCGGTGATGCGTAAGGCTGGTAAAAGCGCCCTGGCCGAGGTAGGTTGCGAGCGGGGGAGAATCGGACGAGGAATTATATGGGTCGAAGAGCTTGATGGTCTTGTCGGCGGCACAAGAGAGCAATTTCCGGTCCGGCGTCCAGCACACTCCCTTAACGATGTTCTCATGCGCTGTGTTGTTCCAGACTTCGCCCTGCGTTACAAGGTCCCAGACCTTGACTACACCATCACCACTGCCGCTAGCAAATCGTTCTAAAGAGCCAGGATCCTTCGCCATAGTGTAGACACCATCAACATGGCCTTCTCCCATCTGGCCCAAAAAAGGCGCTGCAAAGAGGCGCTCCAGCTTCACGGCATTGAGGGCTCTTGTATATTCACGCGCACGTTCGAATGGATGCTGAGCCGGGTCTAGATTTCGAGGTTGTCGAACCACAGCAGTCCCCGGCGCCTGCTGTGAGGCCGTGGATCGTGAGAGAGCTTTGATTTTCTAACAGGCCTGAGCGACTGTTTCAAACTAAAGCAAAATGGGAATATAACTCACCATTATTTTCTATCCTGCGATTATTATCGGCAAGAGAGAAGGAAAGCTCAATAAGTAAAGCAATGAAGAACTTGAGGCCAGCGATATTTTCATTCCATACATTTTTTCTGCGGAGGAAACGGAGACCGCCAGGCGGAGGGCGGTGAGCTGTGATCTCAGGCAGCAAGGCAGAAATGACTTAGTAAGGTCACCTAAGATGAAGCTCCGACGGCCAAGTGATGATATCCGCCTATCCATCATCATCCTCATCCTCCATTCCATCCTTGACTCTCACGTTACGAGCTTATCCTGCGCCGCTCTGCGACCTCTGATAACTACCTTTACTCCGAATTGTTACTTCCAGTTTCCGTCCTTTATATTAGGTTAAGTCATGGCTCCCTCCTCTCAGGCCGCTCAGCGGATAGAGGAAGCTCGGACACTCGCAAAGAAGGATGCTCCGAAAGCTGTGTCTATCTACAAAGAGGTTCTCTCCCAAGGTCCAGGGTCTACTGAAAGCTTGTCGCGTGATTACGAAAATGCGTTGGTCGGGCTGGGAGAGCTCTACCGGGACGAGAAAAAGCCGCAGGAGATTGCAGAGCTGATCAAAACAAGTCGGGATTCTTTCTCATCATTCGCCAAAGCTAAGACAGCGAAGCTCGGTATGTCCTATTAGTGCGGCAGCTCATGCGAAGAAGGTGACAAGTTAGCTAATGGGCAGCGATGTAGTTCGCCAGTTGCTCGACTTGTTCAGTGAGATTCCAAACACCCTCGACATTCAGATTGCCGTCATTCGATCTTGCATTGAATGGGCTGTCGCCGAACGACGATCTTTCTTACGGCAGAACCTTGAGACTCGGTTGGTGGCGATATACATGCAGAAGCAGAGCTACTACGACGCTCTCACCTTGATCAACTCTCTTCTCCGAGAATTGAAACGGCTCGATGACAAGCTTATGCTAGTTGAGGTGCAGTTACTGGAGTCGCGGGTATACCATGCGCTTGGAAATCAGGCCAAGGCGCGTGCTGCATTGACTGCTGCTCGGACTTCGGCCGCTTCTGTCTACACACCCCCAAATCTGCAGGCTGGTCTGGATATGCAAAGCGGTATGCTACATGCCGAGGATAAGGACTTCAACACCTCATACTCCTACTTCATTGAAGCTCTGGAAGGCTACAGCTCCCTGGATGAGGGAGAGAAGGCGACAGCGGCTCTGCAATACATGCTGCTATGTAAGATTATGCTGAATCTGGTGGACGACGTCACAACCCTTCTGGGTTCCAAACAAGCCCAGAAATACGCCAGCCCACGACTGGAGGCGATGAAAGCGGTGGCACGCGCTCATGCCAACCGCTCGCTTGAGGAATACGAGAAGGCGCTCTCGGATTACCGATTTGAACTAGGCAGCGATGCATTCATTCGCAACCACCTCCGCCGGCTCTACGATGCCATGCTGGAACAGAACCTTATCAAGGTCATCGAACCGTTCAGTCGTGTCGAACTGGACCATATCGCGAAGATGGTTGGATTGGATACACAGCAGGTGGAGAGGAAGCTTTCACAAATGATCCTGGACAAAGTGATCATCGGTGTGTTAGACCAGGGCGCCGGATGCTTGATTGTCTATGATGAGACGGAACGTGATCAGGGATACGATGCGGCGCTGGATACCATTGCGAAACTAAGTAATGTTGTGGAGTCGCTGTACACTAACCAGGCATCGCAGCTGGAGTAAGAACTACTATCTAGTTGCTCTGAGCAATCTTTTGTTTCTATACTTCAGAAATGACATAACTTAGAGACATAGTCCGGCACAGCTGATGTCTAGCATCTCTAATTATTTACCAGCAGCGAAGCTCGTATCTGTAGTCACGTCGTAACATCTGGGGAGATTGTTCTCATTGCCCGGTGTTCTGGACGGAAGGCCGAAACGGGTAAAGCGCGATCGCGACGCAGCGAAGTTTGGAAGCCCACCGCGATGATTGAAGACTCTCATTCATCGGCCTCCACATCATCGCTTTCGCGCTTTCGGCTTGGCTTCTCGAAATTACCGTGCTGTCAATACTGAGACTCGCTTTCTTGGTTGTTTTCGCCGATTGCCCACCATGAACGCTCCGCCAATGCCACCGGGTTACGGACGTGCCTATCCCCAGGGCGTCCAACGGTCTCCTGCCACGCCTCGTCGCGGCCCCCAAGCTCCAGGTTAGCTTAATATCATTTGCGGCTGCACTGACCTCTTTCGCGTATTTAATTCTTATATAACATTATCTGATTTCTGTGCTTGAATTCTAGGCCCAATGCCCGTCCCAATGTCTCAGCACGCCGTACCGCCCCAGTACATGGCGCCTCAGCGTAACCTTCAGCACCAGAATGACGCTGCCCTCCGCCGCAGCCGTAAGCCCACGGACAAGAACATCCCAGATGGCGTTGAAGAAGTTGTTATCGGTGAAGGTGTGCAGCAGTACAAGAGCTTGCGCGAGCTCGAGAAGCGCCTCGACGCGGCTATTGTGCGGAAAAGGCTGGACATCCAGGACTCGATCAGTAAAACAGTCAAGAAGTACCGGACAATGCGCATCTGGGTTTCGAACACGGTGGAGAACCAACCCTGGCAGACTGGTCAGAACGGCTCGGTTCCCGGGACCACCCCTGGCTCAGGACGATACAAGGTGCGGATAGAGGGTCGCCTGTTGGATGATGGCAGCGATGCTGCAGACGCAGACAGTGATGACGAGGGCGATGCTCAGGACACCGGAGATGCGATGGAGGAAGATGGCTCAGACGGGAAGAAATCAGCGTCTGATAAGCGGTCGAAACAGCGCTTTTCGCAGTTCTTCAAATCGATCACCGTGGACTTCGACAAGTCCCCGTCAACAAGTCCTGATGAGATGCAGACTATAAACTGGGCGAAACCGCAAGTACCACCGAATGCAGCCCTTCCACCCAACGCAGATTTCGACAGCGTGCAGTTTTCCCGGGCGTCGCAGGAGAACCTGAACGTCACTATCAGCCTTGTGAGAGACGAGACACCCGAGCGCTACAAGTTGAGCAGGGAGCTGGCGGAGGTGCTTGACGTCGAGGAGGAGAGCCGAAGCGGCATTGTGCTAGGCATCTGGGACTACATCCGCGCCATGGGGCTTCAAGAAGATGAAGAGAAGCGACTAGTACGCTGCGACGATCGCCTTCGAGCGGTAAGCGTGCCTTCTTCCTGGGGTTTCTCCAACTCCTTTAAAAATACTAACTGTATACAGATCTTCGGCCGAGACCAGATGTTCTTCCCTCAAATCCCAGAAAGCATCGGCCCTCACACCAGCCCCCTCGACCCAATAAAACTCCCATACACCATCCGCGTCGATGAAGAATTCCACAACGACCCCACTCCCACCGTCTACGACATCCAAGTCGCCGTCGAAGACCCTCTCCGCTCAAAGATGCTAGCCCTAAACCAGAACCCTCAGTATACAGCCGGGATGCGCCAGATCACCCAGCTGGACGACCAGGTTGCCCTCATTATCCAGGCTCTCACACACTCGCGCGCAAAACACTCCTTCTTCACAGCGCTCAGCAAAGACCCGGCTACGTTTGTCCGTCGCTGGCTCAACTCTCAGCGCAGAGACCTCGAGACGATCCTCGGGGAGGCGACCCGCGGTGGCGGCGAGGATGCCAGTGGGCCGGAGTTCCGACGTGGTGGTTCCGACAGCGTATGGGATACGGTTGTTGCTCACGAGGCCGTGCGGTATATGCTTGCCAAGCCTGAGGCTGGTATGAGTCGGTGAACTTAGGGCGCTCGTCGTCTGTAAATCTAATCTTTCTTTTTTGGCCCTGAAGTGGGTATGCGAGATGGCTGGGAGATTATGTAGGCGCTTATGTGGTGTTTCGTCGGTAATCATTAATGGCAATTTTTACTTTCCCTTACTATCAAGCGGTTTCAACAGTTGCAAATTTATGCTGTTAAGCATAAATGATGGGTCTGAACAATAATTGATATTAATACTACTGTTGGTATGTATAAATATACCATCCAAGGGCTATAAACAAAACCCGATAAAAATATACAGGGAAGTTATTCTGAATCGCAAATCCGCACACGAGCAACCGGCGCCAACGCCCCTTCTAGCCTCTAACACTATCAGTGTCTTTTCTTCAAGCCACTCTAGTATATTCCCACTTAGGTTCCATCTTAGGTTGTGATTAGTTTAAGCCTTTCGGTTCCGTAGATCCGAAACACCCGCGTCAACACCCGATGCCACTAACTGTTCGTTAGAGCCTAAGAACAGACTCCCCTCTTCCCTCTCTAGTTTAGACGCAGCATCTAGAACGGCCTTTTGGGCAAGTTCTTCCGTGCTGATTTCCTTGTTGTGCTCCGTGGACTCCTTCTCATTGGCTGGAGCTTTCTGAGGGCGAAAGCGCTTCATAACAGTCTCAATCATCTTTGAGAACCAGTAGTAATTAAGTCCGTTCAGGATCACGTTGGACGTGACGTAGGTGACGACCAGCCAGGTAGGGACGCCGCCAGCGGTGTACTTGGAGTACTTGGTAATCTCGGCGTTGGCCCTAACGCAGGCTTCGTTGATACACAAGGAGCCGTCATCGCGAGCCTGAAATATTTGGGCCGTGATATCGACAGGGTTTAGCGGTGACGAGGGACCGGCAGACCAGGTTTGTCTGAGAGCGTTGAACATGTCCATGTAGACGAGCGCGGATTGCCAGGTTCCCCAAATGAGACGACAGCAGAAGAACACGACGAGAAGCGCCATGCCGTTGTACCATTGCAGGTTGGACCCGGTCATGTTGACCTTGTCCAGAAACCAGTGGATATTGAGGAAGGGGCTGGAGAGCTCGTAGAGGATAAAGACTGGAGCGTAGAAGTTCACAAAAGGTCTCTGCAAGCATACTCAGTGATTATCCCGGAATCATGATGGTGAAGCTACTTACAAATCCAAAACTGAACACCCATAGTGCAGACACGGCATGGAAGAGCATGCCGATACCAAACATATTGACGTAGATTGTGCTGACGATCAGGTCATAGATAAAGTATCCAACTGCAAGAGAGCTGATCAAGGCACACGACCCAGTATACCCAAGGACTCGCTCTCCAGTTGTCATGGACTTTCTTTCCTCATCCACGAAAAGCACCCAAAGGGCGACGGCATTGATGAAGGTGCTCTGTACGAGGGATACAACATGGACATCCCAGTTGAGCTTGGTGCGCTTGTTGAGGTTGGGATAGTGGCGAGGGAATAGTTTTGGAGATAGCCATGGCGAGAGGATATAATGAATAGATAGGTAACCGAGAAAAGCAGCGATGACTTCATGAGAGTGATCAACCAAGGCAGGGAGGTTGAAACGTAGAGCCCAGGGCTCGACAATCTCCCGCAACCAGTCTGGGGGAGGCGAAATTGGGTCCAGCATGCTGGCGTGACCACCGACTTGGTGGTTAGGATATGCGGCTTAGAGATAGGAGGGATGGAACGGTGACTGGAAGATGGTGCCGGGGAGGAGGCCGATATAAGGCTGACTCGTGAACTATGACGAGGCGCTAGAAGGGCCGGACTGAGCGGGGTTCGGAAGCTGCGTGCGTCTAGAGGCCGGCCATCTTTGTAGGAAACGGTGATGCCTGCGAAGGGGAGAGGGATGTTAGCTCAGGGCTCGACAGGGCTGAAGAGACGCAATATATTCAGGTAGAATTACTAGGAGAGAGAGCGAGCAGTTAGCTCGATGTAGGATACTCGAGATATCACGCTCACAGGGAGTGATCACTGTGAGGACAGTGGACAGGCCATCTTGTGACGGGCTCAGGCGGAGCAGACGGAGCAGACTCTCGACCTGATTCAACAAGCTGATCGCGTGCGGGCTCGGTGCCTGATTCGCCAGGCAGAAGACGGCGCTGGGACGCACTTCCCCATTTCCCCATTGGGCAAACAACTCTTTCCTCCAGCTTACATCTACACTAGGGGCATATACTTGTGAGGTGACGATTTTGAAGAGGAGGATATCATTCATTTACATGTAATCACTAATTAATAACATGTGCATCATCAGCCCAGCCCAGACTCTACAGCTCGAGATTGGGGCATATCAATCATAAGGTATAGACAAAGGAAATTACATAGAAAAAGAAAAACCGATCGCATCACAGCCAATTTGTGAGGTGGATAGACCCGAGAGTCATCCATACCCAAGACAGTTTTGGTAAGCATCAAGAACGATCATGTTGAAACCGTACGCGATTGCCTTATGATCAGCCCGCTGCACTCGTGATCTCCGAACCGAGCCCGCTGTCGGCAGGGTGTCCGTAGAGCACCATTTTCGACGTCTCTTCATCGAGTTCCTCCAAGGGCTGCTCCGAGTGAGCCTCGGGCTCATCCTTTTTGGCCTCGAGAGTCTCATCCTCGATATGTGGATCCTCGTTTTCGTCTTTCTCCGTTGCTTGATCCTCCTCTTCTCCCTCATCTGCAACAGACTCCAGGTTCCTGGTACTGGCGGTACTAACCTGCCGGTTCGTGGAGATTACGCTTCCAGTGCCGTATGTCATGCTATCTGCATAGGTTCCCGTGTAGCTCGTCCTCCGCTCCGTACCCGCATCACTCTCCTCTCCGCTCTCGTCTTCTTCGGGAAAGACTTCATTCTCTTTGTTGGCCACAGAACTCCTACCGCCCCACGAATGTTTGCGGTAAGAATAGTTGGACTTGACCGACTGGCTCCGCTTCAAGTTCGCAAGACCGCCGGTTGAGCCTGACTGTCTGTCCGCTAATCCACGGTTACCCGTAACGTGACTGAGACTGAGAATTCTCCTTTCCTTGCTCGCGGTGGAGGGAACGATGGATCCTGCTTGCGACGCCGGCGGAGCTCGTTTCTTCAACGCCAAACCGATGCTATTCCCAAGGGCACTGCGGACATCCTTGGCTGTGCTTGCAGTGCTCGAAGCACTGACGTTGCGGCCCCTTGCGCTACGTACCTTCTTCATGTTCAGGCCATGTACGCTGCTGGGACGATTCAGAAGAACAGTACGAGCGTGGTCAAGAACACCTTCCAGGATACGTTTCTCTAGACTGTCGGCACGCTCTTCCATGACCTGCATCTCTTCGTGGCGCAGTTCAAGTGCCGTCTCTAGAGCAGAGACTTCTTTGTGAAGCTTGGCACTCTGAGCAGCAAGTTCGTCTTTCTCAGTCTTGAGCCTCTGCATCATTGCCAGCATCGAATCTTTCTCATCTTTGAGATTGAGGATTTCGGCCTCAATCTGCTCTCGCTGTGCGGTCCTGCGCTCTAGGGCAATGGCGGCCTCTTCAGCCTCCTTGCGTCTGCGTTCAGTATCCTCAGCGATAAGAGCTGATTGAGCCACCATCATCTCGTTCATCTTGCGTGAAGTCTCCATAATATCTTTGTGCATCTCATCGAGCTTCATCATCTGGTTGACTGACTGTTCCTTGTTGGTGGCATGACCGATGAGCGTGTCGAGTTTTTCGTGGATGGGTCCGTTGGAGTTTGTTGCATGCTCGAGCAGTTCATTCAGCTTCTCGTAAATCTCACCGTTGGTGCTCGTCGTCTTGCCCAGAAGCTGATCGAGCTTTTCGTGTACCTGGTCGTTGGTTACCCGTTCAATCAGAGTGTTGAGTGTCTCCTGAACCTGGTTGCCCTTTGAATGTTCAAGGAGGTTGTTTAGCTTCTCGTGCACCTGGCTGTCATCGTACTTCTCCGGCTCAGGAGGTGGCAAAGCGGGCAACATCTTTGTCATAGCGGCTGGAATGACAGATAGCTCCATCTTAACGTCCTGTGCAGTTTGTTGCGCATGGTTGTAGTGTTGGCCAACAATAGAGAGGATCTCCTGGATAGACTCCAAAACCTGAGGGTGGAACTCGTGCAACTTGTTCTCAACACGCTCCGTGGCAGCAGCCGCCCGTTCAACATCAGATCGAGATAGCTCTTGCTGTGTTTTCACCTCATTATGAATCTCCTCCATCTTGTTATACGAGACGTCGACCTTCTCCAGGACCGTCTTCGCATCGGCGCTCATGCGCTCGCATGCCTCGTTGACACTGTCACCCATAGACCCAATGACAAGCTTGATATCTTCCGCCAGAGACTTTGTATCCGTGACTGCCTCGAGCTGCGAATTTCCGCGCTCCGCAGCTTCGGTGAACTTGGTATCAATCAAAGACTGGGCCTCGTCATACTTGGCTATCACTTCACCAAGCTTCTCATCAATTTTGGCGCCGAGTTCAACAATGATGGCGACTTTTGTCTCATCGTGCTTGACAACGGCAGCGGCGTCTCGCTCCTCGTTCTCGAGCTTGGCGGCGTCTTGTTCACCACGTGCGCGTTCAAATTCACGGTTTATGAGTTCAGTAAGCTCCTTGACGTTTTCAACCGTGGTAAAGCTCTCCGAAGAAGCAGCCAATCCTTCTAAAAGCTGCTTAAGCTCTGAGAGACCCTCGTGGCTGCCGTCAAGCTTGCTTTTGAGCTCTTCTCCAAGCCCCTCGACGACAGTTTTTGCTTCATCGATCTTTTCAGCTAACCCGGCGTGCTCGATTTTTCGTGCTTCGAATCCTTGGCCGGTCAGCTCTTGATCAGCTTCCACCTTTTCCTTGAACTCGGTGACGAGAGCGGCAATGTCTTGGATCTCGCTTTTCGTTGGGAGGGTCTCAATATCGGGAAGCTTGAGCTCTTCAACCTGAGTTTTGACTTCGAAGATCATAGCCTCAACTGTCTGCAAATCTGACTTGACCAGTTTCTCGGTGTCGGTTTCAGCCTCTTTCTCACCTTCCTTCTCCGCGTCTTCTTCCCCTTCCTTTTCGCCTTCTTTGGGTTTCGACTCGTCGAGGGCGATCCACATATCCTTCAACAATGTTTCCAGGGTACCAATCTCAGCTTTGGTAGGGACTTCGGCTTCAAGACGGCCGTAGATTTCGGCCACAACATCCTTGGTCTCCTTGACCATCTCTTCCAGACTTCCTAGTTGTTCCGCCCGTGCAATCTCATCAGGCGCAGGGAATACCATCTCGTCGAGCTGGGACTTGGTGTTTCGAAGGAGTGTCTCAATGACGTCTGTATCCTCCTTTTTGGCTGTCGTGTCGTCCGCAGGCTTCTCACGAGACGCGATCTCGGTCACGGAGCTCTGAAGCTCGTGGAGGCCTAGAAGAACTTCCTCCATGTGCTCCTTCTTCAGCATGTCCTCGGGAAGATCCGGAGTTCGTGGAGCAGCTTCGATAGCATCGACCTTGGTTTGGATCTGGGAGATGAGGGCTTTGAGACCTTCAAGGTCGTTAGTCTTACTGGCCTCATTGGCAATCATCAATTCCTTTCCTCTGGAGCTTTCATTTTCCTGCAATTCGGCCTGAGCTTGTCGCATCGTTTCCAGCTCTGCTTTCAGGCCACTCAGGCCTTCCTTTAACGTTTCAAGAAGCTCTGAATGGTCGGCGGGTCTCTCGAGGAGCTTTGTTAGATCTTCCTTGATAATACCAACGCCGTCGTGGAATGCGTCTCGGAGCTCTGTTGTGGAAAGACTCTCGGCGCCGTCTTTGGCTTCGCTTTTCTCTGCGTGAAAGGATTCTAGGGCTGCGTGGACAGCAGCGAGGATGTCGTCTTTGTCGTTCTTTAGTTCCGCGGGCACAAGACTCATGGTCAAAGAATCGCGCAGGTTTTCGAACTCCTGCTTAACAATGCCGGAGATGTTTTCGTCGCTGCTTGCTTTGTGGCTTTCTAAGATCTCCCTGATAGCGCTGAGGATTTCCTCTTTTTCCACTCCATCCTCCGCTTTGCCCTTCTCCTCGTGGAAGGCCTCAAGTGTTGCTTGAATGGCGGCGATAATGTCATCTTTGTCAACACTATCTTTGGCTTGGCCTTTCTCTTCGTGGAAAGTCTCCAGGCTGGCTTGTACGGCCGCTAGGATGTCGTCTTTATCAAGGGGCTCTTTAGTTTGACCTTTCTCCTCATGGAAGGTTTCCAGGGCAGCTCTAACCGCAGCAGCAATGTTGTCTGTATCATTCTTTGGCTCTGCCGGCACAAGAGCTTGGTTCTTCTCTTCATGGAAGCTTTCGAGAGTGGCTCGAATGGCAGCGATGATGTCGTCCTTGTCAAGAGGATCCTTAGCCTGTTCTTTCTCCTCGTGAAATGCTTCCAAAGTAGCTCTCATAGCGGCAACGATGTCGTCCTTGTCACTCTTTGGCTCTGCTGACTGAACCTTCTCGTCATGGAAAGTCTCTAAAGTGGCTCGAACGGCAGAAATAATCTCGTCTTTGTCAGGGACTTCCTTACCCTGAGCTTTCTCCTCATGGAATGTCTCCATGGTGACTTGAACAGCGGCGATGATCTCATCTTTGTCAAGAACAGGAAAATCCTTGGGTTGACTCTTCTCGTGAAAAGCTTCCATGGTGGCTTGGACGGCGGCAATGATTTCGTCTTTATCAACAACAGGCGTCTCCTTAGTCTCACCTTTCTCGTGGAAAGTCTCCATGGTGGCTTGGATGGCAGCAATGATCTCATCTTTATCAAAGGCCGCGACATCCTTCGGTTGACTTTTTTCGTGGAAGGCCTCGATAGTGGCTTGGACTGCGGCAATGATTTCGTCTTTGTCGGAAGCAGGCGTTTCCCGAGCCTTTTCGTGGAGAGTCTCCATGGCAGCTTGAACGGCAGCAATGATCTCATCTTTATCAGGAACAGGAGCATCCCTAGCCTGAGAATTTTCCTCGTGGAAAGTTTCCATGGTGGCTTGAATTGCAGCAAGGATTTCGTCTTTGTCAGGAACATCCCTAGCATGGCTCTTCTCGTGGAAAGCATCCAGGGTAGCTTGTACGGCTGCCACAATCTCCTCTTTGTCGCTCTTTGGTCCGGCTGGCACGAGACTCATTGTAAGAGACTCTCGAATGCTTTCGAACTCTCGCTGGATGACTTCAGCAACGTTTTCCTGATTCGCGGGTTTATGGTTCTCTGAAATGTCTCGGATGGCGTCAAGGATTTCCTCTTTGTGGGATGCTGGATTGCTTCGGAGCACGGAACTCAATGTCTGACGAAGATGCTCAAATTCCTTTTCCATGGCATCTAGGAGCTCGGGAGTGTCGGGGTTGCCCCCAGCGTGGGCCACAAGGGCGTTCTCCGTGATTGTCTTCTCGAGATCTGCCTGGAGCAGGCGGAAGCCTTCCTTGACCGTGTCCAGGATTTCATATTTACCAGATGCGTCCGATGCAGTCGTGGCAAACCCTTCGACATCTTGACGAACCAGTGCAATGCTGTCTTTGATGGTATTCAGAATCTCCTCCAGGTTCGCATCAGTGGCAGCGGGTCGTTGCTTGACCTCTTCCTTGAGGCTCTCGAGTTGCTCCTGAAGACGCTCGAGGATTTGGTCGGTTAGGCCTTGATTCGCGTTTGCGGTCACCTCGTTGAGACCTGCAGTGATGGCTTCCATGAGGTCCTCCTTGTTGAGCTCGATCTCACGGGGAATCGAATTCTGACTTTCAAGGCCTTCCGCAATGGCTTGGAGGATTTCATCGCGGGAAGGGACAGGCGGAGTATCTGTAGTGGTGAGGGCAGATTGTTGTGCGGAGAACGCCTGATTGACTATGTTGGTGACGTCCTCTTTTGTGATGCCTGCATGGTTGAGCTCTTTTGCGGCGAGCATGTGCGCCTCGATGCCGTCGGATACTGCACTCAAGATTTCATCGCGTCCGAGACCCGAGTCAAAAGAATCCCTCGTGAGTGCGCTTTGAGAAGTCATGGATTCAGTGACAGCGTGGAGCACTTCATCTCGGATGGCTGCCAGTTGACCCTCGTCTAAGGAACGGTTCTGGGCAGCCTCAAGACAACCTTTGATTCCCTCGACAATTTCGTCTTTCGTTAGAGCGGTTTGAGTTGTGATGGACTCGCTGACTGCATTGAGGATCTCGTCGCGAAGAGCAGCGAGCTGTTCACCGTCTAAGGAACGGGGTTCAGCATTTTCCAGGCTACCTTGAATCCCTTGGATAATTTCGTCCTTTTTCAACGTGGTTTGGGTGGTGATAGACTCGGTGACAGCATTGAGAATTTCGTCTCGGAGAGCAGCCAGCTGCTCGCCGTCCAAGGACCTAGGTTCGGCATTCTCGATGGATTCATTGATTACCTGGATGATTTCCTCCCTCGTGATTGCCGGAGGCTGTTCAAATTGCTGCACGCCTGCCTGGACAGCCGCTAAAACCTGGTCGTACGTAGCAGCTTGCTCATGCTGTGGCTGGTACGCTTTGAGACCCTCCGAGAGGCACTCGAGAATCTCATCACGCTCAAGCCCAAAATTCTGGAGTTCGATTTCAGGCTTGTACGTCTCCCAGGCTTCTCTGACAGCTTCGAGAATGTCGTCCTTTTCCATCCTAGCGCCTTCTGGTCTCTCACGGAGCTCTGCCATGCCACACTCATCCAAAGCTTTCTTGACAACGGAAGATATCTGGGCGCTGTCCATAGCGGCTCGGAACTCGCCAAGAGCTGCGGAATGTTGTTTGTTCTCGTCCATAATTGCGGCCAGTTGATCCCGAAGTTCTTGCAGGCTGTCTTCGACGATCTGGGCGATTTCCTCGGGGCCGGGTCCCTTGGGCGTATCCTCAATTGCGCGAGAGCGCTCAGCGTCTTCCAGCCTGCTGGCGATATTTCGACCCATCCCCAGCACTTCACCACGGAGTTCACGCACAAGATGTTTTACCTCGTTTGTCATACCACCACCTTCAATAACGCTGCTTCTCACGCGCTTCATGATTTCCAGCATTTCATCTGTGACAGCAGTTTGCTGCTGGCGGATTACTTCCATGTCGTGCTCAGTATCTTGCTCCGGATTGACGGATCGCACAAGGGCCCCCGCTCCCGAGGCTTGCTTCACGATGTTCAGAATTTCCTCCAACATCTCGGTCATCGAGTTATCGACATTCTTGCTGGAATCGTCGGAGGCAGGGCGGGATTTTAGTTCGTCCATAAGCTCGAGAAGTTTTTCCTGGCCTTCCTTCGTTGCCATCTCACGCAATACCTTTTCCAACAACGCGATATTGGCGGTTCCGTCTGTCATGGGACCGGGGGAAGCGCAGAATTCGCGCTCCATTGGATAGGGGTTAGGGCTGTGCATTCTCGGGACAGAGTAACTCTTCTTTGAGTTTGGAGAACTATCCGGTTCCGTCTGGTTAATAGCATTTTCAGAACCCAGGAGAGCACTGAGATCCCACCTTGTGGCAGCATCAGAATCCAGAAACTTGGCAGCTAAGTTCGAGGACAGATCACGAAGGCTTTTTCGAATGTCTTCATCCCGGGCGTTAGTCGCAGCTTTGAGGCTAATCAAATCCGTAGCGTTATCTTTGCTTCGTCGACTTAGTTGCGCCATCTCGCGCTGAAGACTGCTGGCAATGTCTGTGAGACTGAGGATCTGATTTGACAGGAAGTCGAAGCTGTTGGGTTGGGAGGATTTGGGCTCCGAGGATGATTCGGGCCCGCTGGCCCTCGGCGCTTCTTCAGGTGGTAGTTGCATGTTCTGTAAAGCGAGCATTGTGGCAGAGGGAGGAGTGCTTTCGCCAAAGAGCGGCCTGGAAAGGTAACGGTTAGAGATAAGTAGGTTTGGAAGCTCTTCAGAGCTCTGCTGATCCGGCGGAGTCTCAGCTTTGACAGCCTTCTCAGGCGGCTTTGAGCTTTGTTCGGAAAATGATGCGCGCAGGGGGCGCTCTGGCGACCTGCTTTCGAGATAATTTAAGAACTCTGAGCGCGTGTCTGTGTTTTGCAGCGATTGCATGCGCTTGTGGAATTGGCCCTTAATGAGGGACTTCTCGGGTGACTTGGGCGTCATGGGGTTTGTGGTGTATGGACTAGGAGAGTTCTCGCGCATCTTTTCTGTGAAGTTGGCTGCCACTGCTTGGATACCTGGAGAGACATTTCCCTTTGTTATAGGGCTAGTCGAGCCGGGGTTCATGGGTAACGGCGGCGGTGCGCGCTCCGGGTCAGAACTATCCCACCTTTGTTTCCAAGACTTCAGTGTTAGCTTCATTGTAGCCATAAATACAAACAACAACCGCAATGCAGGTATTGCGAAAAGTTGTCGGGACGTACATGGGCACCGTCTGGTGTCTGTGGAGGACCAGCTCCCGATCGCGGGAACCTTCACGGTTATGCGACATAGTGAGACCTGAATGTTGCTTGGCTGAATATCAGACAGCTTTTGGTGGCTCGAAGTGTCGGGGATTGGATGAGCAGGAGGCGTTGGAATGTTGCGATGAAGGAAGAATGTTCGTCAAGCACAGGTTCGTAAGGGCATATCAAGTCGTCAAAACAAATCAGAATAACAAGGCACCCCAGAAGAAAGTCAAAGGGTATAAGACTGGGGAAACAAGAAGCAATTGAAAAGAGACAAAACAAGTGCGCTTGCTACAAGAGACAATAAGATGAGGAGGTGAGGTAGTACAAAGTACAATGCGATGCGACGGACGGACCACAGACCGGGATGGAGAACGAACGGTTCTGGGTCTCGAGAGGAGTTCCTCGTGAGTTAAGTAGGAGATGACAACAGAGGCAGTGGAGTAGGCAGACCGCCAGATACTGGTAGCTCATGGGGCATCAACCACCCTCGTCACATCCCGACCCAATCTGCAGCGTCCACATCGAAGATGCTCCATAGCAACGGCAAGCGCTCAGGTTGCCAGGTAAACAATCGACTTGGGGCGGGTGACGATCGGGTTCCAGCCGAAAAGGCCCACGGTTTTTCCGATGTCCCGACAAGAGGGCGCTAGTCTGTTTGGAGAAATACACCCGTTGCGGCTTAGTGCCCGTCTGTCGGTAAGTCGGCCAATGGCATAACGGCACACAAATCCCGCTTGCCCTGAACCCTCTCTCTCGCAAACGAAAAAAAGAACGTTGGACACGGAGAACCTCATTCCCTCGACAGAGCATATCGACAACCACCCCATCGACCTTGCCGCTTTCACAATGAAGTGTTAGTCGTCCACCCATCCGAACGACCTCTCGTTTTCGATTTTCAGCTGACAGGAATGTTGCGACAGTCATGAAAGTGGGCCGTGTGGCCATCATCACCCGTGGCCGTTACGCCGGTAAGAAGGTACGACACGAATCTATACACCTTGTTTTTGCGGGGGGAGGAGAACTTGCATTGCGCTGGAGGAACAATCTTGGGATCTGGGACGACTCTCGACGAAAATATGCGATTACATGGGAGGAATAATCGGCGAATGCGGGAATTAAAGAAAGTCGGGGTTTTGCGTTCAGGATGTGCTGACGAGGCCCGTTTCGCGCTATACAGGTCGTCATTGTCCAGCCTCAGGACTCTGGCTCCAAGGCTCACCCCTTCTCCTACGCCATTGTCGCCGGTATCGAGCGCTACCCCCTCAAGGTCACCCGCCGCATGGGTAAGAAGACCGTCGAGAAGCGCAGCCGCATCAAGCCTTTCATCAAGGTCGTCAACTACAACCACCTGATGCCCACCCGCTACACTCTCGAACTCGAGGGTCTCAAGGGTACCGTTACCGCCGACACCTTCAAGGAAGTCTCCCAGCGCGAGGACGCCAAGAAGACCATCAAGAAGGCTCTCGAGGACCGATACACCTCCGGCAAGAACCGGTGGTTCTTCACTCCTCTGCGTACGTTTTTCAACGATATATGGTATACGGTTGAGGAAATGCTGACGGATTCTTAGGTTTCTAACGGGATATTCTGGGGCGTTATGTCGTTTGAGCGCGCAAGGTTCTAGATGAGGCAATGGGAAAAACATCGAGTACGTTCGGTTCATGAGCATGGGATCTGGAAATATACCATAGCTGGAGGAAGAATTGGAAATGTCTCGATGTACAAGTCAAGGACTTGAGCATTTAATGCAGGATGCCACCAAGATCCGGCGTCCGCCTCGAAATGAAATGGAAAAATGAACAATTTCTTTTCACGTTCTTACCGGTTTCTGCGACTCTGCCCAACACCCCTACGAGAGCGGGTACATCTGGACACTTCATACGACTTAAGGAGACGGACACCTATATCTGGATTTCCCTCGGCGCCTCAGACCCAAGCCCATGTGCGGCAATTCGGCAAGCCTTCCATTGCCAAACCTAGGAACGTCGAAGTGTTCCACGAAACCATGTAGGAACACCTCGTAAGACTCGTCGAAACTCGCCAGATTTAGTCAGGGCATGAAAACTCCCCACAAGCGCGTAGCAACTTATCCCCGCGTTTTGCACTGCATACTTCAATGTCTGGGCCTAGACTGTTTTCCGTCCGACAGCCCATCCCAACGTCACCGTACAGGATCTCTTAGTTAAAGTATCCGCCTGCACAGAGTGCAAAGGTTTCTGATGTCCATCATCAGACTACCCATGTCTTCCCCGAAGACGTCATAGTTCTCGGTTTTGATATGCAGGAGGCTCTCAAAACAGATCTGTCCTCATACTGGCCCATCATTATCGTTATCGTTACTCTTATCATAATTCCTCGTCTTCATCACCGCACACTCATCCAACCGCACAAGCTCCGCCGAATGCAAAACCGCAAATAAATTTCCTCGCCGGGGGTAAATGAGCAGATACGAGTCCTTCGAATCAGACCAAGAAAGCTGCGAAAGATCGCCACGTCCCGAGTGACTTCAGCTTCGAGGGAGCTTTTAAGGCGACCGAAAGAGCTTCGAGCCGACGATTATGGCGTGAAGATTATGACCATGGTCGGATTGTCCGTACACCTCTGGTACCTATGACTGTTTGTCGCGCTACTTATCAGAAACATGATCTGTAACTACGGGTCTCGCTAGTTGCAGGCAAGAAAGTGCTGGATAACTCGCCTCGATTGTGACCCTGATGATGAACTTACTCCCGTGGGCTTGGTCCCATGCTTCCTCGTCTGTGCACTGCTTGCTTCATGGACCTTGGTGAAGTTCCGCGGGAACAAGAGTGTAGGGTGGAAACCCGGATGCAGCAAAGCCCTCCGCTCTCCTAGAGCATGGCCAGGGCTCCAGATGCTTCATAGGACCTGGGCCGAAATGCTTGTCGGACCGTGACCAGGGTCTCAGTGGAAACTGAAAAGACAACCGCGACTCTGAGTAAGCGGGACAGGCAGGCTCTTGGATAACGAACACCACGGGCTAATAAACTCCTCAACAATGAATTGACTAGAAAACTCAGATACAAGATCTTGTTCTTGGGTTCATTGGTCTCGGTGCGCTTGGAGGGGAAGCTCTCTGCATACACACTATGTCGAGTCTACACCTCAGGCCCAGAAGCAGTCCAACGGTTTACTTCAGAGAGTCTGGTTTGACCAACCAATAAAAACCCTTCGACTTGCATCTGACCCCACAGCAACCCTACCTACAATGTCCGGGCCAAAATTAAGACACCGCTATTGATTTGAGATCCGGAAGCAAGAAAGTAGATAACAAGATATTCGTTCCTTTGAGACCTAGCTGGTGTAGAGCAGATACTTCCAAGTTGAGGTCCCCACTCGTTCAATCCTGAGAGATTACCGAAAGCAGATCATGCTCGTCCAGGAAATCTAACCTCGTCCAGAAAACCAAACCAAGAACCTATCACACAATCCCGCGAAGGGCTCAGCTCGTGGTTAAAGCATACTTGGAGAGCGAGGGAATCAAGAGCAAGAAGTTGAGAGGGCAGGCCTGCTGGAGCTTCGGGACATGGCCCAAGCAACAATGAAGCTCAAGTCAAACAGGCTGCAGTGGACCGCGCATCTTTTAGATGGAAAAGCGGTTCATTCACTGCCGCTATATCCTGGTAGAGAGGATTAGCATGCCTGTTGGAAGCATACTACTAACAACAAGGTCTTAACGGTGATTGAGAGAACCAAGGATAAAGCTGCGGTCTAGAGAGAAGATGGAAGTCAGCCATAACCGCTTATTCGAGCGTAGAGAACAAAGGACTTCAGGTAGGATTCTATGCTCCGCTTGCTATAAGATACGGCGAGGCTTAGGCTATGGCTCCAGCGACCAAAGAACGATGACCTTGAGAGCATGAGACAAAGATTAAGGCCATCTGCTCCATGTAGGTCATGCTTTTCTTTTATTTCAAGTCAATCTAGCTAATCTTCTTAACCTGCAATACCCGCACTAGGATTCAGAAAAGTCCTCCCCAGCCGGCCCTAAATCCAGGTATTCCCAAACAGACTGGCTCGCACTCTTACCTGCTATGAGTGTGCTTGAGTAGATGGGCTACCAGTTCGAATGTTGCAGTTGCTAAGCCCCTGACCCAGTTTATGTCCAGGCAAAACAGAAAGTGCGAGCCAGTCTGTTTGGGAATACCTGGATTTAGGGCCGGCCGGGGAGGACTTCTCTGAATCCTAGTGCGGATATTGCAGGTTAAGAAGATCGCCTGTTTGTGGTCTGTAACAGTTCGATCTGTCCGATAGACATACCTTGTATATTAGAGGAGGCCTGAGACTCCGTTTAACAAAGAGCATGCCGTAGCTTTCTATATTCCTGCTAACCTGCGGCACCAGAAGTTACTAAGTATGGACAAGCTGGCCATGGTCAAAGCTAGATACAGCTTTAAATCTAGGAGTATCCTAGTGTTGCTCTAGACTTTATTCTCACCAGGAGATATCTTTGGAACCAGTTTTAGGGCTTTGTGCTTGTGGGATTATGGCAATTTGGGTCCTGGTAGTCTGAACCAAGACCATTGGAAGCATCGCAAATGTCAGTTAGCTTGATGATATGCAAAGCTCTGTCTATCGAACAGCACCAGCTGACCCTTGATAGTCGCGACGGCCATGGTCTACATGATTTGATTGCCATTGAAGTGCCGCTTCTGTAGTTTGACAGAGAAAATCGCCGTTTGCCTTTATTTTTCATGAGGCCGCGGTCCTGCCCCGAACACAATTTTCGATTTCGGGTACCCTACGCACCCATCTCTAGCCAGTGCTCAAACAACGTCGAGGTACATAACTCTATAGTCCGAATTGGCCATGGGCTGACTTGGCCTGCTAATGTCAGCCCAGTCAAGCAAAAAGTCAGGGCTATTAGCCGGTGCCTGTTCGCCCGAACATTATTACGACAAGGAAATAGGGTAGTTTGAAAAAGCTCCTGGTAAATATCATTAGGTGCCATCGACGACCTTCCTTTGATCGCTCAAATGTAAACATGGCGCAATATGGCCGGTTTCATAGGTGTGCCTAGCCCGGTCATTTTACTTCAGGCAAGGCAATAGCATGACCTAGGGCTATCTGCCTGATATCTGCAGCGTTAGGCCCTCGAACCCGCCCTCCCCCTAAGACAACAGGAATGGCAAAGCCCAGTTTGTCAATTATTCATGGCCATGGTCAGTCAGAAATGACATTAGTTCCATAAACGCTCCTTGTGCAGACAGGGCCAGTAATGGGAGCTAGTCGGCGTCTATCTGGCCCTTAGTGGCCTTTACCAGATCAGGACATAGACAGAAGCCAGGACAAGCCTAACAATGGACGAAGCCTTTTGGTTTCGGTCAAAGGATAATTCACCTTATAGGTATCATTTATTTTGCTAGCGCTCTACCACTAAATGTAGACAGGCGCCCTTGTCGAAGTGAACGCAAGCGCGCGATGTTACTGCTACCATCGATATAGTCCGACTCGCCGCTCAATGATTTATAGTCCCGATATTTAAAGTTTTATACGACCTGGAGCACACCTGGGTTTGCCAAGACCGAGGCTCTGCCGAGCCGCAGCCAGAAAGCTTCGTCTCTGAATAGCTTCATATATTGGCACCTGGGCTGGACAGTGGCACAGGACGGAAAGAGAGGGATGGGTGTCCCGAGAAGGATACTCCTACGAATGTTACAGCTTTTAATTTGAGACATCAATTCTTTAGATTATCTCTCGAACGTCTAGTTCCATGAATTCGTAAGTTTTTTCTCATCTCGAAACAATTCCAATCGTTTTTAAACGCTCAGAATTCTACTTCTTTCCTGCCTTCTATAGTTGTGAAAACTTGTTAGCCAATGGTCATAAAATTGTCAACAATTGTCAAGGATGTACGAACCTGGGCGGCCTTGGTGACCTTGCCAGAAGTTGCGGTGCTCTTGTCGACGCCTTTAACAACTCCCTGGAAGATAGTTAGATAACGGATGGCTATTAGAAAGACGTCAAAGGAAACTTACGACAGCGACAGTCTGTCTCATATCACGGACGGCGAAACGACCGAGAGGAGGGTAGTCGGTGAAAGACTCGACACACATGGGCTTGGAGGGAATCATCTTGACGATAGCAGCGTCACCAGACTTGATGAACTTGGGGTTGGACTCGACAGACTTTCCGGTACGGCGGTCGATCTTCTCCTGGAGCTCGGCGAACTTGCAGGCAATGTGGGCGGTGTGGCAGTCGAGGACGGGGGCGTAACCAGCACCGACCTGACCGGGGTGGTTGAGGACGATGACCTGGGCGGTGAAAGAGGCAGCACCGGCAGGGGGGTCGTTCTTGGAGTCACCAGCGACGTTACCACGGCGGATTTCCTTGACGGAAACGTTCTTCACGTTGAAACCAACGTTGTCACCGGGAACACCCTCCTTGAGCTGCTGGTGGTGCATCTCAACGGACTTGACTTCAGTGGTGACGTTGGCGGGGGCGAAGGTGACGACCATACCGGGGGAGATGATACCGGTCTCGACACGGCCGACGGGAACAGTTCCGATACCAGAGATCTTGTAGACATCCTGGAGGGGAAGACGGAGGGGCTTGTTGGAAGGACGGACGGGAGCCTCAATGGCGTCGATGGCCTCGAGGAGGGTCTTACCAGTGGCCTTACCAGCCTTGGTCTCCTTCTCCCAACCCTTGTACCAGGGGCAGTTGGGGGAGGGCTCAAGCATGTTGTCACCGTTGAAACCGGAGATGGGGACGAAGGCAACGGCCTTGGGGTTGTAGCCGACCTTCTTGATGAAACCGGAAGTCTCCTTGACGATTTCGTTGTAACGGGCCTCGGACCACTGGCAAGTGTCCATCTTGTTGAGGGCAACAATGAGCTGACGGACACCAAGGGTGAAAGCGAGCAGAGCGTGCTCACGGGTCTGGCCATCCTTGGAGATACCAGCCTCGAATTCACCAGTACCGGAAGCAATGATGAGGATAGCGCAGTCAGCCTGGGAGGTACCAGTGATCATGTTCTTGATGAAGTCACGGTGACCAGGGGCGTCTGGAATGACGTTAGAAGTATCCTGTAACACAAGAACAAGGAGCCTTACCAATGACGGTGACCTCATACTTAGGGGTCTGGAACTTCCAGAGGGCGATATCGATGGTGATACCACGCTCACGCTCGGACTTGAGCTTGTCGAGAACCCAAGCGTACTTGAAGGAACCCTTACCGAGCTCGGCGGCCTCCTTCTCGAACTTCTCGATGGTACGCTGGTCAATACCACCGCACTTGTAGATCAAGTGACCTGTTGTGTTGTGTAAGCGTTTTGCTATGGACGGTCGGGCGAGGACGAGGGCCGCTTACCAGTAGTGGTGGACTTGCCGGAATCGACGTGGCCGATAACGACGATGTTGATGTGAGTCTTGTCCTCCTTACTGATGGAACGAGCGCGATCAGTCAAGGTGTTCAGCAGAAGACGAGAGCAGACGCAGCGACTTACCCCATGGTGAAGGTTGTGATGTGTAATTTGTGAGATAGAAAAAGGGAGAATGCTCAGATACTACGGCTAGTAATGCGTAGAGGTGCTGAGCAGAGAAGTTAGCAAGAGGAGGATGAAAGAAGGATGGAGGAGAGAAGCGAGGGAGGGGAAGATATACGTACTGAAGCGGACAAGGAGAGGAAGAGAAAAAATTTGTGGGAGGGGGAGGGGAAATCCTTTTATGGAGGGGCAAGCGAGAGACGTCGACTAAGCGGGCGGGCTCAAACCCTTGGCTGGCCGTCTTTGTTATTGGGCATGGAGGGGTAATCTGCCCCACTGCCGATGCAAATTCTTCTCGCTCCTTTGGGCGCTTTGCGACAACCAAGCTCGGGACGACAGCCCAGCGACACTCTGTCCTTGGTTCTGCTCCACCCCTTTCTCAAATTCATGGTCTAAACAGCAGAATTTTTTTGTTTAGCTCGTCTTGACTTGCTATCGTCTCTACGGTGGATTCTCGGACTGAAATGCTGGGCATCAACGCAGTGGCGGCATGGCGGCTTTCTCACTCTGTAGAGCACAACCCCGCGGCTGTACCAAGTTGCCGCCCTCTAATTTGTCCGTGACGGTTGACCAGACTACGATGGAGCGACCGAGTGGCGTTGTTTGATCCACAGCGTCGAGGAGATCAACATACGTAGCAAGATAGACCGCAAGAATGATGTTCGCTTGGGGAAGGTTTGATATCAACGTGCAAAATTTTCTTTTTTCTTTTCTTGCCCCCTCATCTGTAGCCTGGGAGGCAAGTGGGATGTGAGTCAAGCTGCCCCTCACTAAACGCCTCCTTTGCTTTTTCCCGAACTTGACCCGTTCGGGCGCATGATCATCACAACCCTTAGACTTGACTCGGCCTGGAGGTATTCAAAGTCTAAACTGCGAACCACGTTGCCTGGTATCCTCTACCAGCTTACAATGCGATGGCGATTCCGCCGTCTTTGTTATCGAGGTATCTCTGCGACCTAAGAGTACACTGTATATGCCCAAAGTAATTGGTATCAGACAGCTACTGAGGGGTATCTTTGCACGTGCGCTCTAAGCAAATCGCTAGTATATTACTCCTTAAACACCAAATATCAACGATTCCATCCCATGTTCGCCTCGCTTGAATATCGCAAGATATAGCCCAATTACAGGCCGATAAACTGTCCAAACGGCGTTCGGTGCAACGCGCATATCAGTTCTCTCTCCATCGAGCACCACATGAAGTACACTACCAACCCCGTTAGTACACGACGCAACATGCAAAGTACCCGTCGAAGCAGGCACCCACCTTCAAGAATGTAGTCATCGGTTCGTCTGCACTTCGAATCTGCAGTTGGAAGAAGTACGCACGGTCGCCATTGCAGCCCTCAGCGGGGCATTGTGCTGCAAAGTAGAACGTCGGGTCAGCATCCATTCATAACCATGCTTCCCAGGGGTTAAATGTTGTCTTAACTTACTAGCCATGCTATCTGCATTCTCAAATTCAGCCTTGCCTCCGAATACAGCCTCCACCTCTTTCTGCTTCATTGGGGTCTTCTCAAACCAGGACTGCTCGAGAGCGTACTGGTACGGACAGGTACGGCATTCGAATCGATTGATGCCGAGCGGATACTTTGGTGTGGGATCGGATCGCGAGATGGTCAGCGCATTGCTACAGTTGGGGCAGACTAGAGATCATCATTGTCAGTAACCAGGTAGCTTATCGGGATGGAAGTGAATGCGCACAAGTCAGAGGCATCTTGAAGTCTCAGAACGAAAAGCTGCTTGATTAATGATTGTCGTATGGACTTGGTCGCCAGGCAGTTGTCAGGCGCGTATTTATCGGACTCTCAATATGATTGCTCTTACTATCCCGCATGTCGCAAAGCGATATGAAGCCTTATCAGTCGGCGGGGAGAAATTTGTCTACACCGCCTTGTCCAGCATTCCGCTAGGTGCCTTGAGGCCGCGGTCTTATTTTAGATCTGCCGGCCAATTCAAGCTTGCCGATTGGACTCGGACCCTGGACGGGGCGGAAGATTTAATTTTCCGTAAGGCCGTTCCGCGGCGGGAGCGCAGAACGGCGGCATGCTAGCGGGGCAACCAAACAAAAGGAGGCCTACTCTAGATCTCCCCAACACCTGCACTGTCTCAATCAGTCAACGATTCTCTTGTACGTCTAACCTTGCTGTGCGGCTGCCGAACTGCTCCTTGAGTTAGGCTAACGCTCATCCGCCTCCTTCACTTGCCTGTTGCTTGTTCTACCTAGCTGACTGTCCTGAAAACATTAACAGCTCACCCGGACCTCGGCGGCTATTTCTCTTCCAACAACTACATCCTCTCGTTTTCGAATTAAACGCCGGCTCCATTTTCTTCTTATCGAACCCCTATCTTCCCAGTCCATAAACAACTGAACAACATGTCAGACGAGGTACCCGCCGAGCCCCTATCCGGAAAACAACAACCATCTAAATTATGACCAGGGCGCTTCTCCCCGCGAGCTCATCGTCGAGGCCTGCCGGCGCGACCAGCCTCACCTCATAGAACAAGTTCTTGACTCATTTGAAGGGAAATCAAACGAGGAGGTTGCTGAGATTTTCAACAATGTCACGGACGCAATGGGCAACCACGCTCTTCATATATGCGCGCAATACGGAAGCTGTGTGTCTCCTCCTTCGCCTGTTTCGCTCTTCAAGAAGGTAGACTGGTTGTACTAACGAGAGTACGCTATGCTAGACGACACAATGGACGCCCTCTTCGACATCCAATTCTTTGAATGTGACCCCCTCACTCGTCTCGACAACGACACACCTCTGCACGTCGCTGTCCGCTACGCAATGGAGAAGGACGCTGAGTTAGGCACGGAGATGATCAAGATGATGTGCGAGGCCGGGTGTGATCCGCGAGTAAGGAATAAGCACAACCAGAAGCCGGCGGACCTGGTTTACAATAACCAGGAGATCAAGACAACGCTACAGCAGGCGGAGTACGTCCTTGCTGAGGGACTGAGAAATGATGATCTTGCTGATGGGGATGAGGGGAGTGCTAGTGATAGCGATTAGATGAGCGTGAAGGCTACCCTGTACTTGTGACTTTTGGTGTGTTTTGCTGCCATAGATATGCATAAACCTATGACTTACGATTCGTGCTGCTTTTTGTATTCTGGTCTTACATGGTTTGCGGTGTTGGCGGCTTTACGTTGTTATAAACTGCTTATCCGATGGATATATTTTGGGTTGGGCATATAATATTCAGCGATCATCTCTAGTGACCACGAGGTATATATATTTCTAGTCTGTCCATGACTTATCGATAAAGATCTCTATCAGATGTCAATATTAAAAGAAAATCGAAATGCACTTTTATACTCTTCCAGAGCAGCTTATCCGATTCAGTCGGAAAACCAAATGGGAATCTCACAGGTAGGTATCAATAACGCAAACTAACAGTACAATCATACACACTTCATATCAGTCGTCACTGTCTTCGCTAGAATCAGCTTCACGCCGCCGCCGTTGCGTCGGCCTGCTTCCTCCCGCGTTCTCAGCATCCCCGTCCTGCGCACCCTCTGCTGCCCCTCCATTCGACTTCTTAACTCCAAGACTCCTCGCCAGGCGAAATTCAAATTCCTCGATCTTCTCTCTCTCCGCAGGGGTGATATCGTCATCCTCAACCATAGCCTGTCGACCATAAACCTCCCTCACAAGCCCAGCCACACCTCGCGTGCCGACCTCGACCTTCCCCCGCGGCCCGACCATGTAGTCGATGACCTCGTCGCCCCCGTCCATCTCCCGGCTTTTGATCAAGTAGCCTTCCTTACAGAGCCGCTGTAGTAAACGATCTGTTCGGTCGACGGGCGTATAGCTGTCGGCGTTCATACGGCTGAGGTACCGTTCCAGTTTCTGCTCCGGAAGCGTGCCCCCGTTTAGCAGGATCACAGCGATAATGAAGGTGTACAGGCCAGTGTAAGAGCTCTCAGCCGGTCCGCGTGTTGGGCGTAGAATGTCCTGTTTCCGGTACTTGGATGGCAGTGTGCTTGTAAGGATCCACGACTTATTCGTCGACGAGGGTCGTTCTACTTTCTGCGCAGCTATTGAAAATGAATTAGTATCATGTCCTTATCATGCCCAATTAGGCTGTATTAGAAAATGAAGTACCCACCCCTCCGCTGCTGAATCGTGACCTTCTCCTTCTGCGGCAACTCAGCCAGCTGCATCCCGAACGTCTCCGCCAGAACCTTTTGCGCGCCCTCAAAAACAACCTTAAACTGGCGAGAACCCTCCCCAAGAACTTTGTTAGTGACGTCCACTCTCCGAATCGGCTGCCGCGAGTATTCGCTCGAAAGCGCTAGTCGCACCAGCTTCTTGACCATCACGTCTGTGCTGCTGGGCGCGCGGATATTCGAATCCTCGCCGCTGTCATCATCTTCGCTCTCGGAGGGGGATGCGCGGACGCGGCGCTGGCGCTGGCGAGTTGTTTGAGTTGCGGGTTCTGGCGAGGCAGACTCTTCATCGCTGGATTGTGGTTCGTGGGCCTGGTCGTAAGGTTAGATGTGCTGGATATGAGCGCAAGGAGGCAACCTACCGCTGGTCGCTTACGAACAAGGGGCATTTTGAGTGTGAATTATACTGGGTAGTCTTCTTAGCGGCTGACTGGAACGACGCAGTATCTGGGCGTGGATGTGGAGTTGTGGAACGCGTGTTTGACGCGACGATAAGAGGTGGGTCGATATCTAAATGGAATCACATGCTCTGATGTGACTATCACATGTTAGCCCTACAGAGGATTAAATCATTGACATCCTGATGCTTGTAGTTTTTGATGGTGAGAAAACCAAGGGCCAAAAACTTGAATGGGTGAATCACTACTAATAGGCATGGAGGGGAGGCGCCATTCAATGGCTTCAGACCACGTGCAAACAAAGAAAGTGTAAAATGAACTGAGCTGTAATGTATATCCAACCGCACCTTGCATCAAAAAGAGAATGAGAGGAGACTATGAATGGTACCAGGACATTTCACAAAGAACGCTAGAACTTCGAGTCTAAAACAAAAAACAAGCCACCCCCAACCCAATTATAGAAGCAACATAAACAAGACAAATGATATCTTTTATTCCTGCGTTTGCTCGTTCACCATGTCTTTGACCTGGGCCTTCTTCTTCTGCAGCAGGGAGCTGATAAAACCCAGCGACTCCTGGGAAAGAACAAGGCTGGTAGTGATAATGGCCTTGCCGCTTGCGATGATTCCATCACCCCCACACTTCTTATACTCGTCCCCGTAGGTACTGAACACATGGCTCTTCGCATCGCCAACAACTCGCAGTGGGAAATACGCGGTGTCATAGATTGTGTTCTTGAGCGTTTTGGTATCCTCTTTGATGATAGGGAAGGTCGCATCGACCTTCTGCAATCCCTTGTCACCCAGAGAGTCTGCGCGAGTGACATATGGCGCAACGTATCCGTAGGGCTTTGAAAGGTAAGCCAGGTAGGGTTTGGCAATAACGTAGCCATGGTCGGCAAACTCCAATGACTTGGCGCCGTATTTGTTGCCCTTGTAGTAGACGATCGAGTCTGAGACGACGGGGTAGGAGGTCAAGTGCTACGCAGCAGCGTGTAAGCGTTTGTTAAGCAGCATGCCAATGAGTCTTGGTGACGACGAAGCTTACCTCCAAGAACTGGGACTGAGCCCGCTCGCCGTTAACTGCGTTTTCACCCATTGTGCCGTTCTCAAAATGAGGCATGGGTTTCTTATCAAGGTCAGTAGCTGTTTGGGTATAGAGTTGTAGAAGGTATGTTCCCGAGGAAGAGGGGTCAAGCTCGGGACTGAGCTCCTTAAGGGAACGGTATGATAAGGGATAGAAGGAGGGAAGGAAAGATGCTACCTAAGAGTGAGTCTGGGGGTGGTGGGAGGACGGATCCGGAGGAAGGTAGGCGAGGAATGAACCACAGGTGAGGACAGGTCGAGGAAAGTCAAAAAAGAGGGTTTCCAGACGATAAATAGCTAATAGCTGCCATTGACAGCAATGATTGATACCTTACGAGATCAGGACGCGCATCGTATCATGGTATGCTGGGAGCTGGTGTTGGCGCTGTTGACAGCATGTGATTGCGGGTCGCCAGTTCTTTTGCAGCCTGCAAGCACGTTTTCTGTCACCCCTCCACCACCACTGTCATTATTATCATCACCTTATCGGGGCTAACCAGACAGGGATCTTGCTCATAGTCCATGCGTTTCATTTATCCCCCGGGCGGCTGCCATGCATCTAAACTGACCAGGGGGCAAACATCGCGGCATCGTTGGATGAAATAATGGCGATGGCGAGGGGACTGAGCACTGAGTCTTGCCGTCCCGTTGTCATTATCATATGGATGTCCCTGTCTACCGACTTAGGTTGGCGACGTTATCGGGGGTGGCGAAGGGAAACAAAGAACAGCTCCGGGATGATGCTATGACAGTCAGAGCCATCAGCACCCTGTGCTGTGATTGAGTTTGGATCTTGCCGAGTTCTCTGGACAGTCGATAGCACCTCCGAGCGAATCCCTGATAGCTTCGCGGCTAAACTAGGTAGCTCTTTCAAGTCTAGACTTAGAGCACCGGAATGTCCCAAGCCGGCATGTGATTGCGGGTCTGCCCAGGCCTTCCGAATCTTGGTTGCATCTCCATCATCCATCACCTCATCCAGTCCAACGAAACCGTCGTCACCCCGAGACTCTCGGAATGTCCGATATGGTCTTTCCTGACGGGAAGAATGCACAAAAATCATCCCCGGTTGTGTTTCACCATCGGGACATCTCGTTGAGCACCTGCTCTTCCGGGACTAATGTCATTCTCGTTATCGCCTGCAGCCGGCAGCCAAGACCGCGACAAGCAACCCTCCAGGCCCCGAGCCTCCGACAACCCGAGTGGCATTCTAGGGACAGCGCCGTTGGGCTCTTTTAGATTTTCGAATCTTCGTTAATATGTGTTCCTCAGAGTTGATCTCCCGCGCACTGGTCGGGTTCTCTTTCCAGTTTCAGCCTGCATTTCAAAACGCCACCACTGCAGGCTTCCAGACTACTTCTGAAAGTTCTGATCCTCTAGACATAATCTTCCAGTTGGCCCAAGCGTTACTCACAGCCAACGGTTGGCGCCGTTACGACCATCTCGATGTACTACTCGACCCCGACGATCGGAATTACCGCTGTCCTTGACCTAAGAAGGCACTCGTCTGACGGTCTATGACTCGCAGCGTACTTCTGTCATTTGGGATTTGACGTTGTCGTACTACCCACCTGTGCATAATGCATATGCCGCTTAGAAATTCAACGGCGCAGATCACGCATATCCATATCTGATGTGCTAGGTAACCAATTATACCTGCACAAGTGCAAGCATATACTACCGCATGTGAACGTTTGAAGATACTTGTGATCTATGTACTAATTATCAAATCTAGGCCCGTTATCATGACTTCACAGACATGGAGGCACGGGGAGGCGATCTCCGAGCGGGGATTGACGTCTAAATGAAAAGTACGAGGCCTGAGCATACACAGGGGTAAGATTTTGACGTGCTCACATGTGGGACTACCTAAAAATAGGAAATTACTTGGTTCTTTGTTTGAAGTTAGGGCTGGCTACGGCCGCTCCCCGCGAATCCTGCTAAGAGTAGGCATTAATCGCTATGTTCTACTTCAGACGAATAAACTAGATCAGTGACCGTCCCGGTAACATCCTCTGCGCCCTCATAGCCCCTCCGTCATCTCGACATCACCGGCTTTCCTTTGAACTGATATGCTTCCCGCGACATTTGTCCACCTACTCCACCCTGACGCTTCTCATGAGCAGCTAACTTTTCTATTTCTCCAAGTATTTGTTGTCCGAGGTACTACTATTACATATGGCCCTCCAAATGAATAAGAGCCTGATTTAGACCGCGGCTCACCGACAGAGATCTGTACCTGACAGCGACACTTGGATCCCAAAGAAGTACCAAGATTCCCGCAGACCTGGGCTCGTAGCGAGTACTTCCCGAGCGCCTCTGATATAACTGGAAAAGAAGGCAGAATAGTATACTGCCTGCTTAGTTTGAGCAATTCTTGACCAGGTCATGACTTGCTCACGCAAGAAGATATCTCGATTGGGGAGGATGAAAGACTGCATGCCGTACGCCCAGGCTCGTTAAACCAACTCCCAAATCAGCGAGCTTGCACGATTCGTACGTCACACACATACCTTGAAGACTGTGCTTTCCAGTGCGCGGGCTGGTTCGGCATCTGGATCCCGAGGATGGACGCTGGCCCGGACGCTTGGAGTAGCCGGCCGAACCTATGAAAGCCTTTCCAGGTTGGGCGTTAGAACTTAGACTATGCTGGAGATCATGTCTCCACTCGCGGGATCACAAAGATCTACGGCACGGTCGATCATGGTCTCGAATTCGCCATCGGTTGCAGCCATTCTTAATACTCGAGGACAGTAAATACAATCCAGCTAAGTAGACTTGAAGTGCGAGCTATAGAGTGGTGCAGATGTCTTCCAGAAGCGGCTTCGCTGGAGAAAGAGTATTCTAACGTATGGTCTTGCATGGTCATGAAATAGAGAAGAGGTATACGTACTCGCGTTCCTAGTCAGTGGCCAACCAATATAAAATTCAGGATTGTCCTCGTAATGGTTGGTCATGGCGGGCATACTACCCCGGCCGCCATATCGGAGCTCGCCCAACCCAGTGCCCGATCTCTTTAACGGCTTGCTGCCAGCGATTGATGTCATTGAAAGAGGTAGAATGATTCGATGGAATCTTCAAATTACAGCGATTTATAGCTCAGAACTCTCAAACTAGGGCTCAAGGAATCTATAGCTGAGGAGATATCGGTTTCACTGAAAGCTTCTGGCCATGGCCTAAGTAGTACTCCGTCAGGAGCCCGGGATGGATCATGAACCTGGACCACACAGCATATCTCTTTCCATCTTCAGACGACTCACGAGACGCCTCGATGACATGGCGGAATGAATAAGGAAAAGCTACTATCATCAGGCAGAGTCTTGCCTGGGACCAGAAAATCACCCGAGAAACTAGATACTGAGAGCCAGGGAAGATAGCCCTAAGTTGTGCCCTTGGGACCGCTGACCTTGAGTAGCCTATCCAGTTTCCGCGATAGTAGGGGACGTGAGACTAATGAGGAAATATGAATATAAAGAACATTTTCCTGCTTAAGTGGCGTCGTTTCATGACCGTTCATCTATGTAGGCCCTGGCCGAGCATCATGCTTACCCCTCGGCCGGTAATTGCAACTTCCGTTAACAAGATGAGCTAGGGTGATTCGGTGGAAGGAGCTTGGTGCCAACTTAAGTTTCTCACAGACTCTCTAGGGCCTGGGCGAGCGGCTTGTCGCAAATCCCGATAACCCTAATGCTCCGTGACCAATGTCCGTCCTGAGTCACTAAAATTGGGCCATGGCCAAAGCCAGTCACAACTTTGTACTTGAAGATATTCCTAATATGACGACATTAAAATGCTCCTACTTATGCTGCTTATGCATTACTCCACAGGTCACGGCATGCTTTAGAGCTTTGGGGTTCGTTGATGTTGATAGCAGTTGGCGCCGTGGGGTTCTTCCTCATTTGACGGTCGTTTCTTCTCGTTCTGCATCTACCCCAGCAAGTTTCCATCACCATCAGTTGAGTCCTCGACGTCAATTATCGTCATACCTACGAAGTACGGCCTTGGTGGTAACGCCATCCTTAAGAGTCAAATGGCCTGTGATGGCCACGTCCGGAATCGCGACTGGATGGTCACGGTTTAGACGAAAGTTTGACCGGCATGAGAAGACATGAAACATCGGGGATAATGGGAGCGAGTCGGCGGCCACTACAAGTGCTGACGCTGTAAGCATTCTTGGAACAGGATTGGATGGCCGAGGACAGTCGACCTTATCCTGTTCGACGCTTCTGGATGGCCTGAGCGTCCCGGCCGGCAAACAAGCCCTGGTCGTAGTCCATGAGACCCAGTTAGTGGTAAACATTACGTCTATGCGAGATCTGCTATAGGTCACAAAGGCTAGGTACTCTCTAGCAAGCCTCTAGTCAGCCATGTGCGCGTTTGAGAAGGCCGCAGCTGTGGAGCTCGTCCCTGACCGGCCATGGCCACGAAGAGTATTGATCATGACCTTTAGGTATTCGCAATCTCCATTCCAGATGTTACCGTAATGGCTCTTCTGAAGAGATAGCCGGCTCACAGGCCGGAGCATTGCAGAAGACATGTTTGATAGTCGAAGTGCTTGCCGCCACATAGCCCTAACTTATCCTCTTCGGAAGGCGGCGAGCAACTACCAGACCAAATGCCGACCATAGTTCATTTGAGGTAGATGACCACCATGCATAGTTTATTGTGAGAGGAACAGTCAGCCTGCGCTCTCAAGTAATGTAGGTATGGACTGCCTGCCGCTCTTTCAATTCGAGCCATATTGCTTGAATCATGTAACCCATACCTGCTCACTGAACGGCGTGTATATCCTATAGCCGATGTGTTTATCGTCACACCCAACAGTCTCGCTCAGAAGCGCTGGCGTGGTGAATGCCCTCGACACTTTGGGCCCTGGCCCGACTGTCCAGCCTTCTAGCATTTGTCATGTCCGCTACTTTAGGGGTCATCCATTAACCAGAAGAACGGAAATATAACCCTGACACTGGCCGACAAGAACTTCTATAAGCATTAGGGTTGAATCAGTTCACCCCGTTTTCAACCAGGCCATGATCAGCAATTCGGACATGGTCGTTGGAAGTAAATACCTGGATAGACATCGCAGGATGCCGATGGATCAATCAAGTTTGTGTCCACCAGATTGGGCAAGCAATAAAGGCTCTGATTCCTTTCCAAACAAGAATCCATTATGGGAGAACATTAATACATGGCTAGGTTAGGACTTTATGAATCGACATATTTAAATGAGTCAACGAAGAGGAATTGCTCAAGATATACTCACTTGGTCTGACATGCTGCGATGCAATCTGGCTAATCATGCCATAGCTCGTCTCTCCAAGTCTTCAGCAGTTGCCAGCGCCTTTCTAGGAAAAGAAATGGCAGGCTGTAGATTCTGGTAGAACTAGGAATGATGCCGCATGCTGTGATGACCGGATAGTCTTTGAACAACAATAGTCTCCTTGGGCGCTTATCTGTTGAGAAAGAATATGCTCAGGCCATGGACAGCTTTAGAATTGTTGAGGCTGGGGGGAATGAGTTATTTGAGTGAGTTGATCATAACACAACCCACCTGAGCTCTTTCTAACCCAGCTGTTTCTGCCTTCACCTCCTGACACCCCTCCAGCTTGTTCTCCCCTCCCAGCATCCCCTCTCCCTTTTCTTTTCATCCTTCTTTCATCTCCAGCTACTAGGTCCTTCCAACAATCGACGCCGACTACTCGTCACTCCGCTAAGCTCGCCCTCTTGAGCTCAGTGGAGTGACGAGCCCGAGTATTTTCATGCCTTTTCACTCTGTTTCCAAACCCACTGTCAGTGTGCTAATGCTCCGACAAAACAAGACCTTGGACTCAAAGTGCCTCGGGACCATCTGATCTACCAGCAAGAGAAGGAATCAGCACATGGGATCTGCTGAATGGCACAAATTCACTCCCAGTCGCTGTGTTTCAAGAGTTCCTTCGAGATGCTGAGCCCACCCAGTTCAAGGTATGTACTCAGAGCCGGTAACCACATCACCACGCTCCATGTGCTGATCCGGCAGCCATAGGTTGGTACAAGTACGCGGGAGTTTCAGTATTATCCGCTGTTTCTCGTCACATATCTCCCTCCGATTCCTGGTTCTATCTTATGACGACTGATTCTCTGCCATGAATCAACACCGCTTGACTTGTTCGCGGGTTTTCTTTCCAACACCGAACTCCTTCAAAAAAAAAGTCAGGCAGACTTGCTCGCCCTTCTTGTCTGCATCAACTCATCCTCCACCCATACGCCGACCATTGTGGTTATTCACTCCGCTACTTGCGCGAAAGATATCTGAAGAAACCACTCCCTATGCCATTGACTATCAATGTTTAGACAGTCCGCTACTTGCGCGAAAAAGATGCTGTTTAAGCATAGTACTCCTTGGTTCCTATATGTATTAACCTACTGCCCATACGCCAACCATTGTGGTTATTCATTCCGCTACTTGCGCGACAGACCCTTGAAATACCACTACCCATCCATGCCATTGACTTTTGATGTTTGATCGGTCCGCTACTTGCGCGAAAAAGATGCTGTTCAATCATCGTAGTCCTTGGCCTTCTATAGCGTTCTTCCGCCACTTGCGCGATTTGTTTTTTGAATGCTATTTCCCAACCACCCGCCCATATGTCAACCATTGTGGCCATTCATTCCGCTACGGCGCGACTTCTCTTCAATGCCACTATTCGAATCGTCTTCATAGCCTTTGACCTTCTTCGGCACTCTTCCGCTGCGGCGCGACTTGTCTCGAATGCCCTCGCCCGTTCGGATGAGGAGTGCTCAACAAACCACCTTTCCAGCAGGTAAAAGCTTATTCCTACGTACACTCTGAATAATCTGACCCAGAAGCCCTCAACAGATATGCGTTTATCCTTTCTCTTCACCACCGCTTGACTTTTCGCTGTTTCCCAGCAATTCCCCTAACCATGAAGCCACGCCTCATGATGATCCCTCGTCCGGACGGGCGAGGAGTGCTCAACAAACCACTTTCTAGTAGGTAAAAACTCATGTGTTTAAGTACACTCTGGATGATCTGACGCGATAGCCTTCAGCAGATACTCGCCTGTCCTGTTTCTTGAATTTCGCTTGACTTGCTCGCTGTTTCCCCGCAAGTCCATAAGATGAAACGCCGGTCCCACAGATTTGCTCGCGTCTGTGTCGATGCCAACTGATTCTTGACCATGAATCAAGCGTACGCTTCATGCAGACTTGCTTTCGGGTCTTGTCTGTCTCAACCAGCTCTACAGCCCATGAGTCGACTATCATGGTTAACTATTCCGCCACGGCGAGGTAACAACAAAGTAACACTTCACTCTGCGTCATTTCGGCCATGGCCTTCGATGTTAGACTGGCCCGCCACTGCGAGTTTATAGTCACTTGAGCATCTGAGCCCTAGTCCTTCAATGGCCGTTTTCCCTACTGTTGCAAGGGAACGCCGCTAGCAATTCTACCATGCACAACGTCTACTTCTCCAATATTCAAGTCACCACGCTTCTGGATCCTCTCAAACATGTATGTCTTTTGTTTGGCTGCCCTTCTATTCCACACGCTGGCATGACCGCGACATTCCCTGTCCAAACCGGTGTGCCTGTCCCTCAAAATCCCATCTTCCGGTTTTGACCTCCTCCAATCACATCCGGTTTCCTAAAAACGGCACGACCATGGTATTTCCCACGCTACGCAGTTCGCTATGCAGCTACTCTAATATCAATTCCGTGGATTGCCCTATACACCATTCCATCATATTACTCCTCCGTCTACTCGTCCTATCTCTTGTTGAGCTTCTTCAACTGGTCGGAGGTCCCCCTAAGCTCGCTCAGCTGTATCCATCCCACCTACTCATCCTGGCTACTTTGTCAATTTTCGGGCATTTATTCCATGATTATCAACGTCGGAGCCGATGACTTACTTGAGACTTGAGGAGGCCGCTTGGGAAGAGCTGTTGATTTACAATAAGGAGTCATTCAACATCAAGATGGTCTATGGCAAGAATACGAACCGGACCGCCAGCATCGTGGACATGTCTAGGTACTGGGACATGTTCGAAAGCAAAAAGGATATCAATTATTCTGGATGCTGCAGCGCAGACAGCAAGCCCCAAAGCATTTCAACTAGCCCAACTATCCTGAAGTCTCTTCCTATAGTCTGCCACCATCTCCGCAGTGATGTTGCTCCCTCCGCAAACAACGATGACAACACGACTATCAGGCGTCAATTCAGGTACGTACTCTCTCAATTTCCCCGATGCGCCAACCTCGACGCTGATCCCGCAAGCCAATTCGACCTGCAGCCTGAGCTCGTCCGCCAGCCGGATCACGCCATTTGCAGCTTCTGCATCAGAGCCAACAACGCTGACGACTTCCAGTCCAGCAGGGGGAGACTGCGCATACTTCAGGGTCTGCGGCGCGACTTGAAGTGCTCCTAATGATGTAGCAAGGGAGGTGATGGCCGGGAGAGACTGCAGGGTGCCGCTTCGAAGTGATAAAGCCAGGGAATCAGCCCCCTTGGTTTCGACGGCCAGAACGCGGACTTTGCTTTGGCTGTCAGGAATGTCGCTCTTCTGAGACTCTAGATATCGAGCCAGGCCCTCAACCACGCCATTGAAAAGCCCACCGCCACCAACGCTGCAGACCACAGCGTCTGCAGGGAACGTGCCCTTGCCATCCCCCCTAGGCGGCATCTGTTTTGCAATCTCATCAATCATAGTACTGGCACCGGTCCAAATTTCTGAATGATCAAACGGTGGGACATAGAGGTTTCGCTTTGTCGCGGCAGCACCTTCATCCTGGTTTTCAATAAACGTCTGCCGAAGATACGTATCAGCATGGAACCAACTGTCCCCGTGCTGAATCACATCAGTGGCACCAGCATCCCGCAGCTTCGTGATCATCATGGGCTTGGTTGAGTGCGGGACGACAACAGTGCAACCGCAGCCAAGATCCCGCGCTGCGACGACGGCTGCAAGACCGGCATTCCCACCGGAAGAACTGAAGAAATGGAGTTCCTTGTCTTTGTTGGCTGGGTTGATGAGGGCGTTGCGGATGAGGTTTCCGATTCCTCTGGGGATTGTGAGCTAAGGAATGGCGGATGGGAGCTTGGTGAGATGGTATACCTAGTCTTGAAAGAACCGGATGGTTGAAGCAGATCTAGTTTGAGGAATACTCTGCTGCATTCATGTTTAGTGAGGATGCCGGCTGCCAGTGGAGTTGAAGCTTACCATCCTGCCGTCTTTGATAAGGAAGCAGACTCGATTAGAGGTGTTTCGATCCAGGGCTTTTTCTCTACAGCCGGCATTTTGATTTATCGGTCTTGAGGGAGGAGGAATAATGTGCCCGACAGGATCTTTCGTGGGAATTTCAGCTGGTTATGTACCAGTTGGAGAAATGGGTTTTGCACAAAGTTTGAGTGGAGAGCGCGCGCCGTATGGCGCCCTGCGACATGTAACTCCATGCTACCGAATGGCTTAGAAGATAATAGATCAATCTGTCGGGCTCACATCTCTATCATTCCGTAAACTACGGCCGAGGTAGATTGAATCAATCACGACAATGGTCATGAGTAAATGCTAAGAGTTAAGAGGCCAATGCATGCTTCCTGGAGTCAAAGTCACGTGAAACCCCAGATCTGTGGCGTCATCCCGATCAGACCATCCCGTATTCTTCGAGCTCGACCAAAAAGCTATCAATTCTCACCACAATGGCGATGAAACCTCCTCTCTCAATGTCAAACTTACCTTTCCGCAATTGCGGTCAGTGTATGCGCCACCGATACCTCCGTCCTACCGCACCATCCCGATACCTCTCTACGACCTCTCCGCTTCGCAACAGTAACCCCCTCCGCGCGCACACAAGTGCAAATGCAAACGCACGGGAGCAAGAGATCGAAAGGTCCCGCCGGAGGATTGCCCTATCCGCGGCCGGGATGGTGGCTTGCTCGTTGGCCATGTTCGGAGTGATCAAGCTGGATTTATACGGGTTAGAACAGCAGCAACAAAAGACCCAGGAGGAGGCGGAAAAGACAAAGATTAATGGGGCAACTCGCATGGACGGACCGGAGGGATTTCCGAGTAGTCCCTCTGTCATTCGGATTCAGGGTCAGGATGGTGTAGAGCAAGTTGCGACGGGGACGAGCTCGGTGCCGCATTTCCCGTCAACAATCCGGCTGCCGAAGTACGAGGGCGACGGAAGCTCGGCTGCGTCGAAACTCGCGCCTTGGGACGAGGTTACCGGTGATGGCGAAGAGCAAGAGGAATACCAGCTCCTGGGCCTTGGAATCCGCACCGTTTCGTTCCTGAAAATCCAAGTCTACGTCGTCGGGCTGTACGTCGCCAAATCGGACATCTCGGAGCTCCAGCAGCGCCTCGTGCATATGGCCGTCCACCCTCCGAGCGATAAGCAGGTGATTGCGAACCCGGTCGGCGCAACCTCTGCTACCTCGTTGGTGTCTACCGAGCGTCAAAGGTTGAAGGACCTCCTGCTTGACGGTGAGCAAGGCGAAGACGCCTGGAACGCGATCCTGAAGGACGATGGCCTCCGAACTGCCATTCGCATCGTCCCAACCCGCAACACAGACTTCGGCCACCTGCGCGACAGCTGGGTGCGTGGAATCACGACGCGCGCGCAAAAGGCCAACGCCAAAGCCAAGGCCGCTGCTGCTGAGGCTGGTGCGGGTGCCACTGCGCCTGAGGAATTCCAGGACGATGCATTCGGCACCGCGGTGAACGACTTCAAGACCTTGTTTGGTGGCGGTCAGCGCAAGCATGTGCCCAAGGGCCAGACACTACTACTGCTGCGCAATGCCCGTGGAGAGCTGGATGCGCTATTCCAGCCTGATGCGGCGAAGCCGTTCCGGTTTATGGGCCGTGTGTCTGACGAGCGGATTAGCAGGTTGGTGTGGTTGATATACCTCGGTGGAAAGAATGTGTCTAGTGAAGAGGCGCGACGAAGTGTCGTGGACGGCGTCATGGGCATTGTCGAACGGCCCATTGGGACGGTCGTCCAGAAGATCTTGTAATAGTTCACGTGTATACCAGTCATCTCCATTCAACATGCTCTGTACAAAGCAGGCCAAGTTCTCTCCCTGCAAGTTCTACCGCATTACTACGTATCGAATAAATATGACATCAGGTCATCAAAGATGAATGAGAATTCAGTGTAGAAAGTGTATGTGCAGATTAGATTATCGACGAGCCATTATTCCGCTTCCTTAAGACACGCATCCGCTTAGCCAAGGTAACCCATTTACAGAGCACCCGCATCCTTCAGCAACTTGGGCAGTTCACCCTTGATACCCTGAAGGTCGGAGTTTCCACCGATGTGCTTCTGAGCAATGTAGATGTTGGGCACGGTGCGCTGGCCGCTGATCTGCTGGAGGGCGTTCTGGAGGGCGTCTCCGTCCTCTAATCGTAGACAGTATAGTTAGCAGCCGAGCCAACAAAACAGCTTAACACGGCATGACATACCGATGTCGTCCAGCTCAAGCGCGTAGTACTTCGCGCCCAGATCGTTGAGCAAGTTCTTGCTGGCCTTGCAGTAGGGGCAGTATGACTTGGAGAAAACGACTATGCGGGACCGACTATATTAGCCTCGCTCTATCGTGAAGACCGGAAAAGAGGCGAAACATACCAACGCCGTTCTCATCAATGATTTGCTGGGCCTTGACCTTTGCGGAAGACATTGTGGCTGGTGAGGCGGGGGCGAAAGACCCGAAGAGACGACGGAAGATGAAAGAAATGGTGGGCAACTGGCTGGGCTATCCCAGAGAATATGGATATAAGAAAGATGAATGAGGGGGAAGAGGGAATTTATTTACTAGGAGCGATTAGAGATGACGAAAGAGGGGTTGGTAATCGCAGATGAGGAGCACGCAATGGATTGTTCCAGAGCGAGGAGAGGCTGCGGTTGACCTCGGCGGAGGCGGCGGTGATGACAAAGGTCACATGACTTTATCTTGACCGTACAGATACTACTGGCAGTAAACCATAGCCTAAAGTTCATTGACTAAAGTCTAAAGTTAGAAGACAGTAACGTTGCACATCGTGAAGCCTGCAAAGGCCCACGAAAAGCAGAACTTCGGATCATCGCCGCGGGAATACCGCTCAAACATTCTGATCGAGCAGTGAGAAGGTATCAAGCGCAGAAAACCGTGCAAGGAACGATGTGGCTGCAACGCCATGATAGATCAAGTAGGAGATGGTAAAAGAGGGCAAAATATGAAGTGAAAGGAAATGATCTAGGACGCAGAAAATGGCTGTTGAACACAAAACACCATCCATAAACGCTGAACGAACAAGCGACAAAAATAAAAAAGAAGAACACAAGAAGATATTTGCGAGAGCAGAGGTATAAGTGCTTTTTGTACGGATTTCGAAATCACATCACGATGCAGCATCCACACCCCTTGTCCACCTTGTCGTCCTCTGGAGGCGGCCCTTGAGCTGTTACAACGGTTTGGCTGTTGAACCTTGGGGTTAATCCCGTGGGAGGTGGGTCCTGCACCTTTGGCATTGGGCTGTATCCTGTGCTTGTGCCAGGTCGGCTCGGCTCGGGACTCTTTGGCGGCGGTTGCAAACCCAGGCCCTCTGGTTTTAACGGCTCTGGTTGCTCGCTTTCCTTCTCGGCCTCTTTCTCTGTCTTTTTTACCGGCTGGGACTGATCGGGCACGATTGCGAGCGGTGCGAATTCCCGATCATACATCGTGGGCGTCTTGCCTTCCTTTTCCCATTGTTCTTGTTGCATCTTCCGCGCGTGGGTGGGCAATATTTGCTGGTCTGGCGGTAGCCGCGGGTCTGGCTTATACATCGTCGCTAGCCATGGCGGATCTCCTTCTGGGCGATTGATGGCCGTAGGCGGACGAGGCTCGCCTGCTCTAGTTGTGGGACGCTGGTTGGCGTTGCTCGATGTAGCCCGGCTTCGGGGTGACGGCTTTTTCGGGTTCGGAGCGGACGTCTTTCTGCTTGTCGAGCCAGTTTTTGCAGTAGCCTTTTTAGTGGCTGCGTTTTGAGACGATGGCCAGCCCCGGCTGCCGGGTCGACTCTCGCTAGCGGGGTCGGAATTCGAGGCAGAATCTACTGTTAATGGCTCACTAGCTCTACGTGGCATCCCCCGCGATGCTGCTTCTTCGTCCTCGTCCGTCGGAGCCCGTGAGCGAGACGAGAAGTATTCGCGGTCGTTGTTCTGCGGTGATCGGGACGCCGGGCTCGACATTGGGATTGGGATGCGGGAGGAACTCTTCCTCAGCCCAGGGTTGCGGTACATGCTTGATGCACTAGATTCCCTTTCCGCCGCGATCTCCTCAGGCCGGCGGAGATCCCAGCATTGGCGTTCTTCCTCTGTAATGTCATGACCATTCGCAGGGGCTGAACGAGCGGCGTTGTTCTGTTGGTCTTCTTGAAGGTCCGGCCACGGTTCCAGTGGTTCATGATGCGTGGCAGTAGTTGCAGTAGCTCCGCTAACGCTGCCGTGCTGCTGGTCTCGACTTCTTCCGCGGCCTTTCGTGCTGCCAGTGCCTGGTCGACGCTGAAACAAAATAGCGGCCTGTTGTAGCTCTTCGCTTTCAATGCGGGCTAGTTTATCGCGGTGGATCCATTTCTCGTCGTTTTGTTCCCCCTCCGTTACATCACTCTTCCTAGACCCATTGATATGGGGCGATGCCGCCGTGTCCTGCACGCCTCCGTTCTCACTCTCTGTGCGACTGAGGCTTGGATCTCGTCGACCTCGGGGCGCGTGGTGGGATTGTTCGTGATTGTAAATTTGTTTAGACAGCGAAGAACTGCGGGAACCCTTCGAGCCGCGGTCTCGGGACTTGCGGGATGTTCGAGATTTGGAGCGGCGTCGGTTCTATAAAATGGTCGGTCAGCTTTGACTAGGCAACCGGGAGCCGGATACCTGGCCGAACAACGGCAGTACGTACCTCCCCGTTAATCGGAACAGCGAACTCCCATTGCTGCTGACTCGCGTCTACAGTGCTAGTTGAGGTCCAAACGTCGGGGCCATACGTCGCGGTAGCTGTACCCGCCATTCCAGCAGCCGATAAAAGGATGTATTATGAACGCAAAGAGGCCAGACCAGCTGGGCCCGGGTCGGGAGTATAGGTGCAAATGAGGTGGTCAAGAAGTGGTAAAGCGCGATTGCCCCTGGGTCCCCTCTCGAAATCAGGCCATCCTAGTAAACGCAGCAATACCGGTAAAGGTCGCAGTGGGAGTTCCCAGCCAGGATTGTCGATATAAGAAGGAACGTTTATATATTATGCGAAGGCGGGGTGAATAAAGGAGGCTGTATAGCTCTCTCCAGCGACGTTCTGGGTAGAGATTTCGGTAGGTTGAAGAGGACGACAACCAAAGATGAGGTCGCCAGGAACAGGAAATTGTAAATAGGAGGAATTGTGGGGACTTCGGATCTCTTTGGGACTGCTGGAGATGATGGCGTGTGATTCGGTTGAGGTTAGGAGGGACCGACGGGTCGTACCGTGGATATGGCTAAGGCGAAGGAATATTAGAGGCAGACGACGAATACCGCTGACGGACTGTGAGTAGAAAATATTAAGCTAAAGAGGTTGAGAATAAACTCAAAAGAAAAAGACAGAGCGGAAGCAAACGCTGGGAAAGAGGAGTAACAGAGAAGAGGGGGTGAAAAAGAAACGGCGGAAAAGGAGTGAGGCAGGAGGCGGGACCGGTCTGGCTGGTTGGTTTCGCTGGCCAGTTGGGTCAAACAGATGCTATATTGAAAACATAAAAGAAAGAAAGACTGAGAAGGGCCACTGAAAGTGGATCAGACAGAATTGCCAGGAAATATTATGCGGTCCTGTGGTTGACCAGCGCAATGAAGGTTCAAGGGAGAAGGAGGCGACAAGGAGAAAAAGCCGGCGGGCGAAAGCATGGAGCAGCACTCACTTGGCCTCAAGGACGACTATCACGAACTAACCCAGCGCCTTTACTGCGTTGAGTCTAGCGAGCAGCTAGTCTCAACAGCCTCTTTTCCCCGGCCGCGACAGCCTAGAACTTCAGGGCCTCTGCAAGCCAATTGCAGCCGGCAATTGCAGGCAGATCGCACTTCCATGATCTTGGGACAATCTGATCGCGCATGTGCTGCCAAATATTGGTCACCACTGTAGGTGATGCCTCACAAATCAGCTATTTCCACGAAACCCCGACAGTTTCAGTCGTTGGAGGGCCAAAGTGACAGGTCCATGCTGCAGCCTCGCTGATGTCAGTGAGGTACGGAGTAGTTGGGTCGCGCTTATGAAGATGGACAAGGCGTAAGTTGGGAACCGAACCGTTAGCAGCGAATGATGATCTGCAAACGCAATAAGAACAACCCACCGTGCTATTTAACTTCAACCGCTCAAGCGTTCAAATAGTCCGAGATTCTGGATCTTTAAAGTCTGGATCTCGGTCATAGGGGGCGAAGCATTATACCTCTGGAGTCTGAACATGAATGAACATCATTCGGATATCACGTGTGCTTTCGCCATCTTGAGATTTCGATTGCTGCCATCACAAAACTTCCTCTCAGGAAGCATTTCAGCGAAGAAATCCCTTTTGCCCTAGACGGGCAAACCACCTGGCGCAAGCCATGCTTGTCTCTCGTGCTATGGTATGTCACGTTTACTCCTCGACTTTTTTGTCTTCATGCTAACTAACTCCTTGACCCCCTCAGATGCTGCATGCAGGGATTATTGAGACAGAAATAGCACTGCATAAACTGGTCTCGACTCGGCGAGCTCAGGTCACTCGGATGTCGATTGGCTTGAATCCAGGATGGCCTACATACACGAAATAGAGCGAGTGGAAGGTAATCAGACTTCAAACTACGATCATGGTCGAAAAATCCACTCCTCACTGTCACTTCTGTCTGTCGGGTAGCGAGGCCTGTTCCACATATTATCATTGACAGGCCTGTTCACGACTGATAGCTCCACATCCTTTCTAACGTGAATCGAGTGCAAGTCCCGGTAACCACCGCCGGACTTGTTGTTTGAGCTGATATGTGCGTGGCTATTATTACCTCGACCCGAGTTATGAGTAGTATTGGTCAGGCCGGGGAAGATCTTGGACATCAGCGGCCGAACGCCCGGGAGACAGCCGCAGACAACGCCGAGGTTCGTCTCTACCGCTACAATGACAAAGATAATGGCACCATTGTCTAGATCTTGCATCAACAGGTGTACATACGACTTGGTGGGTAAAGAGAACTCACAAGTCTGGTCCCAGGAGTTCGCAAACTTGACCTGCCAAGTAATGCGAAACACGCCTGCGATGCAAATTCTTTAACCGGAGTTAGCACTGTTAGAATGAATCGCGAGATCTCGCCTTACAGGACTCCGACACCAAAACAGATGATCAATCCCGCCCTTTTCGGCAAGCTCAGCTTCACTTTCCAGAGGTAGTGAATTGGCCAAAGATAAACCATGAAGTCTGTTATACTGTTGATGGCTGCAGCGGCGATGTAGAACTTTTCGGAATCAATGCATTGTTTCTGCGACATCGGCTTGAAGACTGCCCAGAGATCGGACAATGGTCTGAGCTGCGTCAGTGCATAGTGTCTCGGACATCATCGGTACTACCCACATGCATTGCAGTAACATGGTGGCAGTCGTCGATATTCCAAACATGGCTAGAATGACCATCGAGATATAGTTGAACCATTTGTTGGTCCTCGATGGGAAAAGGCGAAGGTAGGTCAAACATATCGAAATCTTGGTTATGGCGGAGCATGGCGCAAAGAGGGCTTGTATCGCAATGGTCAGCTTCATGGAGGTTAGTCTCCGAGCTTGTTCACCCGTTCGGATAACTCACTTTACCAAGTGCAGGATACCATTCGTATTTGACGTCGTATAAGTGACGACCAATTCCATATCTGGGTTCGACTAGCTGACAAGCCGACAATCCCATCGCCAGCACCTTTAGTTAGGGTTAGCGAAATTGTACGCCGATCTCCCAGCTAGGTACCTACATAAGCAAAAAGCATCGTCCAGTCGTCTACTCCCAGCGCATTTTGCACAAGGAACGTCCGTGATACGAACCGGCCGGCAACGAAGACAGTCATCAGAACCATTAGAGGGATATTGACGCCGTAAATGATGGCATCCAAGGGTTCGTGGGGGTCATCATAATTTGGCGTTGGCCAACTTAGCATCTCTTCGAGGCTGGGAGTCGACATTGTAGCGGAGGTTGCTTTCGTGAACAAGCGACACAGACAAGGAAGAGTCAGGTAGGGTTGGACTCTGCATCGTGGAAGTTTCCCTGTGCGGATGTGCCAGGCTATATAAGGCTTGCCCCCTGAGAAGGAACAGCCTTCGAAGTTGCGGGGAACGAACTGCCATGTGCACGGTTGCATGCACGCCAAATCCTACATACGCCGACCCCTGCTCGGCGACGGACCATGGTTAGTTGTCGTCTTGTCAGTGTCAGGAACGCATCGTCTTTGCAGGCATACCATGCGTCTGCCCACTAATTTGGCGTCGACTACAGCACCTAGAACAATAAGCATTTAAGAATATTTTACCGATACGCTATCCAAGCACGAGGCGGGGGGGTTGGTGGCCATCTACATCCTTTAGGTCAGAGGTCTAACGGCGAAGGACAATTCCATGCTTGGCGTATGCCTGCTCATGGCAATATCGACATTAATCCTTGCCTTTTTCCACACAAGCACTCGATGCCACAGTGACAATAGCCATTGATGTGCGGGCGGGGTGGCGTCGAAGGAATTTCAGGCCGATTCCGACTTTAGAATAGAGCTGTTTCAGCTCAGGACAACCCCACAGTCATCCTAGATAGCGGATCAAAAGTCGTTCATACAATTGCTGGGTTAGGTGTACTACGGAAGGGGATGCGATGAATGAACCCCAGACCATGGCCCTGGACTAACCCGACTTAGCAGAGACTGAGTCAGGCTCCATGACCACCCCAGCTCAGTCCAATTTATTCTCCACCTCAACCCCATGAGATGCCTACACCTGGACTTCATTGCGTGGAAAGAGTGGCAAGGGACTCATTTTAAGAGTCAGACAACTCGACACGACATGTCTATCTCCACCGAAGTACGGAACATGACTACGCCACATAAGTTCTGGCATCCTGGCCAAATGCAGGGTGTACGGCCTAGTCCTCTATAATCTACAGATAGCGAGGGCAGTGACATTATTCCATGAAGGCGAGTCGAACGTGAATTGAATACGCAACCTGATTCAATCTCCGCTCAGCTAGGTCCTGGGGCTTTATTCCAAGGACTCAATAGAGCAATATATCGCCCCAGGCTTTCTAAGATGGACTCCTTCGTTACTGATCTACCGGTACAGTACGCATTGGCCACCGTTAGATCGTGGAAGGCCGAGGATGTCCCGGATATTCGATCCTGCGGCACGGGGCATAAAGAGTTATTTTCTATCCATCTGCGCTGACTCGTCCGCGGACCCAGGGGACTAGCGACTGATACGACGTATAACTATAGGGCTTGCCGTGGATTTCCTCTTTTCCTCCCCTCAACAGTTGGGTTTTGGTTTTTTTTTTTAATCGCTACACTCGTTTCGGACTTCTGCTGTTTTTACTTCGTCCTCTAATGCTAAGGGCTTGAGAAGCCTGCCATTCTTTTGATCTTATTCTTGTCACTCATTTGACCACAGTTTACTTATACTTTGTGAAGGTGCCTATCTGGACTATCTACCATAATGGCTGTTTGGAAGAGCACTTTTCTGTCACTCATTTATCTTGCTTCTCCGTCTCTAGCTCTATTTAATCTAGGTGTTCCGGGAATCAATTGGTCCTACGATTATGTTGTGGTCGGTGGTGGCACTTCAGGCCTCGCCATTGCAGCAAGGCTAGCTGAGGATCCTGGGGTGACGGTGGCCGTTGTAGAGGCCGGTGGACACTATGAGATCGAAGGTGGTATCGAGAGCATTATTCCTGGCTTCGCTGCCGCAGCGAATACTGGCACTGACCCTTCCGACGATTCGCTGCTAATCGACTGGAACTTTGATACCTTGCCCCTGACGGTATGTGATCTGCATTGAATCCCAGTATACGCCCTTGTCGAGACATATTGACCCTGGTTCCAGGCTGCAAATGGTCGAGTCCTTCGTTATGCAAGAGGAAAATGCTTGGGTGGCACCTCTGCGCGCAACTTGATGGTCTACCACCGGTATGTTCTGCAAGACTCTTTTACCTATCAAAACTAAATCTTGGCAGAGGAACCAAAGAGACCTATGATCAGTGGGCAGGCATCACGGGCGACTCTTCGTGGGAATGGGACTCGGTGTTGCCCTACTTCAAGAAAAGCTGCACATTGACAGCACCGGACATGACCAAGCGTAACGCGAATGCGAGCGTGACGTATAACGTGAACGCATTTGACAACAGCTTGGATGGTCCTCTTCAAGTTAGTTGGCCTAACTATGGCTCCCCGTTCTCCACGTACGTCGAGGTTGGGCTGGAAGAGATCGGTATTCTTTCAGGGCAGGATACAAACAGCGGCTATCTGAACGGCTCTGGCTGGGCACCTTCCACTATCGATCCCAGCTTGGAAACACGGAGCTCCTCGAAAACGAGTTTCCTGCCACAATTTACTCTGAACTTCAACGTCTACGCGCACACTTTGGCGAAGAAAATCAACTTCAGCGGAACCAAGGCTCAAAGCGTGAAAGTCGAAACCCTCGGTATCTCCTACACCCTCGCAGCAAAAAAGGAAATCATCCTGTCTGCCGGATCCTTCCAGTCCCCCCAACTCCTAATGGTCTCCGGCATCGGACCCAGGTCAACCCTGGAAGAGCTCGGGATCAAAGTCATCAAGGACCTTCGCGGCGTCGGCCAAAACCTCTGGGACCACGCACTCTTCGGTGTCGTCAATAGAGTCAACGTCGTGACGGCAAGCCGCCTCGTGAACGACGCTCTCGCGGCCGCAGAAGCCCTCGCTCAATACGCCTTCCAAAAGGGGCCCCTCACGGCCCCTGGCTTCGGTGTCCTCGGCTTCGAGAAACTCCCCGATAGTATCCGCAAGCACTTCACAAACAGCACGCGCGAAGCCCTCTCGGCCTTCCCCTCCGACTGGCCAGAGGTCGAATATCTCAGCCTCGACGGTATCCTAGATGGCTGGCACAGTGCTGACGACCAAGATCTCGGCGATGGCTACGAATACGGCACCATCGCGGCAGCCCTCATCTCCCCTCTCTCCCGCGGCTCCATCTCGATAAGCAGCGCCGACACCACTGATCCTCCGCTCATCGACCTCGGCTACCTCACCCACCCAGCAGACCAGGAAGTTGCAGTTGCAGCCCTGAAACGCGCGCGGCAGGCCTTCAATGCATCGGGCGTCACTATCGACGGCGTGGCCGAGCACCGCCCGGGACCAGACGTGCAAACCGACGAGGAGATTCTTGGATTTATCCGCTCGACTATCGTGCCGGTGTGGCATGCTGCTGGGACTTGTGCGATGGGCGACGCCAGTAACCCCGACGCTGTTGTCGACTCGAACGGCAAGGTCTTCGGTGTGCAGAACCTGCGCGTTGTAGATGCAAGTATCTTTCCCACTTTGCCACCGGGACACCCGCAGAGTACGTGCTACATGGTTGCTGAGAAGATTGCGGATGATATCAAGAATGGGAATTGATATTCGTATGCTGTGATGTTTCTATTTTTGACTGATGTTTTCTTATTTGGGCTTTGCCCTACCTCATTATGGGCTGCACGTTGATGTCTAGGTAATTCATGTATATAATGGTAGCGGGCTATTTTTAACTTAATTCTTTTCTTCCTCCTCTTCATATTCATATCCGGAATGTATTCGACTTCAGGTGGTCTGGTTAATATATGGACGGATAGAGTACGTGCAGACTTTGGTAATCCACTCCAGTTTGATATGGCCCGATGGTATTGATATCACAAATGCAGTATGGTCTAGTACCTGACAATGAAAATCTATCCTGTCCTCCTTATTCCTATTTTAAAATCAAATATAAGAGAAACGCTTGATGTATATGTGCCGGAGAAGTGAACCCTCATCCCAAACGAGCCAAAACAGCCAAATCGGGAGATGCAGAAACGTACGGGTATATGCATACATTAGATTGAACAGAAGCAATGAGAGGGTAGCAAAATGAATTCCAAGTGTGTAGCTAGGTAGATTAGTTTTTTGCCACCGCATCAACCTGATTAAGCGCAGACTGAGCCTCTTTAATCAGGGCCCTCCGCGCATTGCGGGTCTCATCATTGGATACTTCGATGGAGTCGGCCTTGATCATGACCTGCGCCAGAATGAACTCGCCGAGCTTCTTGTGCTCGAAATCGCGAGTTTTCTCGTCCTGTGGCGGGTCTGTGATGTACCGGTTACAGAGCGGGAGGATCTCTTTGCGGAAGTATGCGGTCAGGCCGTAGACCTGCTCCAGCGGGGTGGGGAAGGTGTTTAGATTGGGAGCTGGAGGTGGTAGGGCGTGGCGGCTGGCGCCGCCCGCGGATGAGGTAGGTCGCGGGGGCTGAGCGGGAGGTGTTGATAACTCATCGTCGTCAGAGTCGGCTGACGATGTCTTCTTCTTTTTGCCCTTCTTGCTCTTCTTGCGTTTGTTCTTCTTGCTGCTATCTGATTTTGGTGTAATCTCGGTAATGTTTAGTGACGAGTGGCGAGGGGCTTCTTCGCTCGTCCGTCCGATGGAGGATACGTCGCTAGGTGTTCTGGTGCCAGGCTGCACCTCTGAAACGACGCACAGGATCTCAGACTGTTGTTTGAGGCCCTCCGCGCGGCATTGCAGCGAGTCATCATCGAGGAGCTTGCCCTTGTAGAGTAGTTTGATACGGTTCGGATCGGCAGTGCGCGTGACCTCTGCGGCGGCCTGCCTCAGCTGGCCAATACTGAGGGTACCATCGTTTATAGAGTAAGGCGGGAAATGCAGTTCATAAGTAACCTTGCGGTGGTTCAGAACGAGTTTATCCGGTTCATTGTCATCTTCTCCTCTGTACGAACGGGACGGCGGATCGACAATGTCATCCGGCGTAAGGTAGGAGTAAGGCCGCTCGCTGGTATTCGTCGGATGGTAAGACGGCGCGGGGCGGCGCCAAAGGTTGCGCCAAGACATGAAGATGAGGGCAATCGCGCAAGCGACAAGTGTGAGAACGGCGGGTACTTTGTTGTTGTCGGTGCTGTTGTAGTATGAAACCCAGTCGAGCGGGGAGAAGGCGCGCAGCAAGGGCGTTGTTGAGGAGGCGGGGCGTGAGATGAGGGGCAAGAGGAATTTATGGTGGAGAGAGTGTAACGATGAGGGCAGGCTGGCGGTGATGTAATCCAGGTAGAAAGCACACGTCTCACCCAGAGAGCTCTGGGAAACGTGTGGAAGCAGCTGGGTCATGGATTTATAAAGGTGATAATCCGGGGAGGGGGGCCGCTGGGAGCTGAGGTCATGGAAGAACGCTCCTTTGATCTGATTCTTCTCTTTGCGGCGGAGGCAGTCTCAGCCTTGAGAAGGGTGGCCTGGACTCTGAGAGATACTGACACAGCGCGAACGACAGGGTCTTGTCTGCGGAGACTTGCAGTCAGATCCGTATGACATGCCGCAGTAGTGTGGCTCGGGTCACCAGCCACAAGTACCTAAGCCACACTGGGTACGGAGTACTATATAGTCTGACCCCGGTACCAACCCTGGCATATGTTGAATGGAAGAAACTTGAAGCCGTGATAGAGGCCGTCAATCATTTTTACATCAGATTCTAACCATTGATCAACCTGCATTGTGCTTGCACCGAGTTGGGATAGTGATCAGGTGCCGCACTATATATAATATGGACTAGGCAATGGTATTTAGTGATATATGCTTCGTCCGGGCATAACCTCGCAAGAATACAGCCTGAAGCATATCCATGCCGGTCAGGGTTTTTAGAGACATATCATCAATGTATTTGGTTTATAAAACCAAAGAATTGTAGTAAGCATATTATGTATTATTATAAATTATCATACAGCCGAATCATGTCTAATAAACGCCGCTGCAATGCGCTGATAAAATACAGGCTTGTCTATAACCTCACTCCACCACTGACAGGGCGGCCGCCAAACCATCGGGAAAGACCGCTGTTGCCATTGTTGCCGTCATTGCCCATCCATCGAGGCAACTGGAATGAATCATTTTGGAGCCACTGTGGTCGACTTGCAGTCTCAATAGTGTTCCTGACACGATGTGCGAAAGACTGGAAGAAGTTCTCTTCCTCATCCTCTTCTGGAACAGTCGAAGTGCTAGCGACAGCGCCCCGGGTAGACCTCGATGGCCGCGACGCATCGGTCAAGGGCGTGCGCGAGGATGAGTACGCCTGCGTGTTCGCATCCACGTGGGTTGACTGTCGAGGAGATCGCTCATTGCGTGTGGAGAGTCCAAGGGAGCCAAGACCGTTTAGCTCCCTTTCAATCAGCTCACGACCTTCTCGCCAGCCGCCAATCCCATATCCACTGGGATTGTTCTCCAGATCATCATCATCCTCTTCAATGAGGCCAAAGCCGCAAATGTTTTTGACTCGGCCGTAGAGGTTGAAAAGAGTGGCCCCAATGGGAATGAGGATAGCAACCGGAAAGAAGTAGTCAAATCCTTTCCCGAGCGGCGTTAAATCAATCCACTGGCCAAGGAAGCGGTAGAACGTTGTGCTTTCTCGAACGTTTTTCGGTAAAAATGTCAAGAAATTATATGCGATTGGAACGGTAAGTCGAGCGACCAAACTCGCATACCAACATGCACTTTCGCCATATGTATTTCGACGGACCAACGCTCGGTTACCCCATACTTTTGCGTCATTGACTCCAACCAACGCTGCGGAGCACATATATAGTAGCCACATAGAGGCAACGACTTGTCGTCCGAATCCGACCGGAGCGGGGCTCTTATGGTACGAGACGATGGATATAGTCACCACAGATAGCCGGGGTGCTATTGATTTGATTAACTCGGACCAAACGACACATATCGAGGCAACCGCAAAAAGCGCTCCAAAGACCAGTCGTAGATTTGGGTAAACGTTCGTATACAATTGATATCGCATATAAGGCGTGAGCATTTTCCATTGCGGGAAAAAGCTAGAGCGTTGAGAGTGATGACCAAACTCCAATTTTTTTGACGCGGATGAGTTGATGACTGCTTGCAGGTCGGCAGCCGTGTAGATCAAACGATCCCATGCATCAACAAAACGAGCTTTCTGATGCCTGGCTCGCTGAAGGCGCCTTGTCAGGTCCGCTAGATATCGCTCCGTAACCACAGCTGGAACCGTGCCGGAACTGGTGGCGGGTTCCAGGAGCCCTGATCGAAGTTCTGGAGGAGTCGAAGTTTCGGCTAGTTCTTCTATCCAGTCCTGGAAGTCGCGGGCAGTCCCGGTCTTTCGAGACTGTAGCTGCGATACCTGGGCCTCAAGGGTTTCTAAATCATTTATCGCATCCATTAGGCGGTCATGCATCAACGGTGCGTGGGACTGAAGCCTCCGTAATCTGCCACTGGCACTGGCGTTGCGGAACAGAGTACGAGGTATAGAGACCAGACCATGGCCCATCAAGTAAATGGCAAGGACAAGACCCCAGACATAAGCCAGCGCCATGGCGAGGGCTTTGATACTGGAGAACTCGAACCCATTCTGGATGGAAATGTAGATAAGGCCCACCGTTGCACACCCAAGGACGATCATCTGATACCGGGCATTGGAACGGACGGAGTATTGTAGGCGGGCTTTGGTATCGCGGTGTCCGGAGTCGATATATTCACCCAATAACGGAAGAATGGCCCTGATAGTTCAGAAGATATCAGATGCGGAGTCTCCTCAAAACCGAGATCAGAATACTAGCCACATACCACGTGAGGACGAAGATCAACCAGTAGGCGATGCGCCAGGACACCAGAAGAAGACGCCCAGGAAGCCATATCGCGTTGGGACCACCCTCATCACGCGAGCTCGACGCTAGGTCAATGGGAACTAGGAGGACTACACTGGCAGGAAGAGCGAGCGCAAGGAAGACAGGAATGGATAAATATGCCGGCGTGGCTCGCAGTGTCAAAAACCGTCGGAGGAGCAGGAGCACAAGCACGGAGATTATGAGGAGAGCTAAGGTGAAGAAGATACTGGAGCCCACCGAAATGTTGGCTATTGTGATCATGATGCCAGGGACGAGAAGCGTAGGCGAGACATGTATGGACCAAAAAAGGAGAGAGGTTTGATTTGATCGATCAACAATAATTGACCATGTCGGGTCACTCAATCGGCTAACGGCGACTATTGATCAGGGACCAGGGGGAGATATAAAGAGGTAGAACGCGGGGCTTAAGAGCAAGGGGAGAGAGAATGGAAGTCTTAAGAGGTTCCGACCCTTTCCAGAGAAGAGATTCTGGACTCTGGCACTCTCTTCTAAGGCTGACGACGATGGGTGATGGAAGGCAACCGAAGTGCCAATCACAATATCCCAGTGGACGGGCGACTCCAGGGCCCGCGGGAGTGACGACAGCAGATGGGACGCTGTCACGTGCATAAATACACGTGACAATTACTGCCGTTTCCGGAAAACGACCCCTCTCTGATTGGCTGCTCTAAATATACAATCCACGGCTTGAATCCAAGGATTCAAGGAAGACTCAAGCTTCCAACTTTGAGCAGTAAGAATGGAGTAGCACAAGCCATTGCTTTTTGACGGCTTCAGGTACCTTGGTTGTGATTGTGATAATAACGGTATTTCGATGCCGACCGAGTTCTGTCGCAGAGTCGCCATCCACTTGTACTACTCCGTGCTAGTCCCTATACATAGGAGCAGTCTACGCTGCATACAGAGTAGAGGATCTGCCCTAGTTCACTCGTGATAGCAAGGCTCTCATGGAGGCATGAGAGTTTTAGCAACTAACAAGCGGCGAATCAATTCTTCACTCTCCATGAATCAAGGCAGACAGACTCCAGCGATTCATGTATAAATACAGCAGGTGAAGCTACACAAGGCTTGGCCGTCAGACCTTGCGTCTTTGCAGCCAGTCATCGGGCTAATCGCCGTCCAACTGACTTGGTCCAGAGGAACCTTGAAGGAGGTTCCGATCTCCAGTCTTCATGCTAGACTCCATTCTGCTGTCACTACAGCCACTAAAGCGTCCATTTGGACCAGAAGCAGATCAAGCGTTGTCCAGGCCTAGTCTGGCTGGTCCCGCACCACATCATCTCCATTATTCATTCATTCAATCTTCACCTCTCCTTCCGACATCACCAACTCACCGTCTTCAATTCCTCCCTTGTAGCCATTCCTTTTGGGCACTGTTACTCGTTCCCCGAGTCTTTCTTCCCTTCCCTTCTCTTCTCGCCCTCTTCTTTCGTCTCGATATTCGTACTTTCACCCAGCCGAGTGACTGACTCTTTCGTTGCCCGCCACATCACTGGGCAGCAACTTGTTTTACCCTCTTTTTGGTAGGCTTGCTAATTATCTCTTCCAACTTAACCCCACTGCCATCGCCTCTCTTTCACCCAGCTTCCTCCGACCGGGCTCTCTTAGACACTTCGTTTTCTCTCCGGCGCGCGAGTCTGCTCCGTTTCCTCTCCGTGCTGTGCTCTTGGATGCCCCGTTCTCCCGCCGAACTCGTTTCAGGCCTTCCCCTTCTCATATTACGATCAACCTGACACCTGCTCTGCTTTTAGCTGTCTAGGAACCGTTTCTTTTTTCGGTTTTACTTTTTCTCTCTGACCCCCTGCGTTCCTGGAACCTGTTTCGATATCCCACTCGATCGATAAATCCCCGTCGTTCATGAGCCTTCAGGTCGATTCCAATTGTTCTGCAGCCACTTGGGTCCCCGTGTAACTGCAAACATCCCTGCCAGTGATCCAACCCTCGCCCGTGCAATTCTCAGGAGCGTCTTCCTCCCCCCCAAATTCCAAGCCATTCGCCCGCCTCTGCCAACGGATTCGCCTTGACTAGACGCTGCTGCCCGAACGCCTTGTTTTCCTCTGTTGTGCTGGTCTTTCGCTGCCAACACATTTTCTCTATCTTTCTGCACCCTCTATTACATTTCACACCTTTCGGAATAGCAGCGATACCGGCCTTCTATTCACGTAATTCACCTGGTCCCTCGTCCGATTTCGAATCGTGTATCTTCGTACCCTCGGCACTGCGACTTCGATTCCCTGACACTGGAATCTACGCTTATTGCCGATCCTGATACCGCCTTGTTTCTCCACACCTCTGGAATTTCGAATACCTCGAGCGAACCAAGTTCAACACTACTGGGTGCTCTTTTCTTCGGCGGATGCTGATTTCACCAAAAGGCTTGCGCGGACTTATCCTCGATCCCCGCTGAGGGGGTTGTTGACATGAACCCCGCAAACTTCCTCAATGCGAATGGGGCAATGAGCGCCGGAGTGAAGCCACCGGGCCAGATGCAATCCAAAAACGAGATGCAGCATATCCTTACTCATGTCGCTCAGGTGCTACAGAACCAGGGTCCATGGAGTGACTGGAGGGCGGAGGTTCAGCCCAGAGACCGGACGTTCAAAGTACATCAGATGTGAGCGCAATCTCCCTATCTCCCTACCGGCCAGCAAAACACAACCTAACTAATGACCTCGCTACGATTTCCAGGATTACCTCTCTCCGCCTAATACAGCCCCAAATCGAGTTACGAAGTGCCGCTTCCGCAGCCATGAGTTTCGAGAACAAGGCGTTCAATGAAGCCGCCACCAAGGTATGCTTGGGTCTGGTTCCGCCTTAGTCATTACCTCTAAACAAACCTTACCCAGGCCGATTACGACAGAGAGTTCAATGATAAGCTCGTCCACATCCGTGACACAAGAGCCAGACACGCAGCGGCGATGCAGGGAGGCATGATACAGCAAGGTCCGCCGACTGGCATGACTGGTGTCGGACAATCCCCTTTCCCTCAGCAAATGTCTCGATCGATGCAGCCGTCGCCAATGCCTGGTCAACAACAGATGCAGATGGGCATGAATAATCCGAACCAACAGGCAGTCGTGCAACAGCGCCCGCAACAGTCACAGCAGCCACAAGGGATGCTTCAGCAACAGCGTCCACCGCAACGGCCCGGAGGCGCCGCAGCCTTGAACGACGATCTAAATTCCTTAACCCCCCAGGAATATGACAACGTTTGTCGTATAGCGACCCAAATTCTCCAGAAGACATCCCCGGATGATATGAACAAGATTAAAGTGAACTTGCAGAATATGAGTCCCGAGCAGAAGGTCTACCTCTCCAAGAAAGGCATGGACCCCATCACATATTTCTTTCGATGCCAAGCAATGAATCACATTCGTCGGGTCAAACGCTCTCGCCTCGAGATGAGTCGAAACAATCAGAATAACGGAGGGGACTCTGCAAACGCTTTGATGGGCGAACCTATGATCAACCCCCAGCAACAACGTCAGATGTTTCAAAATATGGTGAATATGCAGCAAAGGAATCCATCGTTCTCAATGGGTAATCAACAGCCGCTCGATCCTTCGGCGTTTATCGGTAACGTTGAAAACATTCAAGGTCAACAGGCTGACGGATTACGTTCTCAAGAGGCTGGCCAACTTGTCGTTCCTGCTAGCTCGTCCCAGATGAATCAACAGCCATTCAACGCGACTCAAAATATGTTTCCGGTCGGGCAACAAATGGGCCAAAGTAATCAGGTCAACATCAATAATTCTGGGATTAGTCCTCAATTTCTGTCGCAACAACACCTACCGAATTCCCAAGCCGGTCCACAGGACCGAACTCAACAAGTAGCCCAGTTTCAATCACAGTCTCAAAATGCACAGGCTCAACGTGCACAAGCGGCTCAAAAAGCGCAAATGGCCATGTCCCAAGCAAATATGCAACAGTCGATACCCCAGAGTCCAGCGATGCCCATGTTGAATCGCCCAATTGCAGCCCCGGGACAAATGTCTCCTGCACAGGCTGCAGCTCAAGTACAACCACCTTCGCGGCAACCAAGTACAAAACAGCACCCAGCTAATGTTCCGCCCATGGGAACACAACAGGGGATGCAGAACCGCCCCTCACTGCCCGCAAATATACCACCCCACCTTCAGGAACAACTGGCTCGCATGTCCCCTGAACAGCGGAATGCTTTCTTTATCACTCAACAACGTCGTATGATGGCAAATAACCCAGCTCTAGCTAGACCGAATGCCTCTCAGCCAAAAATGGCAATGCAGCAAGGTATACCACAATCCAACCAAGGCCATATGATCAACGGTCAATTGGTTAACCCCCAAAATATGCGGGCCTCATTGGATTTGCAGCAGCAGCTTGCGTCAATGGGGGGCCCCCAACAATCGAACCAGTTGATGACCGGACAACAAATGGCTGTTCAACAACGCCAGCAGCAGCTTCAACAACAGCAACTTCATCAGCTTCAACTTCTTCGTCAGCAGGCCGGAGCGAATATGGAAATGACTCCCGAAGAGATTAGCCGCATGGATAATATGCCGTTCCCCCCAGCGATCTTAAATAACAATCCAAATGCAGCATCAATACCTAAAAACATCAAATCTTGGGGTCAATTGAAGCAGCTGGCAGCAACAAGCCCGCAACTCCTAGGTGGAATCGACCATCAAAAACTGATGACTTATCAGAAGTATCACCTGGCTCAGATTCTCAAGGAGACCAACAATCGGAACTCTGAGCAGGGTGGTCAGGCTTGGGCTCCTGTGAATTTCCAGGGCCAGCCTCAGTCTTTCATGAACCCTCAGCAATTTCAACCTGGTCAGCAACAAGCACAATTTCCCATGCCTCAGGTACGGCAGATCACACCGCAAGATCTCCAGATGGCTCGTCAGCGCTTCGGTGCTCAAGTTCAGAATTACACTGACGACCAACTGCGCGACATCCTTCGACAAAAGCATATACATGCAGCCCAAGCCCGGGCCGCCCAAGCTCTCGCGAATCAGCATAATCAACAATCACAAGCGCAAGGCCCACCCGTTTCTCTACCGTCTGCGACATCTCATATCAAGACGGAACATCAAGCACAGCAACAGGTACCGCAACAGATTACCCAAAATCAAGCTGTTAAGGCCCAGAATGTATCTCCTGCGAAGCCCGCGAAAGGCTCAGCCACGAAACAAACACCGCCAACGTCAAAGAGAAAGTTACAAGGTGAAGAGACGACCGCTGTTCAGACTTCCCCTGTTCAAGTGTCGACCCAGCCTGCGACTTCCCAAGGTTTGCCGGCGACGGTCCCTTCCAGGCCGACCATGCCGATTACCAAAGAACAGTTGGCCTCGATGACTCCTCAACAGCGCCTGCACTTAGAGAACCAGCTTCGTCAAAAGCAGGGTCAGCTACGTGGTGCACCCAACAGAGCTGCTGCGGAGAAAGCGTGGAGTAACCTTTCCGAGAATATCCAACAATTGTACAATGAGCTCGCCAAAAACACCCCCGCGGAAAAAGTAGTTGCTGTTACGCCGGAACAAAGGAATATAATGAACAAACAACTACGGGAATGTATAGATTATCTGGGTAGGCTGGATGCGCTGGTTCAGTTCGTTGCAAAATCTCCTGCTCATGATAAGAATTTGCGGAACTTGCTTACAATGGTATGTTTGCGATCGTTCTTTCCCACTTTGTTGCTACTACCTTTGTGCTAACTCCCATTAGCGGATCCAATTGATGCGCCAATTCAAACCAAGCGCAGAATGGGCCTTGAATGACCATCTCACGGTCACCCCCGAATACTTGGCAGGCGCTACCAATTACATCAAAAAACTGTTTCATCATATCGCGCGCGTCAATCAACAGCAGAGCCAAGCACTCGGTCAGCGTGCCGGCGCCTCTCAAATATCTAGCGCACAACAGTCGAATCAAAACATGGCGCCGCTCAACGCCAGCAATCTTCAGCAGCTTCAGCAGCAAGAAGAGGCCCTCCAGCGGGCCCGCAGAGCTTCGAGCCAGACTGCAGCCTCAGGGCCCTCTGCCCTTCCACCCGCACCTTTTGGAGCTCCATCGCCGCAAGGTGTTCCGCATGCTTATGGACCGGGAAGTATGCCGCCCTCGGAACTCAAACTCCCCCCAAACAAGAGGCGAAAGCAGTCGCAACCAACCACTACCCCTGTTTCCGGACCGTCAGGGATCAAGGCACCAGGGAACAAGCAAGTGGCGACCGAAGTCAGATCCAGTCTTGGCGCTTTCAAATGTTCTGTTCCCGATTGTCATTTCCACTACCAAGGGTTCGCCACTCAGGATGATCTTGATAAGCATGTCGAAGAAAATCACAAGGCCGAGGAGCCCATTGAAGATGCTCTCCAGTTTGCACTTCAGAGCTTCAATACCCTCATCAAGGACGAACAAAAGCCCGAGTCTCAAGGGCTTACAAAGGGATTCTCCTTTGCTGCTACATCACTACCAGCGAAGCAAGAGGTGAAAATTGAGGGAGCAACACCTGTTTCGGGGCCGACGCCGATGGGACGAGTCTCCAGTCAGCTGGTCACGAAGCCCGCATCGCCAGCGCCCAGTCAACAGCTCACCCCAATTCGGGGAGCGGCTAAAGGTCCTGCTTCGTCATCAGTCAAGCCTACATCTAGCCGTGACGGCAAGAAAGAGTCGAGAAAATCGGCAGAGCAGGACTTATCCATGGCAAAGGATCTATGGGCAGACAGTATCATTTCTTTCGACTCGATTCGCGATGGATTCGACAGTCTGAATGAAGTAGCCGACCCGGATTTTGGTGTAATGGATGAATTTCTCAACACTGAAATGTTCAATGGCACTCAAGATACCCCGGACTCCGTGGAAACCGGTGTCGCTACCCAGACTCCTAAGGATGGTGATGTCCTGAAGGCTGATGAAGTGATCAGCAAGAACCCAGGTGTCACAGTGGGTAGCTGGCTCCCTGCGGATTGGAGCCGTCTTCCTAGTCAGTTTGAAGATGCTCTATTGAAAAATGAGGCATGTGAGGAGATCGACTGGGACATGATCGACCTCAAAGGCGGAACGATGGGCGCCGACGACAACGGCATTGCCATTTTTGCCATGTAGACATGACCTCGCGACAGTTTGGAGGGACCGTCCTAGACTCACGTCGTCCCCTTAGAGGGACTACTCACTTACTTGACGGTTTTGGCATGAGCATGCAAGATTTATGTATCATATGCTGCAGGGGGGCGTTTATTGGTGTATCTTTTCGTGAATCTCGTGGGTCTATTAGCAACGGCGTTAGGGAGGTGTGAGTGAAAAATGGGATTATAAGGGGTCAAGCCTCGAGTGGACTCTGGAGCATTTGGGATGGTACTATTCAGCATAATGATCGGAATGTCATATCTATATAAGTCTTCATCATCTTGGATCCTTCTCTGTAATCGCCCCATTGGTATCTTATGTCATATCGCCATTGGACCCGCAGGTCACGGGAGATCCGCGGCCGATAAGACAAAGACTGGCCCATTCGACTCCAACTCCAACTCCATCTCCATCTCCATCTCCTCTTGTTATCATCCTCAAGAATGCGTGGTGAATAATCTTAGGTGCTCTTTCTGGTCATCCTCTCTGTTCCTCGACCAAAATAACCATACTAGACTCTCGGTAGCACCTGCGCGATCTCCCGTCAACAAGGTCCCCGGGGACGAGCCTTGATTAACTCCGGAGCTCACGACAGACAGCCTTCTGTCTCTTTGCGCTTTGTTCTACAGAGCGACTGTAAATCAAACAAGATGGAGAATAAAGCGGTCATACCATTTCTTGTCACAATGATGCTTGTGACAGGAGTGTGCAATACTATCCTCAACAAGTACCAGGTGAGAGCAAGATGATGTTGCTTCCCCACTCAGTGGATTTAGCTCACACACTGAGGCTCTTAGGACATGCAATGTGTGAGGAACTGTGACTCGACAGATCCTAAAGATCATCGTCTCTTTGAACAGCCGGTTATCCAGACGTAAGTTTGAAATGTGATTGAATGCCTGGCAGCATCGCATGCTTATTCTCTACCACAAAAGTATTCAGATGTTTATCGGAGAGATGGGCTGCTGGCTCGTTGTTCTTATGTCCCACCTGTACAAACGTCATCTCGCCCCTCGTTTGTTCCAGAACCAGTCGCCTCTACTAGCTGGCGGCTATCGTCCAGTGAACGACGTTGATGGAGATTTGGAAGATGAAGATCAGACAATCGAAGGACACATTGACGACAATGATGACCCGTCGAAACATTTGCGCTTGCCCGACGGCCGCATACCACTTCGCGGGCTAAGAACATTCCTCCTCGCAGCACCGGCGTGCTGTGATATCGCAGGCACCACTCTTATGAACGTCGGTCTGCTGTTTGTCGCTGCCAGTATCTACCAAATGACGCGCGGAGCCCTGGTACTATTTGTCGGGCTATTCAGCGTCCTCTTCCTCCGCCGTAAGCTGTATCTGTATCAGTGGTTGGCGCTATTTGTGGTGGTTCTTGGTGTCGCGCTAGTTGGTCTTGCCGGCGCCCTGTTTGGCGACAACCAGGGACACGACATCACTCAGCAGGATCTGGCAGCGGCCGTTCATTCTGCCACTTTGGAAATCCGAGCAGTTGCACGGACCCCGGAAGCCCTGAGAGCTGTTGTTGGTGTTCTCCTTATCGCTGCTGCTCAGATCTTCACTGCCTCGCAATTCGTCCTCGAGGAGTGGATCTTGGAGAATTATGCCATGGAGCCGCTCCAGGTCGTTGGCTGGGAAGGTATTTTTGGATTCTGCGTGACCGTTCTTGGATCTATCATCCTGTACTTGGGCGTGGGACGCACAGAAGCAGGGCGGTACGGATACTTTGACGCAAAGGAGGGCTGGCACCAGGTCTTCACCCACAAGGCTGTGGCCATCTCGAGTTTCATGATTATGATCAGCATTGGGTACGAGATCTTCGACTCCATGTTGCTCTCTGATTTAACAAGTCATCGCTAACTCATTTCACAGTGGCTTCAACTTCTTTGGCCTCTCAGTAACCCGAACCGTCTCCGCTACCTCTCGCAGCACGATCGATACCTGCCGTACCCTCTTCATTTGGCTTGTGTCTCTCGGTCTAGGCTGGGAAACCTTCAAATGGCTGCAGGTCGTTGGTTTTGCGCTGCTCGTCTACGGAACCTTTTTGTTCAACGATATTGTCCGCCCACCGCTCAAAGCTTGCCTTCCTAGAGAAGACAGGGAGAGGGTGCTCTTGCCAGAGGAGCCTATCGAGCACATTTAGGCCGCTCTGCACTGGTGTTATCACCTACCATTTTCGGATCTCGAATTTTGTTTATACATCCCTGGCCGGATAACGTTATGCTATGCCTTGTCTTTTGTTTGGTTGATTGCGTTTCGTGCTTATAGTGCTCCAAGAAGGCATTTCTGGCGTTCTGAATACATGATTTAGGTTCTTTTAGTTGTTGGCTATTGAGTTCCGGTTCTTGCGTTCAGGTTAGCTGATATTTGTTTCCTCCCACATAAATTATATACTATATTTTTATCAGTAGAGGGGCTGACACTGATGTAGAGGCTCAATACATCTTGAAAGACATTCTATCTTGATAACTTTCTACGCAAGCAGACAGTACGGGGAACGGAGGAAAGCTGAACTATATGACACGACTAAAAAAACGCTTTCAATTTAAGATTCACAAGAAATCAAAACCTTAGAACAACCTCGCGCAATCCCTGTCGACAACACACTCTAAGGATACAAAGGGATAATGATGAGGGGAGGTGTGTTTAATAATAATGCAAGTCGGGGTATATTGCTTGTAGGAAAGGAAGAACAAGGAGGGAATGAGGGAGGTGGATCCGAAGTATAGGCGAATGGACTAGCAAAATGCTAGGTATGCAGCTTTAGACGAGGACGTATAGTGTACACATCTGGCCAGTATGTCAATAGAGTTCTAATCTCAAAATCGAAAAGTGTATTGCCTACCAGGGAAAGACCAAAAATCATCGAGAGCCAGAAGAAGACATTCTAAACGGCAAGTATTGTTAGTTGGTCCTCCGGGGAAACATACGTTGACGAATATGACTTACATTGAGAGTCGTCTTGTGGCGGAGATACTTTGATTTCTGGATGGCAATGATAGGCAGCTGGAGCATCATGGCGAGGAACCCGTACCCGCGCAGCTTTTTGGTGATACAGCTCATCACAAGCTCATGGAAGATGGAGCTGACGAGGAAGGTGATGAACATGGCAACGGGCTTGGAGAAGTGCGCTAGAGACGAGAAGTAGACATGGCGGCGGAGGAAGTGGTGGACGGGTACGTTCCACTCGCGGGAGAATTCGAGCCTGATTCGGGTTGTTGTTACAAAAAACAGCGTTCTAACAAGGCTAATAGATTTGGGTCGACTTACCAGTCGCATGAGTTCCACCAGTCCGAGTAAAAGTGGCGATCAGCGAAGCAAGTGATCTCCGCGAATGCGCCCAAGACGTATTCGAAGATTACAAGGAAGACAAGCAGGAAGGTGATCATGAAAGGAAACAAGAGCATGCTGATTGCTTCCGCCATGATGAGAGACTTGTCTGCGAGGGTGTGCGCAGCGTGTAAGTGGAGCCCCGCCTCCGTGAGGACGGGCAGGATGAACTCTTCGCTGACGAGTGTTAGGAGGAAGATGCATCCAAACACTGCGGCGGTCTTCGATCCGATCTCCATCCAGGACCTTTCATTGCTGCGAGGGTACTCGAGCTCATAGCAGAGAGTGGGACAAAAGAGAAAGTCGACGTAGTTGTAGAGCGTGAGATTCTGCGGGTAGGTGACATTGCCCATGGGCGATGTCAACTCGGTGGCTAGGTCGTCGCGCAGTTGCGCAATTGAGTTTGACCGCCCGTGAGTACTAGGTCGTCGCAGTGGTTGCTTGGGCGTCGGTACCTCAGGATATCGAACGGCCTCGCCCGTAGGTTGCGAACCAGGTTTATCCAAAGCTGACAGTTGACGCTCTGTTGCGCTAAGATGGCCGTTGTAGAAGGCGTAAGAGTGAATCTTCATGAGGATAGTCAGGGTGTGCAGTGTGAAGAAGACCTGCGCAGTCCACGTCCAGCGTAGCGTGAATGGCCACTTGATCCATAAAGCGAGCCAGAGCGCTTCAAAGATACTCTGCAGCACAATACCACCCCTTTCCCACCGGAACAGGCCGCTGGTCCTGGACAGGTACTGGAGGGGAATAACGAACCCACTGGTGCAGACCATAGCAACATCACTGAAGCCCATGGCCCATACGTTCGCAGTCAAAAGGCTCCATACCCTAACTCTCAAGGGGTAGCCGGTGTCCTTGACATTCCGCAACCCCGTTGTCACCACCATGATAAACAATGCTATCCAGAAGAGCGTGAAGAAGCCTCGGAAGTTATGATAGTCGCTTCGCGGGTCAAAGTGCGATACACGGGGAACATAATGGATGGTGTAGAAGAGCCGATTTCGAGCCCGGGCCTGTTTCCTTGCGGTCGATATCGAATGCGCGGACGGGGGCGCATCTTCAGGGATAGGGGTCGAGTGGCCACTACTTTTCCAACATTAACGAAGAGCTCGACAGAAGACTCTCGCTTCCAGAAAAAAACACCTACCTCGACTCGGTGTCCAGCTTCTCTATTTGGGAGGTGAGCAGAACATCTTCAACTTTCCTTGCGTCAGGAACAGCACGTGGTCGTAACACCGCGGAGCCGTCCTGGTGTGAGACGGCGGAGGACATCCTGTTAAGTTTGAGGGTTGGACGAGTATGAATGCGAATAATGATACAGCTCACATCGGTCTGGAGAATTCTGCACAGGACAGAAGGCCGACAGCTCGAGTAAGCTTGTTTATGAATACCTGGGGTGGACACGGTACCAGTCACGGCAGGGCTGAGTTCTTAAGTAGAAGTGGGCCCGGAGTAGCATAGCATCATCATCCTGGTCATCGTCAGGTCTGCCCTGGACAGGAATCATGTTGGACTCGGCCACTCAAGAGTCGCCAATTGTGATCCTCCGGATCTCTGCTCCATGCGGGCATACGACCGGACGAACCGTTGCTAGAAAGTCCGGGACGCAGAGCCGTGAAGCCACGCCCGGAGCCGCGGTCTCCTGCGCCATGCTCATGTGCATTAATTAATAATTAATTTAATTATCCATTTTATACTCGCACTTGCCGATCGGCGCGGTAATCATTACGTAGGGCTCCGGCCCTTCGGGGCTGCTGACACCGCCCAGCTGACACAGAGTTTCTGCCTGACTCAGCGGGTGTCACAGTACCACGTGACGTACCCTGAGCTAGCCCCGAACAGGAAGGGGCGCCAAGAGCTGGACAGCCAGATCGCAATCAATAATGCAGCGGCACGGCCAGGCTCATCTGTGCTCCGTATCTCCATTGCTTCAACTTTCTTGCTGCCCGGGATTGCGTGGGCTGGCTTCTTCGCATCCCTCTTCTATTCCCAGGTCGACTCTTCCCCCATCTCCCTTTTCCGTCTCTTCAACCTGTCCCGTGGGGGATCCTTGTGGCCGCCATGGCATCCCGTGAGTTTCTGCCCATGCTCAATCCCCCACACTCCTATTCCTGTCCTCAGCTGCAATTCAGTTTCGCTCACAACAGCCCCCGGGTGTCGATTCAGTCAAACAGTTTATCCGCAATGTTCGGTCGGCCAAGACAATTGCAGATGAACGAGCAGTTATCCAGAAAGAAAGTGCCGCCATCCGTGCGTCGTTCAGGGAAGAGAGCCATGATTCGGGCATCCGGTTAGCACCCATAGCTACAGCTGTCCTCTATACCTCGCTCTAAATCAGTATCTCATATATTCGGACAGGAGAAACAATGTGGCCAAGCTGCTTTACCTATTCACACTCGGCGAACGTACACATTTCGGCCAAATCGAATGTCTGAAGTTATTAGCGTCTCATCGGTTCGCCGATAAACGGTTGGGTTATCTCGGCACCATGTTGTTGCTGGATGAGAACCAAGAGGTCTTGACTCTGGTAACAAATTCGTTGAAGAAGTGAGTAGCCTCCAAGTCGCCTTAGCTCACTTGAAGCCTGACGTCTTGTCATCTAGTGATCTCAACCACTCCAACCAATATATCGTCGGTCTTTCCCTTTGCACCCTAGGCAATATCGCGTCCGTGGAGATGTCCCGAGACCTGTTCACCGAAGTCGAATCTCTCCTATCCACCGCCAATCCTTATATTCGAAGAAAAGCAGCCTTGTGTGCCATGCGCATTTGTCGCAAAGTCCCCGACTTGCAGGAGCACTTCTTGGAAAAGGCAAAGAACCTGTTGTCAGATAGGAATCATGGCGTTTTACTGTGCGGTCTCACTCTGGTCATCGATATGTGTGAAGCGGAGGAGGCAGAGGAGGGCCAAGAAGGAGTGATTGAAATGTTCCGACCTCTTGCGGGCAACCTTGTGCGCGCTTTGAAGGGCCTGACCACATCAGGATACGCTCCGGAACATGATGTATCTGGCATCACGGACCCTTTCGTGCAAGTCAAGATTCTACGTCTGCTTAGGGTACTGGCCCGAGGTGATACCGCTACGAGTGAGCTGATCAACGATATCCTCGCGCAAGTGGCGACCAACACCGACTCTTCCAAGAACGTGGGAAATTCAATTCTCTACGAGGCTGTCCTGACTATTCTCGACATCGAAGCCGACTCGGGTCTAAGGGTATTGGGTGTCAACATTCTCGGAAAGTTCTTGACCAACAAGGATAACAACATCCGTTACGTCGCCCTCAACACACTAAACAAGGTTGTCGCAATTGAGCCAAACGCGGTACAGCGACACCGCAACACTATCTTGGAGTGCCTCCGCGATCCAGACATCAGCATCAGACGGCGAGCTCTCGATCTGAGTTTCATGCTGATCAACGAGAGCAATGTACGCGTCCTGGTAAGGGAGCTGTTAGCATTCTTGGAAGTGGCCGACAACGAATTCAAACCTGTGATGACGACTCAAATCGGAATAGCCGCGGACCGTTATGCCCCCAACAAACGGTGGCACGCCGACACAATCCTGCGAGTCCTCAAGTTGGCTGGCGCCTACGTTAAGGAACAGATCTTGTCATCATTCGTGCGCCTCATTGCAACAACCCCGGAATTACAGACCTACTCTGTGCAAAAACTATACGTATCATTGAAGGAAGACATCTCGCAAGAAGGCCTCACCCTTGCTGCCACTTGGCTTATCGGTGAATATGGCGACAACCTACTCCGCGGCGGCCAGTATGAAGAAGAAGAACTCGTTGGAGAGATCAAGGAGAGCGACATCGTTGACCTCTTTGACAATATCCTCAACAGCACATATGCTACACAGACGGTGGTTGAATACATCACCACAGCTTCGATGAAGCTTACTGTGCGAATGTCTGATGCGTCACAGATCGAGCGGCTCCGACGGGCACTGAGCGGTCGTACTGCCGACCTGAGTGTTGAGATTCAGCAGCGTGCTGTGGAGTACGATAACCTATTCGGTTATGATCAGATTCGTCGTGGTGTTTTGGAGCGAATGCCTCCGCCTGAAATCCGCGAAGAGCAACGAGTCCTGGGACCATCGACCAAGAAGCGACAGAGCAAACTGCTCAAGGACAAGACGAGAAAGCCCGTCAAAATGGCTGAACAGGATATGCTTCTCGACCTCATGGGAGGCTCCGATGTCCCAGCAGCCAGCCCAACTGCGAACGGGTCTCAGAATACTGCTGATCTACTGGCGGATATCCTCGGTGGCGATTCGGGTATCTCATCACCTGCTCCTCAACAGCCAGTCTCAAACACCGCGGCCATCATGGACTTGTTCGGTTCAAACGGTGGCACCCCGTCTCCCCAATCAGCTCCTGCCTCAGCATCTCTTGACCTCCTAGGAGGCGGTGGCGCTCCTGTCTCAACACCTTCCCCTTCGACACCCGCTGCGTACACAGCATATAACAAGAACGAATTAGTGCTTTCTCTGCAGGTCCAGCGAGGCAACAACAACACAGCACAGATCCAAGCTCGATTTAAGAATGACTCGAGCTTCAGCCAATTTACCAGCGTCGGACTCCAGGCCGCTGTGCCCAAGAGCCAGCGCCTGCAACTCAGCGCCATCAACAAAGCAGAGCTTGAAGCGGGAGATGAAGGTGTCCAAATGCTGAAAGTCACCGGTCTCAATGGGGTAAGCCGTCTTCTCTTTCCGTCCACACGTACTTTTCAACTGACAAGCCGCAGCCCCTCCCACCCAAGCTCCGCCTTCGTCTTCGCGTCACATACGCAAAGGACGGCACCGAGCCAACAACGGACCAAGTCGACTGGTCCGAATCGTAAATAATGACCTACCTAACTTGCTTCAACCTCGTACATCCATGTTCTAGAAGTGGCAAAATGGCTCTGTCTGCATAGGTGGTCTGGTCATCGGACCCCATCACATAGTCTTTATAATACCATATCATATTGATCTAGCTTGCTCCGTACCACGAAGCGAATGACGAGATGACGGTGGCAGATTATAGGCAAGCCAAGTGTAAATGGCAAATGTTCCGTGGTACAAGTGACTATCGACCTTGCGAGTCATGAAGAGTGGTTATGGACTCGGGTAGGAAGGAAGCTATCTAGATGCCCAAGGCGCCTTGACTCAGGTGTCCGTTTACCCGGCGTAGTCGAGCCCCATCTACGAAGTTAGGCATGACCGCCACAACACCAAGAATCCAAGATACACCCCATAGAACTACGTCACAGGGTAAGGTCTACATACTTGATTACTGTTTACTGTGGCAAGAGGGAAGAGTTTATGTATGGATTTTGCATTTCCAAGGTATTTCATATGATGCTATGTTCATTGCATAGACAGATAGGGTAGATAGACTGGTCCTATTCTGTTTCCGCGGGGATTCGTTACTGTCGTCAATAGAGTACCATGTGGTAATGGTAGCAGTGATCAAAAATATTATAAACAAGCCATGCTGTAGGAGGGGAAACGGTACTCCTGGTCCTTGACCCCAAGGCACCACCGAGTAGTCAACCCGTTCCATAGAGAGAACGCACCGAAAAGATAAACGACAAAAACAAAAGGCTGTGTGAGAACGCTGTATTTATCCGGGGTAAACTGATTATGCGCCGATGTGTGAACGATTTCATGTTTCATGAGTAGATGCTGGAGGAAAGAATCGTGAGGGAGTAAAAAATACTGATAAGAGATCTCTATGAACGAGATGGTGTCTGAATGCAGACGGAATATCTAGAAAGGAAATGACCTGAAAATGCAAGCGGGGTAAATGCCATATCGTAGAGTCATGAGAGGAGGTGAGTGAGAAACGAAGATGATCGTAACAAGAAAGGCTGGGGGGATTCTATTTCACGTAAGTGGATGACCGTCGTCCAGAGTGTAGACCATGTGTTGGGCGGATGTATTGGACTTCAGGCTTATCCATTGCGCGCCTGGCCTCCCTTAATTTAATGCGCGCATCGACCGGATCCGCCTCAGCGAAGAGACGGCGGGAGGATGACTCTGTATGGTGACTGCGAGAGGGCGGCTCTGGGTGGTAAGTGTAAGTGGTGCTCCGCGAAATCGTTGGGCGCTCAGCACGAGGTGGCGAGAATGTTCTGGTGTGTTTCAAAGGCGGTGGTACATTGACTGGCTCGCAACCCTTGTAGCGAGAAGCCTTGGGTGAGACCTCGGGGATCTCCGGCGTTGGGCTTGAACTCGCGTAACCGGAGTCGGACCTTTCGCCTCGCAGCTTTGTTGTTCTCGACGGCTCCGCGTAGTAGACGTGCTCCGTCCGACGATTTCGGGATTCAGAGCGTACATGTCCCGAGGATCGATGGGAGGTTCGTGGAGACGACGATGCTTTCGGACTGGGGAACGTTGCGGCGGTTGGCATTGAAGGAACAGTGCGAGGTGAAGCGTGGTCAAGATGCTCGTAAGAGCTGTGGTGAGAGGTAGGAGGTCGGGTAGATCGTCTTGACCGACCTGAACGCTCCGCGGAATCGTGATCATGAGGAGAGCGAGACGAACGGTGGCGTCGCTCAGTCTCGGAGATGTTGGGGATATTCTCCTTTGAGCGGCGAATATAGTCCGCTGCGCGGAAGTACTGCATATCAGATTTGTCGTGCTTATGCTCGTCAGAATAATGGTCATCATCATCACGATAGTGAGCCTTGGAAGACCGGCGAGTTGGCTCGGTTGGTTTGGTTCTTGACTCGCGATGTCGCTTTTCTGCTGTCGGGCGCCTGACGGGGATGTAGTACACCGAGCTATCCGAATCGGAAGCGGAGTCAGAATCAACCTCAACGTGGACATATTTATCACGGTTGTCATATTTATCGTAGGTTTGTTGTCTCCGTTCCTTGGTTCGGGTCCTGTCCCGATCCGCTCGGGTCGTTTTGGTTGATTCACGTCGGGAAGAAGCACTAGATGACGGCGCAGCCTTGGAGGACCTCCGCTTCTCATCGGTGTTGGCCCTTGAGCGCGGGCGCGCACCATACTCCTCGTACTTTCGAGATGTCGGCCGTGGCGATTCGGTAAAGCGACCTTCCTCTTCGAAGAAACCCTCGGAGGAGGATCGAGCATCGGCGGGGACTCGCTCTTCGTAGATGCGTCCATCGCGGTACTCTCGCGTAGTTCGAGTGAAGGAGGCGCCACGCGACGCCATCTCGCGCTTCAGTTCCGCCAGTTTGACCTTGTTGTCATATTTGGCTCTGCTCGTCTCGTCGGACAGACACTCGTAAGCTTGCTGTACTTTCTGGAATTGGTCCTGGGCCTCGCCGCGCAGGGACTCGTCCTTGATCTTGTCAGGGTGGCATTTCAGCACCAGTTTGCGATGTGAAGATTTGATCTCAGCCAAAGTCGCCTCTTTGGACACCCCCAGCGCCTCATATGGGTCAAAATCTGGTGACACCGTCATACTGTCGAAGTTGGCAAACCGGTGATTTGGAATTGAATGTTTGTCAGAATTTCAAAGTCGAAGAATGGCTCGGGGACAGGCGCAGGTGTATTTAAAGAGCGGCAAACGCTTGGATAGCAAGCCAGGCGCTTGACAGATCGGGAGGTATGGAGCAATGCGGGATGTGGCAATCAGATGCAGATGTGGATGGAGAGCAAACCTTGCCGGAAGGGGAAGGACGGGGGAGTTTTGTAATCAGCCTGGAAGGGCACGGAAAAAAGACGAAGAGGGCAGGGAATAGGAATGGATAAAGCGGGCATTAACTGGGGGACATTAATAAAGAGATAATCCAGGACAATAATGGCCCATTCCAGGTCCGAATCAAGAGGCAGCGAGATGATGCAAACCCCGGGGCACTGCGATTCCCCTGGCGTATCGTAAGATACACGATGGTGGGTGGTCCGCCAACCAGAAGCCAGAGTCGGCGGCAGGCACGGTATTGTGGTACCACGTAATTCTGAGTCGCTGCTGACCGAGGGGCAAACCGGAACCTGATCGAACAACGCAGTAAGAATAGAGCGACTGCGCCACACTCTTGGAACTCTCCCTTTACTCCGAGTAGTCTTTGTGATCAATGCGAAAAAAGCCAAGTGGCCAAAGCGAAGAAGACAATAGTCAAGAATGGGCAGTGAAAGAACGAAGGAAGCGAAACGATTGCCAAAGACGTCGAAAGAAGTCGGGTATCAAAGGGAGTGGTACCACGTCAATGGTCAAAGAGCCCGTCTCAGTCGAATGGATTGGATGCAGTTGGATGATCAATAAGGCACTGCTAGAGTGCTGGAAGATGATGCTCGATGATGCCACGGACCGCAGGGCAGAGGCCTGGGAGGCTGCATGCGACTGGAGAAGGAGAGAGAGCGAACGGACAGTGTCTTGCTTGGACTTTGCATGGATTCAGTTCAGTTCAATTCAGTCCAATTTATTGAGACACTCCCAAGACACTCGTACCTGAACAGGCCTGAAGACGCACAGAGCGGCGGTGAAACCAACCAGATTGGGCGTTGGTGTGGTCGAAGGAGCGGTCAATCATGGACTGAAGCTGAATTGGAGCGTCTGCTCTGAGCTGAGCAGTCTTAAGACTCTTAAGAGAGATCTGGATAGAGCTGAGGAGGGAGAGAGAGTTAGACTAGACTACGGAGTCCAGGGCGACCAGCAGGGGCCAGGAAGTGATACAAATAGTTCGGCCTCCATGATCCATGATCCATCTGGTCTCTACAGCAATAAGCGGAGCCGATGGAGACTCTATCTACAAGCTGGAGCTCCATTCGTCACGTTGGCAGCCCTGAACCTAGCATGGTCTTGCTTCCTGGTCATTCTCGCCAGCTCTGGTGACAAGAGGCGCACCTCAGCAGTCGTTGACCGTTGTCCTGTTGGTTGGCCCCCAGCCATTAAATGCACTCCTACCATCACTTCTATCATCACATCTTTGAGTTTCGGCATTATTGGATATTGAGCAGCGCAGGTGTGGACACCATCGACTCAGTGTCAACCCCGCACTATCTTGCAACTAGCAAGCCTGCTCCTTTGCCTGTTCAGGGAGAGAGGGGCGTCGCTCTGCACCCAATCACCCAGTCTGCCTCAGCACGACTTGCTCGTTTGTCCCGCCTCACCGAAGAGGTGCGTCGGTCTCTGCGGCCTCGGACTGGCTCAAGCCCCTCTGCTCCTTACCCCGCTGTCGTCCAATCAGATTGCTCGGTTTTAGCGCCGTGGATGGCTTCACCTGAAAGGACTCAACTCCAGAGCAGGGACTCTTGAGAGCCGAAGCACGGGGCCTGCCACTCAATACCCTTTGCTGGATCCGATCCCGGCCTCTCGTTGTGCCATCATCCATGGTTGTCGCCGGCAGCTCCCGTACATCAAACCACTGTCACTTTCAGGCACAGAGTCGAACCATCTTCAGTCTTCTGTCTTGTCACAAGGTGCTGGCACGACCAAATCGCGGGGGAAATATTCCGACTATAGCTACGCCAGGTCACTCGTTGACCGATGTCTCCTGCCAACGGAAGCTCTCTTTAGAGGCAGATACCCGAGGGGCGTTGACCGACGTAATACCGGTGGATGACCTGTTGTTCCACGAGCCAGACAAAGTACTCCGTAGAGCATGACATTATTGGCAAGCTCCTGAAACTGAAAGGCTTTCCTCGTGGAACGAAGCTCTCCCTTCTCAAAAGGCGCATTAGCCCCGAGTCATCTGCACGCGGGGTGTCCAGAAAAAGGTACGTACCTGGTCCGACCAACCCAAGCGTCCCATCCAGAGATTTCATGCAATGCAATGATTGTCAAGACATCGAGCTAGTATAGTCCCGATGCTGTGCTTCGCCTTCTGGACACCTTTATCCAATAATAGGTTTACGCCGACCAGTCTTTGACTGTTTGACACAGGCAACCCTCCTTAATTACTAGGGTCCTGCAACAAATCAAGAAAGAAAAAGGGTCTAGACGCCGATACTCATGCACCCCATGATCAACGAGCCTCTTGTCTTCTCCTCGGCCGTCCATGTCTTCCAATGCCCCTCCATCTCGGCACCGAGAAGTCCAGCTCTTCTTCACAGGTCAACTTAAACTATGGTCGGTATTTTCTCCGCTGCGTCATGAGGCTTCATCACCAACCTCTACTGATCCTTCTTGCTACCTCGCTACATTATGATTTCATCCTCCGCCGGACCGAGATACGTACAAGGTACGGCCCCATACACAACGTCTAATGGCTTCAACATCCCTGAACAAAGGATAAAAATAAAAATAAGCAAGCGCGCGATGCTTCTAACTTCGCGGCCACGCCTTGCCTCACCCTCAACGCCATAGTTCGCAGAAACGATATGCAGCCTCACGCACGTTTAACAACGGCGGATAGGGCAGGAGGCTGTGCACTGCCATATGGGCAGCTAGCCAGGTAGGCACGCAAGCAGCAATACGAGGTCCCTTCGAGAACCCTACTTGACCCAAGTCGAGTCGCACGCCTCCAAACTTTATTAACTCACGCAGCAAGCCCATTGGGCGCCCCGTCGTGAGCGGACGGCAATTACTCCGTATACCCGCGGCCTTGGACCCGGGCATAAGCACTCTGCAGCAGGCCGATCTGATCTGCGCACGTTTGGGTGAGACTCAGACAGCTGGGGCCGTGAGCATGGCCGTTGAGGCAGGGCTGAAACCGAGCCGGTGCCCTGGATAGAACGCCCCGGAAGCGCGCAAGATATGTCAGTATGCGTAGTTAGCGCGGTTGCCTTGTCGTGGCTGGTACGAGCGCGAGTACTCATACCAAGTCATAGTACCTGGCCCTAGTAGTTCGCCTACTATGCTACTATGAGGTATATACTTGAAGTACATGTAAGTATGTCTCGTTTAGGACCTATACCCGAACACCGAAAGCGCGGCCTCCAGATTGACTCAGCCCAGCGTCATTCTACAGTTCCTGACGCCGAGAAAGCCTATATCGAAACATTGATTCCTTGTCGAGTTTGGTAATCCTGGTGACTCGGATGCCGAGATAAATGGTATCTATACACTGATATAGGAAGTACAGGTAAGACTGCAGACGGATCAAAAGCATAAGCCGACAGCGTCGTGAATCATGATGAGAACAGCAAGAATCATGATATGAGGGATATAATTAGCTACCTGACGGTCTAATCTAACCGACGGCGTACTCCGTCAACCAACAAAGCCGAATCTCCGAGCTTACGTACTAGGTATCTACCTAGTAGATAGGGCAGGCTACACATATCACCTTACAAGGGCCACGGTTCTAGCGCGCTTACACGGACATCGGACATCGAACCTCATATAGAACACAATTCCTTTGCAGATGTAACCCACTATGCACTGGTCCTCGTACATACTCCCCTAGTGCAAGTCCCGTCCTATCGGAACCCGGGGACACCGACGGCAAATAGCCGGTAAGGTAAGAAGGACATCAGCTTACTTAGTTCTCTTATGATATACATCCACGAGTCAATCGCTGCATAATAAGGCCCCTTCCTCCCTTGTCCAGCCTCCGGGCCACGTTCCATTGCAGCTTGCCCTGCTGCCTGCACCGTCAGCACCGTACCACCAACACCACGTTTCAGGTGGGAGGACGAGATACTGCTACGCTTGCGCGGCGCTTATGGCTATGGCCATATGGCATATATTCGCTCGACTATGTTAGCACAAGCACTAACACAATACACGTGCAGCGAAAATTCTGCCCGGGGCTGAAACTAGATTGAAGGATTGACTGCCTGCAGGTGATGATCTGCAAACGGTTCTAGCTCTTGCTTCTTTCTTTTTTTTCAATTCGCTTTCTCTTTTCCGTTTGGGTCAGTTGACAGGATGGTTCTTCTTGATCCTCGTGCTTGCCAAGGGGTGGATGGGGGTGTGCGATGATGTCATGATCCCTTGCAGCGTTGACGCTATGCGCGGTATTTGAAACCGGAATTTCTGGATCCTGGAGTTGGACGGACGCAGAGGTCTAGGTCTAGGTCGTTGATCATCTACTCCTAGTCTAGACGATCGATGGCTGGGCAGATGATCGCTGATCCTATTGGTATAGAATGGCGCTCTGTAGCATAGCTCAAGCAGGTTTTCGCAACGAGCAACCGGACGTCTACGTCAAACAAGGTCAAAGCGTAGGAGCTTTCAAAGGGTTGGATATTGTCAGTAGCCTATCCTAGGTCTAAGTGCGATTGCCGATTCGAAGCCGAGAAAGTGGGATTTTCGCAAGTTGCTATGATTCGGGACGACCATTCGTCCAAACCGGCAACTCGAGGTCGACAACTATAGGACCAGGATGGAACTTCCTGCCTCCATGGTGCGGCCAGTTTGTCGCCGTGATCGCGGCATTGACGATACATGTCTCCCGTCTTTGAGTTCGGATTTGCTCTAAGTCGGCGCTTTCAGCTTCGGCGTCGGTGTCGGCGACTGCGTTTAAGCGCGAAATCCCCGCCAGATCAAGACGCAAACCGGGCCGCCTGGACGGAAGTATCACGACATCTGGCGGACTAGATGACGGGAAAAGCGATACCGCGCGAGAAAAGCCAAGGCCCTCATTGTCGAGGCGCGGCGCCCGTTTGCCTGTTAGATCGACTAGGCTCTGTTTTTTGCTTCCTCGAGGCGGAAGGACGCCTTTGACAATTTCATCCTCGATGTGATTATTTTCGCCCTCGTCGCCCACCCTAGCTGCAGCTGCAGATGAACCCCAACGAACCCGTTCATAGCCTCGTGCTCCATGAACATGTCCACAAACAGCAAGACACGGTCTCACAGCTCGCAGCCTTTCCCGCAACCCCACACAACCTGTAACGGCCGCCCCAGGTCTTTCCGTAGATCGTTCATTATCAGGCTCGCACCGCAAACGAGGCGGCATATGTGTGACGACAACATCCGCATCCAATGGGATGTCGCGCCATAGCTGCTCAGCCTCGTGGGCCTCGTATAGAAACGCCCAGTTCCCATCGCATTGAGAATACGGCGAGCCGAACACCTTGAAGATCGTGTTTGGACCACCAGCCTTGCGGAGCCGCACTAGTGCTGACTGGTGCTGGAGGAATACGACAGATGGTGAGGCGTTCGTGACGATTTCCAAGCACTCTTGTGGGATTTCGATATGCTTGTTTTGGAACTTTGTGCTGTTACTGTTGTAGAACGGGGCGTCTAGGGTTATGTCGTGGTTTCCTGCTTGCCCCTGCTTTAGTAGCCGGTATCTGAGTCGTGAGGATGAAGCTGTGCCGGAGGGCGTCGAATGAGATTACTGACCGCAGATAACTATCTTGACTTCGAAATCTGCAGCGACGATCCAGGCCATCGTCTTGCGAAGCTCAGATGCGCTTCCCTGGTTTGTGAGGTCTCCTGCGTGGATCAGTACATCGCCTGCGGGGAGTCTGAATCCCGCTTCTGAAGGCGTGTATCCGTGCGTATCGGAGACGCAAACGAAGCGCGTTTTTCGACGCATGCTGGTAGTTTGCATTCAGGTCATTCGACAGCGAAATGACTACCTCGGCGCCTTGTAGTATTTCTTGGTAGGTGAATGCACAACGGCGAACTCGATTTGGATGAACTCAGTGTTGCCGCTTTTAAGAAGTTATGTAATCAGACGTTGGCCACTCTCGAGTTTCAAAAGAGTGTTACTGTCTACTCATGGCTTGCTTCAATGATAGCTTTGCGAGAAAGATCAATTTCCTTGTAAAGCAAGTGGTGAAGAAGAACGGTGCAAAGCGACGCGTAGTACGCGACTCACGATCAAGCTCGGAAAATATTTCCGCTATAGTATCCAGGATTTCGAGGTCGCTGTTGAAAGTCTGTGCCATTGGAAAGGCAATGATATATCGAAAAAGGGACACCACAGCGGTCAATATATACTGAGCCCAGATCCTGCAGGAAAGTATCAGGACCAGTCGAAATCAAGGCATGAAAGTCACCTACCAAAAAGTGTGCCAATTTAGCGCATGTCGTACGCGAGATACATAGAGAAGTATGATGCGTGATTCCTGGTAGAACAGCTCCGCGCTAGAAGGAAGAAAAGACCAGCTCTGAGACCCGTATGCGCTGATGGCTCCGTGGATTTTCCCCAGGCAAAAGTAGTAATCGAGGTGCAGGTTAACTCCGCGTAGGCTCAGATCATGAAAAGTGTAGTCCGGCGTTGTTCCAGTGGCAAATACATCGGGCCAACAGCTATCCGGGAAGCTGGACTTAAGAGCACTTAGTTCTTCGTCTAATTCGCGGATATGCTGAAGCCGTTTGGCTCCAGGTTGAGCCCGGCCATGATCGGAGTAAAGAAGTGTATGAATCTTGGACTTGATCAAGTTCATGCGGAGGTCGGACGGGTATATAACATGTTGAGAGGATAGAGGCCGCATGAAAAAATGGTCGTCTGAACAGGATGAAACGTAGCCGTCCGGCAGCCTCAAGTCTAAGTCGACGTCGTTGAACAGCGGCGGTCGACAAAAGCGAATGGCCAGGGTTTTGTCGAAGCCATAGATATACCAAAATATATTACGTAGATGCTCACCCTCCTCCTCAATAACAACGCTCGGTCGGTGGGCTCCTAAGCTGTAAATGATTCGAACGGCGACTGCCAGCAGTGAATCCACTGTTTTCGTATGGCCAAGGGGGCCAAGGTACGTAGCCTGCCAGCAAATAAGCTTCCATCCAAACAATGAATATCATGGACTTACAATATTAATGAACGCCTCTAGGCTTCGCACGCTATGTTCCTCAATTATTAATCGGGGTACCAGTGACAGTACAGCACGTAGGTAAGCATCCGGGTCCGCACCAGAAAAAGCGGACTCTAGGCGATGCATTACCGTTACCTGAGCAGTAAAAGCGACTAAACAGGCCAAATTTGCGATGTGGTTTGTCAGGTTATGGGTCTCGAGGGTGTTTTCATCGAGCAACGCCTGTAATGCTTTAACATTGGCAACAGGATGGACAGAGTACAGCCCTGTCTTAGCGTACTGGTGTATACAGAGCTGGACCAAGTGCCGCGGGGGCCATTTTTGTGTTCTCGCCTTTTCCGAATCTCGAGGGTCTCGAGTGCCGAACGCATTCGGCAAGCCTTGTACAAATTGATCGACATCAAAACGAGAGCCAGTTTGTTGAAGAACAGCGGTGCAAAACACTTGTCTCTCCGTTGAGCCAGGAGTTCCGACGCCACAGACTGTAATCTCTCTCTGAAACATTGTCAAAGCAGTATCAAGATCACGAGGATCTTGTAAATACCCGACAAACAGACGGTCATCAAGGGCGACCGGCTTTGGCGAGTTTCGCTGGGCCATAACCAAAGCTTCCAGCTCCCGAATCCGTGATTTGGCCTCGGCAAGCTGTCTGAGAAGCATTAGCAATAGCAAGGTTACAGCAGGTATCAATTGACCTCACTCTTTGGTGCTACTCCGTACTGGAGGTGATCTCCGCGTTACGGTGCAACGGGCACCAGCAACGCGACAAGGTTCACAGTCAGGCTTACCGCCATCACATCGAATCTGTCCATATTCCGTGGTAAGGGGGGTTATCCTTGCACCTGCGGCGGACTGCCAAGCTATCCACGTACTTTTCGTTGTTGGCAAAAGTCACAAGCGCGTCGTAACCTACCACCGCGTCGATTTAAGGACGGTGCACTCATTTGGGCCAACTAGGTGCGCAGGATTGACAATGGGTGGAGCTGTTCCTGCAGATAGATGAAGAGCAATGGAGGGACGCCGTTGAGATATACCTGTAGCTGACTCAGCGGGAATCGACTTGCTCCGGACGCACGTGAACCTCTTCCCCAGACTGGCATCCGTTCTGCAGATCCCTGGGTGATCGACAGGTTGGTTCCTGGCCCCGTTTCTGCTCCGTTTCTTGGCCTGTTTCTTCGGTCTTCTTCAACTCCATCCTCCATCAATTAGATGAACGCTATTCATCAGATGCGTCTCCATCTACGGTCAACATGCCTCTCCAAGCATCACCTATTCGCTTCTTTTTCTCTTGGCATTCAGTGGAGCTTGCCCTCTGTTGCAACCTGTTGATAATAGATGACGAGTCACGACGACGACGACGAATTATACCGGATGGCGGATAAAACGTTGCAACTGATGCAAGAGTCCTCGGATCTAGGTCCTCATTTGGCCGAGTACAGAGGTATATAAAGTCTCCTGCGACCACGTTAAATCGAGTTTTCAATCCGCTCATTTATCAAGCATTTTGACAGCTTCCAAGCCCGTTGCCTTCTTTCATTCTTCTGAAAATGCATCTTCTCCAAGCTTGCAAGCTGGCTGTCATTGCCACGGCTGGACTTACTCTTGCCCACCCCGGTGCTCATGAGCCTAGCTCTTACACTGCCGTGAGCAAGCGGAACTTCCTGCACAACGCCCGAAGCTCCCTTGACAAGTGCGCCGACAAGCTCGAAGCACGTGGAGTCAAGGCTCGTGCCGATGCCCGTCGTGCAGCTTTGCTTGAGAAGCACAGGAAGCGGTCAATCACCATTGAGACTCGTGACACCGACAAGGTCGTGAATACTTCCCATCATTCCGACCTCCACGTCACCCCGAACACCTCCGCGGACGAGCTTTTCGACAAGGACCCGGTCTGCATTCTTGCGCCGGAGGGGGAAATTGGCCCCTTTTGGGTCAAAGGCGAGCTCATCCGCTACGACATCGGCGACGGGCAGGCCGGTATCCCTATCTACCTCGATGGACAGTTCATCGACATCAACACCTGCGAGCCCATTCCGGATCTCTACTGGGACGTGTGGAACTGCAACGCGACTGGTGTCTACTCTGGCGTGCAAAGTAGCATGAACGGCAACGGTGACGATGACTCCAACCTTGACAAGACATTCCTCCGCGGCATCCAGAAAACCGATGAGGATGGAGTTGCGGGCTTTAAGACTGTTTTCCCTGGCCACTACTCCGGCCGCGCAACGCACGTCCACGTTGTCGCTCACCTTAATGCAACGCTCTTGCCAAACAACACCCTCACCGGTGGTTACGTTCCCCATATCGGACAACTGTTCTTTGACCAAGACCTGATCACTGAAGTTGAGGCGACCTACCCATACAACACTAGCACCGTGGCGATTACAGAGAACGCAAGCGACCACGTTGTCATCGATGAGACCGAGAACAGCGACTCCGACCCTTTCTTCCAATACGCACTCCTTGGCGACTCCATTGAAGACGGTATCTTCGCTTGGGTTACTCTTGGTGTCAACTCGTCTGTTAGTCACGACTCGGCTGTTTCTTACGCCGCGTCATTGACCGCCGATGGAGGTGTTTCGAATTCGAACTCCGATTCCGGACCCGGTGCACCCTTCTGAGTTCGCATTACACATTTGATTCACCTCCACGAAGATTGATCAACTTCATTCGAGGACGGGTTGCCTTTGTTAGCAATTTCTTGTTTGTGTCTGTTTCATAGCTAGGTAGTCTTTCCTTCAATTCCACCTATCTTGCTTGTTATCGCTACCAATGTCTGTGTGTCTAGAAGTAATATGAACTGTCTATAGCTTACCGTCAACCTGTTAGTACCTAGTTAGATGGCAGTATTCCCACAATCTGCGACATGGAATGTCGCGCACCTAGGCATCGTGACTTAGGGCCAGGGTCGGCTTGGCGCCAAGTCAATCCAGTCGAGGTCCACTAACAGCTGATCAGCCAATGATCGTATCAAATGGCCCGCCCCCTACCTTCCGAATCGGGATGACAGGACTGAGATGGAAGGTAACAGCAGCGTCGATTTCTCTCAGATCATCATTTATATTATACCCTTACAGAGACGGCCCCTGCAGCTCAGATAGGCTACAAGTTTATGTTATTGCTTCATCACGCTTGGCCGAATATCCACACTTCTCTTTGCCAGTTTCCGAGTTTCGCAATGCCTCCATGGAGACGCAAGGAAAGGCCGCGCTTGGACAAAGACTCTCCAAGTTCTACTCAATCAGACGGTCCTCAGATACCCTCTAAAAATCAAGCCTCGGCCATAGTATCTCTTCGCGCAGTGACACGATGCTTCAACGATGCGAGCCCTGCCTCTACAGCTGCCGACTCGGCCACAGATCCTACCGAGGACTTGGCCAGAAAGCACGCAGAATTCGGCCCACTAGGCGATAAGTCCCATCTTTATACCAGCGCGGTTTCTGGGGGAGAAATGACAGATCCCGTGGTGGATGATCCGCCGTACTTCATCATTTTGACAACCTATATCAGTTATCTCGTTCTGATATTTGTTGGTCACTTCCAGGACTTTGTCGCCAAATGGCTGAAGCCAGATACTTTCCAACATCTCAAGGCTCAGAATGGGTATGCCTCGTTGTATGACGATTTCGAAAGCTTCTATACCCGACGCATGAAGCAAAGGATCAATGACTGTTTTGAACGGCCTATCACTGGCGTTCCCGGCAGACATGTTGTTCTGCTGGACCGAACCACAAAAGACAATATTCGCTATCAGCTTACCGGTACCGCCACAAATACCTTAAATCTGAGCTCGTACAACTATCTTGGTTTTGCGCAGTCGGAGGGTCCCTGCGCTGACGCGGTGGAAGAGACCATTCGCCGAGACGGAATTAGTATGACCAGTCCGTATCCGATGTCCACAAAGTTACTCGCCGAGGTGGAATGCCAGATCGCACGGTTGGTGGGCAAGGATGCGGCTCTTGTATTCTCGATTGGCTTTGCGACGAACTCCACAATATTTCCTGCGCTTGTAGACCAAGGATGTTTGATCTTGTCAGACGAATTCAACCACGCTTCGATTCGATTTGGCGCTAGGCTTTCAGGAGCGGCCATAGAGGTCTTTGCACACAATAGCATGTCTAGTCTCGAAGCAAAGCTAAGGCAAGCCATTTCCCAAGGCCAAACGCGAACGCATCGACCATGGAAGAAGATTATGGTCACCGTGGAAGGCTTATACTCGATGGAAGGAACGTTATGCAATCTCACCAAGATCATAGAGCTCAAGAAGAAATACAAGTTTTATCTCTTTGTTGACGAAGCACATTCAATTGGAGCGATTGGCAGTCAAGGGGGTGGAGTATGCGACTACTTCAAGGTCGACCCTGCTGAAGTTGATATCTTAATGGGCACGTTCACCAAGTCATTTGGAGCCAACGGTGGCTACATTGCTGCGAATAGAGCAATAATTGACATGCTACGCTGCACCAATGCTGGTCAGGTGTACAGCGAAGGACCAGCGCTTCCAATTCTCGCGCAAATTTCTTCTTCACTTCGATTGATCGCGGACGAGAACACTCTTCATCCTGGTCAGGGTTTCGAGCGGATTCAGCGCCTGACTTTTAACTCGAGATATCTTAGGCTGGGTTTGAAACGGCTCGGTTTCATTGTATGCGGTCATGATGACTCTCCTATCGTGCCCCTAATGCTGTACCATCCGGCGAAGATGCCGGCTTTTTCTCGAGAAATGTTACGGCGCAAGATATCCGTGGTCGTTGTTACATACCCTGCTACACCATTGGAGCTTTCCCGTGCACGGTTGTGTGTATCCGCGGCGCATACCAAGGACGACCTTGACAAGGTTTTGGAAGCATGCGATGAAGTCGGGGAAGCACTACACCTAAAGTTCTCATCCGGAATAGCGGGCGGATTGAAAGAACCAAGGGTAAGGGGTGCTAACACACCAGAGAGATTGCCCGAGCCTCCACGCTGGACATTGACAGAAGTCGTCGAAAGAGGAGTCAGAGATGCGAAACTCACTTTCTACTAGATGTAGCGGCATGTCGGTTGTTGTTGTAACAACGATTCTTTTTTGTTTCGGACATTGGCCGTTCATTGATTGATTCGGATTCCTGGGGTGTATTAGGTATCAGAGCATCGTGTACAAAATAATGACTGTTATCCATCTTTCTGGAGAAGAAACCTTATTGATAAGAGATAGATGACGAGTGGAGCAGAATCGCCACCCCGAAGGGCACTTGGAAAGGCTGGAGATTGTCTAGAGCGGAGCACGTGACCTGGCGCAGTCAATGGTTAGGGCTGTGACCCTCTGGGATTACCCGCACAAAAGTATCGCCGCCCTCGCTTAGCGACCGCCGTCCTGCGAACCACATCCGACTTCGTTGTGTGCGTTGAACCTGCCCACAACGACAACAACCGCCGACAACATACATCCCCAGGGAGTATCCTAGAGCAGTGCTCTTCCTTTCGCTGGATATTTTCCTTTTGAACCGGTGACAGGATGTCCTCTATCGATCCAGTGGTGCGTACCGCCGCCTCTCCGATTTTCCGACCGTTTCGAGATCTATGCAACAGGGCAGAAGGCCCCAATGAGAAAGACAGTCGCTGACTTGTGTTGGATGAACTTATAGGTCGTCATTGACGGCAAGGGACACCTCCTTGGTCGCCTGGCCAGCACTGTTGCCAAGCAGCTGCTCAACGGCCAGAAGATCGTCGTCGTGAGATGTGAGGCCCTCAACATCTCTGGCGAGTTCTTCCGTGCGAAGCGTACGTTTTATCCGACCCTCTCGCGTTTTGTTTCAGTCTTTCGTTTGCTATGGGAATCTGGAAATGGGAATGGCGGGAAATGGATATGAGGTGGAATACTTGATATCAGGTGGAATGGATTGGAAAATTGATGGCGATGGGATCATGGTGCAAACGGACAACAGACGGCTGACATGGGATTTTTGCGACAACAGTCAAGTACCACGCCTACCTCCGCAAGATCACCCGTTACAACCCTACCCGTGGTGGTCCCTTCCACTTCCGCGCTCCTTCTCGCATCTTCTACAAGGCCGTCCGCGGAATGATTCCTCACAAGACCGCCCGCGGTGCCGCCGCTCTCGAGCGCCTCAAGGTCTTCGAGGGTGTCCCCCCTCCCTACGACAAGAAGAAGCGCGTCGTCGTTCCCCAGGCTCTCCGCGTCCTCCGTCTCCGCCCCGGCCGCAAGTACTGCACCGTCGGCCGTCTCAGCCACGAGGTCGGCTGGAAGTACCAGGACGTTGTTGCCAGGTGCGTATTCTACGACATCCTCGGAATAGGATAAAAAGTTGGTGCTGGGACTCTGCTAACGATGTTTTCTACTGCAGACTCGAGGAGAGGAGAAAGGTCAAGAGCAGCGCCTACTACGAGCGCAAGAAGGCTGCCCGCCGCCAGCTTGCCCACGCACAGAAGTCGGCGAGCGTCAACGAGAACACCAAGAGCCAGCTCGCTCAGTACGGATTCTAGATTATACCTGGTTGCGCGGCTGGTTGCTTGTGTCTTTGATGGGATGGGTTGGGATCGCGAGCGGTTACGACTTTCAGCGAAGTGTGGCAGGGGAGGCTGATCGACGACCTTTTTTCTCACTTATCCTACCTTGTCATGGGATCCAGCAGTGTTATGCTAGGATGCACATGTGAGGCTGGAGAGACCGGTGTCGTCTTTAAAAACAAAAGTACAATACAGGAGTCACTTGGGATGAAAAGGTTGTTCAAAATAGCTGACCCATTATTTCGCGCCGTGGCGGTTTAATCCAAGAAATTTTCAAGAGTTCATGACCTGCAATTTGCCGATACACATTCAATCCATTTTTATGTTCTACCTCTTAATGAAAGAGTCATACTTCGAGTGATCTGTCCATTCCAAAAACCAATCACCATCATCATGTTGGAAACCTCACGCGAATACGATAGAACGCGTTTCTCGCCGTAACTAGCGTTGAAGACGATCATCATTAAACTATCCTCGGCTAGATCCCCACAGGTCGGCTCATGAGGTCATAATGCTCGTCCACCTCAAGCTGTCTTCTGATATACAGGGTGAAGATACTTAGTACCTTGACCGTTCCTCTTCTCTTCCGTTAAATCAATCCGGCCTTGTTCCCACAGTCCACGGCGAGGCCCCAACAGCGCAGTCGACCCATTCTCATGGGTGGGCTGGAATTGGCCTTTGACAGTTAAGTATACGTAGCTGCAGCATGCAACTGTCTTATCGTCGGTACTCGGTAAACGAGTAGATACCCGATCAGGTACGGGGTAAACTTTGGTGAGACCCAAAAACAGGACGCGGAGGGAATGCGGAAAGGGAGCGGAATAAAAGGTATTAAAACTCACTGACGATCATACCAGGCCATCTTATCTCAATTCTCCGTTGCTCAAGTCATAATAGAATCCCGAGAGCTCAGGATGTCTGCTAGTCATACAGATCAACACTAGAACAGCTATTGGTTTGAGTGACTACAGTGATTACTAGGGCCCGGAGTAACTTAAGTAAGTCCATCACCCCGGAGGGTTCCGTCTCCGCAGTGTTCAATTTCCCCGCACTTTGGCACTCCACCGCGCCCGCTCCCGCCTGGACTGGGGCTTCTTCAGGCCAGGGCTTACGACTCGGCTCTTGCGAATCTAATCACAATGATATTAATCCCTACGTGCCCTTCCCCATATATTCTTCAACACTAACCTTCCCACACACTATCTACTTGTACCACAACACGTCATATGATGTCTACCGCAAAGTCTCGCCTCGCCAGCCTCCTCGGCCACTTCAAACAGCCCCTTGACGCCAATAGCACCGCTGCCCCGGCCCCGGTAAACACCTTCCAGCATAACGTCAATTTTCATACACTCTCTCCGACATTCTTCCTGCCAAGGGCTGCGGCAATAGAGCCGGATGTGAGTTTATCTTGCTATATATATCAAACTGATCAAACTCATTAACTTTCGCTCTTATCGCCAGGCCGAGGCAATCTACCACATTACCGCGAATAACCAAGTGCTGCGGAGAACGTACCAAGAGGCAGCGGACCGGGCTAGGGGTCTCGCGTACTTCCTCAAGAAACACGGATACAGGAAAGTTGGAATTCTTTGTCCAAATACGCCGGCGTTCCTTGAGTCAATTTTCGGCATTGCCGCTGCGGGGGCTGTTAATGTTGGTATGAACCTTGAGGATCTCGAGCGGTATAGGTGGAGGTAGGCTGATATAACCATCATAGCCGTGAACTATCGACTCAAAGAAGACGATATCGCTTATATATTTGCGCACTCCGATGCCGAGGTGATTATCGCCGACCAGGAATACTTGCCGCTGCTGGCGTCGTTTAGAGCGTCGAAGCCTAACGTCCGTATCATTGTGGATACAGATACGGATGCGACAGAGGGTCAACTTGCGGGGCCCTTTGACGAGGCCATTCTCGAAGGCTTGATTCACGATCGGGATACCGGGGCAAACGGCTGGAGTGCGCTTGAGAGCCAGGCTGCGTCTGAGGATGATGTAGTTGCGCTGGCATATACTAGTGGGACTACGGCGCGGCCGAAGGGAGTGGAATACACTCATCGTGGATGCTACCTGGCTGCCATGGCTAATATAATTGAGTCGGGTCTCAACTTCCATGGGCAGCGCTGTGGGTATTTGTGGATTCTGCCCATGTTTCATGCTATGGGTGGGTATTCATCATGAGATTTACTTGATTCTACTTGACTGACGTTGGAGCTACTAGGCTGGACATTTCCTTGGGCAGTTACTGCAGTGCGCGGGACTCATTACTGTCTCCGCAAGGTCGACTATCCGCAGATATGGAGACTTCTCAAGGATGAAAACATCACCCATTTTAATGCGGCTCCAACGGTAAACACGCTACTTTGTAGCTCCGCTGAAGCTGAGCGGCTTCAAGAGCCAGTCCATGTTACTGTCGCCGCGAGTCCACCGACGCCTCATCTGTTCGAACAAATGACAGGCTTGAACCTGCATCCGGTCCATGTCTATGGTATGACGGAGACATACGGGCCAATCACTAAAGGATACCATATGCCTGCCTGGGAGAGCCTCCCCCGCAAGGAAAAGTTTGGGCAAATGGCACGGCAGGGCCATGGCTTCCTGACCAGTCTTCCTGTACGAGTGGTCCAGACTGAGGTCCCCGAGGGCACCATCATTGATGTCAAGCGAAATGGAAAGGAGATTGGAGAGATCGTATTCGTCGGGAACATCTGTGCCAGGGGTTACTATAAAGATCCCGAGGCCACGCGGAAACTATTCGCTGGCGGAGTCCTCCATTCAGGGGATTTGGCTGTTTGGCATCCAGATGGGGCGATTCAGATCCTCGACAGAGCCAAGGACATTATAATTAGTGGTAGGTTTCCTCTTTCCTTTCCTTCTCTTTTCATCAAATTGATGTCGGCATAGGAGGCGAGAACATCTCGTCCGTTGCGCTTGAGTCGATGTTAGTCACTCATCCTGATATTCTGGAGGCTGGTGTCGTGGCTGTTTCCGACAGTCACTGGGGTGAACGGCCTAAAGCTTTTGTGACTGTCAAAGCGGGAAGGCATCTAGAGGGCAAAGATGTCGTCACCTGGGCCAGGAATACTAGCGGAATCAGCAAGTTCATGGTCCCACGGGAAGTGGAGGTTATCGCGGAGCTCCCCAAGACCAGCACGGGCAAGGTCAGGAAGAACGTCCTTCGCGACTGGGCGAAGGGAGGAAGCCGGTCATGACAGATCAGCGTTTGGAGGCAAGATACCTTGATAGAATAAAATAGTATGGGAATAGACGCAAGCGTTATTCAATTTGTCCACTAGTATGGTTTGGGCGACGACCCCGCGGATTGGGCGGAGGGTTAGTGAATGGACAAGTGAAGCAGGCGCCGCAGAACCTGCAATGATGAGGATGTCGCATGAGGATCTCAGAACAGCTTATAAACCAGCGCGACCTCTCATGTTTCCACTTGCCACGATCAGACCCCCAAATCAGATTTGAGAACGCGACCAACAGATCCTGTTGCTTGATCATCTGCTCTGAGACCGTGCTTTCATGCTTAAAGCCTTAGTCTCCCGCAGTCTATCCAGCCATCGCCCTTTGATCCCCCACTCAATAAATCTCCCTTCTTTCGCATCTCTTCGTCTTGTGCTTGTCAACCAATCATCTCTCTGGGCAGTCATCGCTATAAGCGTCTGGCGAGGCCTTGTTGGATTCCTGTAAGCCTGAAGCCTGAAAGAGCAGGTGATTTCATTTGTCCCCCTCTCCCGCTTTGGATTGCAGCCGCCGCCTTCCCCATCCTGTTCTCGTCACAATCACATTCCAACACCTTAGCTTGGGCTAATAATATCTTCTTTCAACCCCTCCTAGATCGATTGCTACTTTGAGCTCTTGTTAATCCGACTGGAGAGCCTACGTACCTTTTTTTCTGACATCTTGTCCTCGCCCCTCGCTTCAACCGAAGTCGCTGTCCTCAAGCCTCCTTGCCGTCCCTATTCCTGTAGTCACCGCAGGCACGCCCAACGCGCATCCCCTTCATAAAGGCTTCCATCCTCCCACCGGCTCCTTCGCTCCCTCGACGATTCCAGTCGCCGACGACTGCGTGATTTAATAGAGGTGTTACTCGGCAAACGTTAGCACGATTCACCGTGCAATCAAGTGACGTACGCATAGCAATATCTGCTCATGTCTACTTGCTTTTCATTGTGAGATTGAGAAAAGTGGACGGTCAGCATATTTTCAGCCCGCAACGCAAACCAAACTTTACGCCGCCATCATGGCTCGCTCTCGGCAGCCGGCTCGACTCTCGAGCGAAGCTCCCTCCGAATCCTCGTCCTCAACTTCACCGGAACGTGCCGCTGACGATGACACCGATTTCTTCACACTTCAAGCGAACGATTCGCAGTCCTCGATCGGTGCCGGGAACGCTCGTGATTCACATATCCAGACTGACCCGGAGATCGCACTGCCACCGATCGCATACCTTCCGCCGGAGATTCTAATCTCTATCTTTTCGAAGTTGAATTCTCCCAAAGATCTGCTGAGTTGCTTGCTGGTGTGTCGTATTTGGGCAGTGAATTGTGTCGGACTTCTGTGGCATCGGCCATCATGCAACAACTGGGACAATTTGAAGAGAATCACGGCCGCAGTGGGGGAAGAAAACAGCTTCTTTCTGTATTCAGCGCTCATTAAGCGGCTGAATCTTTCTGCACTTACCGAAGACGTTAGCGATGGGACCGTCGTGCCTTTTGCACAATGCAACCGGATTGAGCGCCTTACATTGACGAACTGTCGGAAACTCACCGACAACGGGGTATCCGATTTGATTGTCGGTAGTCGGCACTTGCAGGCTCTTGACGTTTCCGAGCTGCGGGCTCTTACGGATCATACTCTCTTCAACGTGGCGGAAAACTGCAACCGGCTACAGGGTCTCAACATCACAGGCTGTACGAAAGTAACGGACGAATCTTTGATTGCCATTTCTCAGAAATGCCGGCTGCTGAAAAGAGTGAGTTCTCTATAAGTTCTAACAACGTGGTTTCTGTCCTCATATTTTACAGTTGAAATTAAATGGCGTTACCCAAGTCACCGATAAGGCGATCTTGTCTTTCGCTCAGAACTGCCCGTCCATCCTCGAGATCGATCTCCAAGAATGCAAGCTCGTTACAAACCAGTCAGTAACGGCACTTATGGCCACACTACAAAACTTGCGTGAACTTCGACTCGCCCATTGTGAGAAGATCAATGATTCAGCGTTTTTGGAGCTTCCCAGGCACATCTCAATGAGCAGTCTCCGTATCCTGGATCTGACCGCATGTGAAAACATAAGAGATGATGCTGTTGAGCGTATCGTTAATGCGGCACCACGCTTGCGAAACCTTGTGCTCGCGAAGTGCAAATACATCACAGCCCGTTCTGTCTGGACCATCTGCAAACTAGGCAAGAACCTGCACTATGTTCACTTAGGTCACTGCTCCAACATCACGGATGACGCGGTGATCCAGCTAGTCAAGTCCTGCAACCGAATTCGATACATTGATCTCGCTTGTTGCAGTCGGCTGACAGACCGAAGTGTTCAGCAGCTGGCTACTCTGCCTAAGCTGAGGAGGATCGGTCTGGTCAAATGTCAATTGATCACAGACGCTAGTATCCTAGCACTTGCCCGACCAACCCAAGATCGCTCAGTTTCGTTCAGCAGTCTGGAAAGAGTACACCTGAGCTACTGTATCAACCTTACCATGCTTGTAAGTTCCATTTCTCTCTAATACCGAAACATGATTTCTGACTGAAAATGTATAGGGCATCCATGCTTTGCTCAACAGCTGTCCTCGCCTGACCCATCTGAGTCTCACTGGAGTCGCATCATTCTTGCGTGAGGAACTTACGGTATTCTGTCGCGAGGCTCCCCAAGAGTTCACGCGCCAGCAGCGCGAGGTCTTCTGTGTTTTTAGCGGCGAGGGTGTCAACCTTCTCCGCGACCACCTCAACCGTGAAGCCGCTCCTCAGCGGGACATGAACGAGGCCACCATGTACGACGATGAAGAAGAACTGGACGAAGATGAGGGCCAAATGACGGGCCTCATGCACGCCGCCGCGATTAACGATGACGACTACATTGACATCACACCTCCTCATACTTGATACCCCTGCAAATTGCTTCAGCGTGTGGTTTTCGTCGGTATTATCTCTTTCGCCCGTTCTCTCTAGCCTGATTTATCTTTCCCAAGTCTGTTCAGCATGTCTTACTATCATGGATGTTATTACTATGTCGTGTTGATTTTGGGGGCCACGGAACAAGCATCACCTTCTTCAACGGGGCTTTCGATTTAAACTGGGTTTTGCATTGGTAGCGGTTACATGGGATCTCCTATCACTCTTAGCTATCTGTTATCGGCCATGGGTGTATTGTTGGCGATTGGCACATATGAAGGTTTTCTATCAGGCAGACCAGCCATCAACAGGCGGTCGTGGTTAGATATCCATTGATATCCCACTCAATCATAGACTTTTTTATCTTAATCAACAGTAGCTACTGTAGCATTCAGTATGGCGTAATGTGGTCTCCGTTCTTAGTCCCGTGCTCGGCCCCGCTGCTGCTTCCCGTCTCAGGTTCTTATCTCCTCATCTCCGCACCTGCACCAGCTCAAGCTCTTCGCCCAAGAGTCCTTGCTCGCCAGTTGGAACTCCCCAGGGGTCGCAATGATGGACCCCCCGAAGGCACCTCGGGCGAACCCAATAGCTTTCACACCTTGGCCTGTCACGCTCATCACCGCGGTCGTGTATCTTGCCTTCGTGATCCCTCTGCTGGTTGTCCACCATGTCGTACCACCAGCTCCCAGCTCGAGTCCTGACGGCCTCAATATTACCGAAGCTTGGAGCGACCTTCAAGTCCTGACATCGGGGTACCGCCCTTACAACTCACGCCAGAATGACAAGATCCACGAATGGTTGTTGCTGCGCATCAACGAGATCTTGAACGCCGCGCCGGCCGCGACCGCCGACGAGAAGAAACCGGATGTTTTCGTCTTCGATGATACGCGCTCAAACCTGACGCTTACCCGTGATAATCTCGCTGTATATTTTGAAGGAACCAACATACTTGTGTATATTCGGGGCGAGGACGATGACCTGGAACATTGGTGGGAGCTGCCGGAGGGAACTCCGAAGGGCAAAGGAGGCGTGCTGGTGAACGCCCATTACGATAGCGTCTCGACTGGGTATGGCGCAACGGACGATGGAGTCGGAGTCGTGACTTGCTTGCAGCTGGTTAAATACTTCACAACCCCCGGACATGCGCCTCGGAAGGGACTGGTGGTGCTGTTCAACAATGGCGAGGAAGACTTTTTAAACGGCGCGCGCGTGTATAGCCAACACCCATTATCGAGGTTTCCGCATACATTCCTCAACCTGGAGGGTGCGGGCGCTGGCGGTCGCGCAGTGCTCTTTCGCAGTTCCGATGCAGAGGTTTCTGCGTTTTATATGCGGTCACAGCATCCTTTTGGGTCTGTGCTGGGCTCAGATGGCTTCAAAGCGGGACTTATCCGAAGCCAGACTGATTATGTCGTGTTCGAGGGCGATTTGGGACTTCGAGGGCTTGATGTCGCATTTATGGAGCCGAGGGCTCGATATCATACCGACCAGGACGATACTAGGCATACTAGCAAAGATTCCCTGTGGCACATGTTGTCAACCGCGGTCGCAACTACAGAGGGTCTTGTGTCTGACTCGAGTGATCGGTTTGATGGACCATCGAGGGACGATCACAAGATAGCGAGCGGGACAGGCAATTCGGCTGTTTGGTTCGATCTTTATGGAAGCACGTTTGTGCTCTTCCGCTTGCATACTCTGTTTGCTTTGTCGGTCACCCTGCTAGTGGTCACGCCACTAGTTCTTCTCTTGACGAGCATAATCCTCACCAAAGTCGACAAGATGTACCTCTTTAGGACTTCTGTCCGGCCGGAAGGCAGCCTGGAGACGCTTCCTCTATACGGTGACCGAGGACTCATGAGATATCCATTCTTGCTAGGTGTCCCGACTGCTGTCACTGTGGGCCTGGCGTACTTGCTCACCAAGGTCAACCCGTACATTGTCCACAGCAGTCAGTACGCGGTGTGGAGCATGATGGTGTCCGCCTGGACGTTTCTGGCCTGGTTTGTCTCCCGGGTGGCTGACTTTGCGCGCCCGTCTGCTTTCCACCGCGTCTACACCTTTACCTGGACCTTTGTTTTCATGTGGGTTCTTCAAGTCATCGCAACTGTCTATCAGGACCGCTGGGGCTTGGGAGGTAGTTACTTTATCTTTTTTGGATTTGCAGGAACCTTTCTAGCTACGTGGATCTCGTATCTTGAGCTCTTTTCCCTGCCGCGGAAGTCCGAGTATGCTAACCAGGTTCGGCCGGTGTCGAGACGAGCCAGCAGCCATGGCAGCCGACTCGGAGGGCTTTCTGACGAGGATGGAGAAGACGAGGAGGAGGACGATGAGGCGCCGACTGAATCAACGTCGCTGCTTGGTAGCCGGCAGCGTACTACATTCGCAAACTACGTTCGAGTGAGCGCGGACCCTGCAGACCACTCAGATACCGAGGATCATTCGCAGGATATCAACGTGTACGGTCTCGAGCAACGATGGAGTGCTTCTCTGCCTAAATGGTTATGGGTGCTGCAATTCCTTCTCGCGGCTCCAATTATCCTCATTTTGGTTGGGCCCATATCTTTACTTCTGACTAGTTCCCTACATCAGACTGGACAGGACGGAAGCTCTTCGCTTTTTATCTACATTGCCATTGTTATACTCACAACTCTACTGTTAACTCCGATCCTGCCGTTTATTCATCGATACACCTACCACATTCCGCTCTTCTTGCTGGCTATCTTTGTGGGCACCATGATCTATAACCTTGTTGCTTTCCCATTCTCCGACTCCAGCCGGCTCAAGCTATTCTTTATTCAGGAGGTGGATCTCGATACTGGCTTGAATACTGTCTCACTAACGGGCGTTCAACCTTTTGTCCATGACGTTGCGGTTGGTCTACCAAGCGCGGCGGGCCAGAATGTCACCTGCAATCCCCTTGGGGATAGAGTCCAATGCTCCTGGGCTGGAATCCCTCCACACGTCCTCACAGAAGACAAACCTTTCGAGGAATGGCTCTCATTCGCAGTCTCTCGGTCTACCGACAAACCGCGCCACGCTCAACTCCAAATTTCCGGCCAAAACACCCGCGCGTGCAAGGTCTTTTTCGATACCCCAATCAAGAACTTTCATGTTGCCGATTCCGCGTACGACCCTCGCTTCCCGCACACATATGCCAAGGGAATCAAGGAGATCCGACTCTGGAGTCGTACGTGGGATAACACATGGACAGTGGATCTGGAATGGTTCAACCCGGACAGCTCGTCGGACCACAGTAATACCTCTGGCTCGCTCACCGGGCAAATTATCTGCCAATGGAGCGACTATAACCAGCCGGATGCCATTCCGGCTCTTGACGAAGTACGACAGTACGGTCCCGCATGGATAGGCGTGAGTAAATTGGCCGATGGGCTTGTGGAGGGTCGGAAGGCGTTTGAAATCACCTAGCTTTCCTAGGTACCTATGCACTTACTCTATTGCCGACTACGGTATCATAGGAGAGTAATTGGTTCCTGTGGTTACTATCTCGGCGTCCGGTTTACGAGCTTATGATTAGTTTAGTTTTGTTTTCTTCTACAGGACGCTCGCCGACTCTTTTTGCATGTTTTCTTAGTCCGGCCCCTTGCTGGGAATATCATCTCATATCAATGTATAGGTTATATTATATGACTTGTTCGAGGATTTTCCGCTATTGGATTATTTGGTGGCGGTTGTTGATATTATATTATTTACCCCTGTGCCAATAATATATCCAGAGTACACAAAGTACCAAATTAGTTTAGACTGGGTCACTTCAGACAAGGTATTACTTTGCACGTCCTAAGCCAGGAGTAAATTACCTATATTTCATTCGTTTTTATCTGATTTATCGGTTTTAGATTTTCAATCATATGTAATGAGGCAGTGGGAGTTTCCTACCCTTCTCCTTCCAATTCCTCTCCCTGCTTTTCTTCAGGGATTCCCTCATGATGATTGAGGGTAAGATATGAAGATAAGTATCTGGCGCAAATACATGAGCACTCAGATGTTGGTATGGCTGCTTTTGTTTGCGAGTTGAAACTGCAGCGTGAGGTGTCCCCGTTCGCTCGAGCCTAGTGCCGTTTTTCCCATTGCCGTTCCTGTTTCAAGGTAGCGAGGTAGGGTAAATAACGATGCAGTTGTAATGTATGCATGTAGGCGGTCGTTCAGCTGATGTACAAAGAGTACAGTGGCTATCTTATACTCTTCACAGTGTTGAGCTGGCGATGTGACAAGAAGTCTGACTCTGCGGTGATATCTTGAGGCCTTGACTTTGTTTTTCATGAAAGTCGGATATCTCGAGGACTTTGGGGGTTTGTGTTGATTTTCGTGGCATTAATTTGACCGTGATCTCGTCGCTCGTCATTCGTTCCGTGCGTAAATGACCAAAAGGAACAAAAACAGGTGAGTGCGGGATCATCCTGTGCACGCTGGTCCCTTGATATGTAGAATTGGCAAGCGCTTTGGCGATTCGGTAAAGTCTCGTTCGATGCATGGAGGGTTATTCGTCTGCGTCTCGCCGCTTAGGGCATGGGAGATCTCCGAGTGGCCTGTTCCTGATTCGCGCGGAGGACCCGAGTGTTCAAACATGGCGATGTCGACGTCGTCCTCGTCCATGAACGGGTGGGAGCGCTGTCTGGCAGTGGGAGTCGCGTGCGTGAGATCCGAGGTAACTCTTGTGGCATCGACAAAATCTGGGAGGTCCGGGGGTGGGCCGCTCACAGATTCCTGTTTCCAAATGTGGCTGCGGACGAGGAAGACGAGTTTACCGAGGACCGCGAACTCGAGCTTCAGTTTGACGCTGTAAACGACGCCCTTGATCATTGTTTCCATGATATAGTAGTCCATGTACTCCACCACCAGGAGGCCAATGTCCATCACAATGATGATAAAGTTGATTGTGACGAGCTGATACATGATCTTGCGTTTCCCCTTGTCCGGGTCGAGACGGAGCATGCGAATTGTTTCCGAAATGTACAAGGCGGACAATATGAATTCCTGAATGCAGAAGCCGGTCATCTGGATCTTCTCCATCACGTTGTACCCGCTGATGTAGCCGTGTCGTCCTGCCGCGAGGTTGGAGCCGTAAGTGAGGACGGTGGTAGGGACATGTAGGATGAAGACATTGATGATAATCATGGCCAACACTCGGCGAAGGATGCGCTGATTAGGAACGACGAGGTGCAACCGCGAGTATAGAACGACGGCCTGGCCAGTGACCATGCAGTACCAGCCAATGGTGATGAGGGTGACGGATAGCCATGTTGCGGAGGTTAGGTTGAAGAACTTGAGCAGGAATCCAAGCGAATACGGGATGAGTCCCACTGCCGACGAGATCAACAAGCTCCAAAAGTACAAGCCTCGATAGTCACTGAAAGTGACAAACACAAGGGCAATGAGTTCGACGGCGTTGTACCAAGTGATTCCCGTAAGCGTCGCAATGGTGATCTGGATGCCTAGGCTCTCACCCGAATAACCTCCCGTGATGCCATTGCCAGGTGAGCTGCTGGAGACCATGTCGCTAAAACTGAGAAAGCTGCTCCTGATTGTGGGATGCGGTGACCGGAGTCATGGTGTGCCTGAGGTGGAGGAGAGACGATGAGGGGAGCTGTGGAGGGGCGAGAGCGGAGAGGAGCAGGAGAGAAGAGAAGCGAAGACCGAACAGTAACACAAGATGACAAAAAGCCAAGAGAATGACTGGAAGAGCAGAAGATGGAGTGTTAAGACCAGATGAGCTGAGATGATTTCTGTCAGGTGAGAAGGCCAATGCAGTCAGGGCGAGAAAATACCCCGGATCGTCACACCTCCAGCACCAACACCACTGCGCCAACCCAATAATCACTTGCAGGGAGGCCAGTGGCCAGTTTGCCAGCTAGCCTGACAGCAGTCACAGCACAGATGAGATCACTAATAAAAGATCAACCCAAGATTAAGAAAAAAAAAAAGGCCCGATGCCCCGAAACCCAAGGCCAAGCACCTAAGCGGAATTGAATCACAGCCCCCAGATCGGCTCTAACACCAAGCGAGTAAGCCGGCAACCTTGAGGCTTGAGCAGGGACACGCTATGATGAAAGACACCGATGATGTGCAGCGTTTTTCTGGATGGCTTTTCAAGTCAGCCTTCAAGCTCCAGCCCTTGCCAAGATCGATGAGTTTCCCTTCCTCCCTGCTTCCTGAATTTGAAGTCCATCCAGACGGGACTGCCTTCAAAAATCAACCGCTACGTTACTCCGCCAAGCGGCTTTCGCTGACATGGTCCGTGAACATTTCCCCAGGTCTTTCCCCTTGTGCCTCCCCCTCTCCAAAGCTCGACTGGTTCGTGCAATCAGAATCGGCCTTGCCTGGGCCTGCGTACCCAGAACGGCAAATCCCAGTCGTTGGCCTCCCCAGACGGATCGCACAAGTGGGCCCATTAAAGAGCCCCAGATCCAATAATGAATCTCATTGCAGGAGTCTGACTGTGACCAGTGGACCACTAGCAAGGTCGCCGGGATTGGGAAACTTGCCGACGCTGGTAATTGGCAATTCCCTTGGCGCGATCTATACGTCGAAGTCCGCCTGTCTTCGAGTTCGAGCTGGAGAGCAGATAAAGGAGCTTAAAGAATGGCTAATCTCCGGACACAAAGAAAGTGAACTTGGAACGGTTCAGGTTCGCCGCGTGGCTCGGGTGACCGTTGTGGAAGGACTGTGGCGTGGTATGGCCCGTCCTTGCCGCAGTCGGTGCTCCTCGCCTTGTTTGTTCCCCCTTCTTTGAAAATAATGAGTCCCCTCGCTCTCTTTGTCCTACGCCATCACTTATTCCCAGCAATATACTCTGAGGAGATGTCAACCAGTCAATACTGAGCCATTTGAAGCTCGATCCGAGCCGACACTGGTGTCGCGTGGGAGAAAGTGACCGCGTGCCCGTCCGGGCAACAATGACTTCGCCTGCATATCTGGCCTGGATAAAATTCAAGCCGCCATACGACGCCAATAGAAAGAGCTTGGAACAAACTCGGAGTACGCCATGATCTGTTGGGACCCAAAGAAGCCGCGTCCGTTTTGTCCCGGGTTCCTGGAAAGCTCAACGTCAATTGTCCTGCCGAAAAATATAGTCGTGAACTGCGTACCGAACTACCGATTGAATGACTCGGATAGAGTGGCTGCTGGAGACGGAAAGTCCATGAATTTGTCACCAGCCACCACTCATGACAATTGATGACCGGTGCTGTTGGAGTTGGCCACGCTACTCCGTACTGCTTGGATGACGAACTGGCGTTGTGCTTATCTATTCTTGGGATCTAGCACGAATTTTTCGCCCCGTTTCCGCGGCGAGTCCTTCGACTCAGCGAGTCAGCGAGACTTACGAAGTAGTTTCAGACGACATCCCATGCACTGGAAACATGGATCCGGCGATACGTATTTCAAGTTCTCCCACTCTACCGAATTCTACGGAGTACTCCGTATCGCGTCGTGGATTGACATAATTGATCTAATACGTCGATTACGCTATTTATTTCTTCACAAGTTCACCACCTTAATTTTCCGACCTGTCAACAACGGAGCGCGAACTTTACCGTGGCTCCATGGACTACCGATCGGCATCTATCCGCGGCGGAAGAACGGAATTGGAGAGTGCCTAGTGGTCCCCCAACGTGATGGACATGGCCCACGGGGGATGAGCTCTCAGCCTGAGAATCCCAGCTCAATTGCCATACTTACGGCTAATCATACGGATCACACACTCTGCCGTACTCCGTACAATGGCTTTCCGTGGCCAACCTTGGCGACCATAGAGTCATTGCCGCCTACACCGTACTTTGTATCGCATCATTCAACAATCTCGTACTGTCCACCATGATGGACTGTAAGATTTTGGCTGCATCATCTCCAGCACTAACGAATTGATGCATCTTTTGTTGGCCTTGTTCCCGTTGGTCTGCAATAAATTGCGGACAGCTTCCCCCTGTTGCTACCCACCACCAATCAACAATCAAAGAAATGGCCCGGAAAAGTGACCCGATGGCTTGCCTGACAGTCGGTGAAGCTGAACAGTTCGAGATGCGAGCCTTATAAATATTCTTCCAAGACCCGCTGCGGCTGCAGCAGCTAAGACTTCCAAAATTGGGAGTTAGCTTAGACTCGAAGGACTGGGTGATGGTCACCTTGCCTAGCACGTTCTGACACTCGGAATCGTGTCGCACGAAGCACCATCATGTGCACATCCTTGGCCTAGACTGATCTTGAAGCTTCCCGACCATGACAGCGGACTTGGCCATCGGGAAACGATTGTTGACGGCATCGGCAGCGTACAGACACTGCAGACCAGAGCACAGTGTCTGCCGTTGTACTCCACCTGTCACCGGGCAAGCGCACAGTGATCGCGGATGATCACCCGGCTAGTGCAGGCTGGGCTGCTGGGCAGACAGCTGCCGCGGTGTCCAGGGCCAATTCCGCAGAATTCAACGTCACGCGATCATCAAGTGACAGTCCATATAAAAATTTTGTAGAGTTGTACGATGTAGATTATATTAGATTTTGTGTACTGACCAGGGTGACAGAGCTTGCCACATGCTCCTCCTTTGTGTACTCACCGCCACAATGCTATTGGAGTTGCATTGATCGATCGCAAATGATATTGACCCATTATACTTCACCCGAGCAGGGTTGCCCATATTGCGCGCCTTGGACCAAACAGCCCCTTGGTCGGTAGTCTATACCGCTGACGGCGCGTTAGGTTAACAACGGTTTATCCGACGAGTAGATACCCGCCTCCTTCACCACCTGCAACTTTGCAGAAACTCGGAAAGCGGAAAGTGGGAACTGGGAACCTATGCCAGTGGACCGGTCAGTAGTGTGACTGTCCGCCGTCCGGAGAGTTGGCTCAACTTCCGCTCAGTAGTAAGAATCTTCTGTAATTGCATGCATCCTTTTTGAAAAATTAACAGTGTCCGAGGCCACTGATTCGTTCCGATGGCATCGAGCCAAGACAGGGTTGCAGGTGGCTTTTACGGGCCAGCAGTACTGTTATGTTTTGATGGCTTACGGAGTAGCTCGGCTGAGAAAGGCTTTCGCCCTCGATTGAACGCCCATATCCTTGAAGGCTTTTGACATTGACCTCTTCTTCAGAAAGCAGCCAGCCATTTATGATCCCGGTGCAAGCCCAGACTATAATCTCTTCGCGATTGGAGGGCGAGACTCGAGAGGCCCGTGAACGATGCTAGATGTCTGGTGATGTTGTCGATCTGGTCCGAGCATAGTAGATGTGGCTACCCAGGAACTGGATCGCATCGCCCAGTTCGAAATCCGGCGATCAGAATGCTCGAGCCTCGGCGTAACAACGGCTCTGTCGACTTTCTGAACAGCAACTCCTCTCCAAATCGTGGATAGACAAGTACGGCATGGTGCCATGGATAGGAAAGATGCTCCGATTTCTGGATCACGAGGTCTGCCACGTTGCGACTTCAACCACATCGGCGTGACGCGTGAATTGGAGGAACCTGCCTGTACCCGAAGAATTGAACATCGTCCTGTCGCCCAGAGGCGTCGGGACAGGGCGTCTACTGTAATTGCGCATACGGCTCAGTTGCCCTTGACCGACATCTTATTGCTGGCTAGGAGTGTAGCCTCTAATGAAGTCTAGTGGATCGGTGAGAAAGGGATGACAGCTTAGCGAAGTGCGCTCAGAGTATTGCAGCAAGCACCGGAGTAGTCCAAGCCTACGCTTGATCAACAATCTCGGGCAAATGTCATAGAGTTTTGAGGAGTACGTCATTGGACGTCTGAAAGTGGCTGACTGGGAAACCTTCATTGACTGAACGCCACCCTTGAATCTGCGTGTAGCCATAACACGACCAAGATCCTATAATGCTAGACGGCGACCTGCTAGGCGCAGGATGAGCGATATCGGCTTGATGTTGGAGAAACTGCTCGAGAACCTAATACGGAAACCTTCGATGCAAAGAACAAAATCAGTGGCCAGCCAGAGTCTTTGTTTTGGTGAGAAGTCAATGAGCAATCACTTATTTTCAACGTGGTTGATCAGACCATCCACAAGAAAATCCGGGACGTCGTCGGACACTGGCGACGCCAAATGGCATTGAACTGACAAACTCTTGATCCAATGAAAGCAATGGAGGCACACGAAGACTTGGGATCTAGCCTGTCGAATGCATCTTCCAAGCAGTTTGCCGCCCTGACGAAAGGGCACAAACAGGGTGTCATGAAGAAACTAACCACGGGTTTTAATCACCATGGACGTTTCGATACTGGATAGGTACGGAGTACTTCGAAAGACACAAGTCCCAATCTGCGTGTCGCCTCCCCGAATCTTTGTAAGTGGGCCTGATGCACGGTGGACCACCACCAGTGCAGGCAAAGCGGGTTCTCATCACACTAGGTTCTCTGCGAAAATCGCCATGTTCGAGTTCCAAGTAAACTCTGCATTATATTAGCTCGTTGAACACATAGCCGAGTATTACTGCCGCAATGGCACAGCCAGTTCTTCAGGCAATATTCATTGTTATCGTGTTTCTGCGGCATCAAAAGGACAAGCGGAGCTTTACCACCGAATAAAAAAAACAAATAAGCTTGGACTGGGATTCTGCAGCCGACAAGCGTTTAGCTCACCGAGAGCATTCATCATTGAGGCAGTGGCGGCATCATAGTGAAGGGATGTTGCAGCCCTGCAGCGCGGAACGCGGGCAAGAACCCAATGAAGAAAGAGAACTATGTCGAGCGAGAGGTCATAGAATCGGGGCCTAGAAGTGCGATCGTCTTCAAAGCAACTGTAGAAGTGGATATGGGTGACAGAGAATGACCGGACTTTTTTTTGTATGGATCAACAGTTAGTTTATCTCAATTTGGGAGACATCCGAGTCGCCTACCTGTCGGAACGATGTTAAATGTGGGTTGTTTGTCATCACGCACGCAAGTATTCTGCCTCCTGCATTTGCTAGAAATCGAACATTTCAAATCATATGGTTTCATGAAACATCTTGATGAGTGCTTGCTACAAGAGCCAGCGTAGACAAATCAAGTTCAGATCCTTGCAAGTTACCGAAGGCTGCCCGGCCAGCGAGTGGAGATCAAGAACCTGAGTGGTACGGCCTCATTTTGATGTATTGCAGCCACGATTGATGCAGGTTTGATCCCTATCTTGCCAATTTGCGAAGTGTGTCTCGATCGAACTCCACTTTCTCTGTTGATGTCGTTGTGAGAGACTTTGCCAAAAGTCCACACTCTTTCCAGGCCCCTATAAGAAGCCGATCAACTGCTCCGTACCATGAATCGTAGAGCGTTGAATCCGAAGAAAGGTTCTCTTAATACGTTATCAATCACATTCGCCAATCATGGCCCCCTCTGCTGTTAGCTTCCCTCCTTCCACGGAATTCATGGTGGCCCCCGAAGCCTACTATTCGTCTGGCCTGCGTGCGCGCTTCCTCCTCGATGCGGACCGGTCCGCTGGGAAAACTCAGAGGAATCCTGAAAACTATGCCAAAATCGGGTACGAAGTCGACGAGATAGCCTATAGGAAGCGAGTGCAGGCTAGTCTCGCAGCGGGCAACTTGCCTAGAAAAGTGCCTTCCGGCTGGCCCACTCAATTGTCTGGCCCCTTGGTCTGGGACAAAGGCGACTTCTCGGACGAGACTGAGTATGTATATTACTTGACCAACAAGGACAAGCTTGAGATATTGAACGCTTTGGAAATCTTCAAAGGTGTGTCCCCTTGTTGACAGAGTGGCGGCGAGATGTCGCGCTCTGGCGGCCTCATCACAAGGACCAGCGGTGAAAGCACACGGAGGCTAACAAAACACAACCAGGCTTTGGCCTTGGAGGCCACGAGGTCTCACAGGCAACGTTTCCTCTCCCGTCGCTCGGAAAAGAACTTGTCAAGGTGCGCAATGATGTATATGAGGGCCGTGGATTTGCGATTGTGCGTGGGTTAGACCCAGATGCGTACGCTATGGAGGACCTCACGGTGGTGTATCTGGGAATATCGAGTTACATCGGCGAAAGACGCGGGAAACAAGACCAGCGCGGTTCAATGTTGAGTATGGTCCCTTGTCGAAATTATACATGCAAAAGGGCCGTTTCTGATGATTATTTTCTTGTCAACAGTGCACGTCATCAAGCGAGGCGACCAAGAGCGAGACGTCCAATATAGCGAGGACAAGGTAACGAATTCTCATGAATATAAGAATTGACTCATTCCCATGGACAAATTCGCTGAATAGTGTTGTGCATAGCCATTCCACACCGACACAGTCACCGACTGTTTGTGTCTTTTCACACGAAGCCTGTCTGAAAAAGGTGGGCGTAGCATTCTCGCTTCCGCCTGGACGGTGTACAACGAGATTGCAGCAACTCGACCGGACATCATCCACGTTTTGGCTGAGTCTAACTGGCCGTTCGACACGTAAGTATCCGCCGTGTTGTCCCACAATCCAATGATTTGGTTTCTCAAGGGAAAACACATCACTTCTGCCACAGATAGCTGACTAGTGGTTAGATTTGGGCGTTCCCCTCCGTATTACACCCGCCCAGTCCTTTATTACCACCATCACAAGCTTATCACATCCTTTTCGCGCCGGTTGCTGGTTGGACACGTCCCTTTCGACAAGCGGAGTCCCGGAATCCCTGGACTCACAGAGGCACAGGCCGAGGCGCTTGATATGATCCATTTTGTTGCACGCAAGCATGAAATCAATCCACGGATAGAGCGCGGCGATCTCCGCTTCATCAACAACATGGCCGTGTTGCACCGACGCGAGGCTTTCGAGAACAGTGCTGGAAAGGCCCGACACCTGATCCGTATTTGGCTGAACAACGAGCAGATGTGCTGGAAGCTGCCTCGGACGCTACAACTTTCGTGGGCCCGTATCTTCGAGGACAATGAGCGTGAAGAACACTGGGATCTGGAGCCCCCTCGCCGAGACGGCAAGATCCTGAGAGTCGCGGGATCATGTGATTGAACATGTTACTGTCTTGGATAGGAGTCTCGGAGAAGAGATAGAAGCAGTTTTGCAGGCGGGGACGAGATCGAGCGAGGGGTAATAGGACAAAGTGGGGAGAGGCAGAGGGGAGGAGGAGAATGGGGTTGGTCGTTGGAGTGTGGAACTGTGAGGTGGAAGGGGCAAGGCAAAAGTTTGGTTCAGACGACACACGACTGCCCGTGCCCAATTTTCACCGGACGCGGCAGGTTGCTTCCTGGAGTTTTCGTCTACACAAAAGTCTTTTCGTCTCTGGGGTTCTTCGGGGTTTCGCGGGGTGTTTCTTGTGCTTCTGCATTTCTTTGTCTTGAAGGTCATGTCATTCATTACGCTTTCTATTATTCGAATCACGGTAACCTTCCCATAATACGACAGGCGGCTATCATACTAGATGCTATACCCAGGTGTTAAACAGTCGGTCCAGGCACCCATTCAACCTCATATAACTGTGAAATCCAATACAGATCATCTCCGTACTCCTTGTTTTTCCGGATTTCGGCCATGCGCGCGGCTGTGGTGCAGTCAGACCAGTGGCGTCCGACAACTAAAAGTCAGGAGAGCACTTACCTCGACCAGGGTGATTGATGTGCTGGGAGGTCTCTTTGACGAACTTGAGCCCATCATTGTCTAGCTCAGCGGCGGTCGCCAAGTTGCGGAGCGACTTTTCGTCATAGGTTAGATGGAACGGAAGAACGCCTTTGTTGAGGTAGTGAAAATGGGCCAACGCAGTCTGCATGCCCTTCTGCATGCCTTCAATGCTTTGGCAATTAGCATATACGCTCTGCGGATTGTATGCCGAGTCAGTGTCGTGGACCAATATGTCTGGGACGGAAACAAACCTCAAGGCCGAATTCACGAGCTGTCTCCCAGTCCCGTCTTGTCAGCATCGCACAGCTGTGGAGCAAGATGAACAAGGTCAGGTATATTGTCAACCAATGCTCGCGCTTGTTCTCGGTGATCAGGTCTTTCAACCCCGTCAACACCCTACCGCAGAGAGGGCGAAGAACCCTGGTGTACATGATGCATTCCATCTGAGCAATCATGATACCGGGCATTGGGACCTTTTCATGGTAACGACTAGCGGGGTCATCCACCGGCGTGCCTCCAACGGCTTCGTAGAAGTACCTGATGTACTCTGGATTGCTGATTTTACGGCAGCCGACCCAGAACTGGAGGCAGTCTCTGATCAGGGCCTTTTCTCGTGCAGTCTGCACCGCATACTAAGCAACCTCGCACATTCCCAGGGGTAGCATGGCACTTACCTTTGCTTTTGTTTGATAAGTGAAGGCGAAGTAGTAGGTGCGCCAGATCAAGAGGTCCAGATTGCCGACCTCGTACTTGATGTACGCACCCACATAGTTGGCCGTCAACCACTTCAGTGTTTCGGCAGCACCCTCCATATCAGCGAGCGCATATTGTGGCATTGGATGGCGTCTGACATAATGCCCCGATGCCCACGTCGATTCCAGCATATCGCCCTCCATTGGTATGAATTTCCTCACTTGCACATCATATGGAGCGTCGACGTGAATTTGGGATAACGTTATTGTCTTGATCTCGGATGATGCCCAGTCTGTGATGTCGACAATCTCCATGCTCTGCCATCGTCTGCTGAAAAGTTGACATGGCATTTCTTGTTCTCGGTATAACGACACGTCGGTGATGATCATCCGGAGACAGGGGAGTTTTCGGATACTGGGGGCCTTTGATTGGTGTGCCCGTTGGCAAGTGAGACAATCGTTTGTATAAGGGTCTTTATGATCTGGTTCACACTGCATAGTGGTTCATTAGCAGGGGGATTTGGAAAACAACTGAAACAATCGCTGCTCACCCTTATCCGCATCATGCGACATCGGACGCAGCCCTTCAGATTCCTAGTAAGGGCTGTTTCGGTGCGTTTGCTTTCATCCTTAAACGGACCGCGGCGGCGCGTGCTTGATTTTCGATGCTTTTTCTTCGATGAATCTTCTGGCGTGCTCTTTCGTTTCCGTCGAGTCCTCTGCAGGGAGCGCAAAGTGAGTTAGCCATCAGCAACCTCGGTTGGCACCGCGATGCAACATACCGGAGGAAGAGACCAGGTCTTGCTACAGGGCCCGGCTGGAGGCGCATTTACGACGATTGAGCTTCGCTCGTTTAATCCGGGCGATTCATCCTGCTGCTCTTCATCCGACACGATTGACGAATCACTATCCGAACCGGCAACCGACATGGCCCACGACGAGGATGTGTGGGACGGCGACCTGGTCGGACGACCGTAGTCGAACGGCATCGCGATCAAGTCGCCGTGCCCGCTCGACAACGAGATAGAAGATAAATCGTGCGTTTTCAGTGTCGGAGCACTGTGTTGACTAATGAAGGCGCTTGGGGCGCCGTACAGAGGGGCATTCCATGAATCCGTATAATAAGACCAAGATAACGACATTGCAGTATCGGTTTCTTGACCAGAATCTTGCAATACAAGCTTCCGATCGTCCACGACTTCCCTCGCATTGCTCACTGCATCGAGGGTCGAGGCTAGCCCATGCAAACCAGACGCTGCAGATGGACGAAGTCGCGAGTCCGACCAGTGTCGTCCAGCTTCCCTGGTTATCATCAGGCCGGGTAGTGGGGGTGGCGGGTTCAGCGCGTCTACAGCAGCCGGATTATTCCTTGTATCCCTGCTCGCTTTAGTTGGCAACAATATTGCGGCCATGAGCTCATCCAGCAGCCGCGGATCCGATGCGAGGTCTGCAATCAACGCTGGGGGGATGATGCAGATAGAAATCAGCAGAAAGATCGTCTCCGGCTCGTGCCACGACGGTCGGAGGAGAAAAGAGCGAGCAGTCCACTGTCAAGAGGCAGAAAAATCTTTGGCGTGTTGGGGTCTGGGAGACACCATACCATGTTGATCCGGCAGTGCAGGGATGGGCCGCGCTGGCGTCAAGGCAAGATGGGCAGGCGCAATTTAATTCTTTGAAGAGCGCTCGGCGAGCTTTTATCGCTTAGGGGCTCGGCAACACTATCGAAAGTCTATTGTTCGACTGTCAGTCACCGCAAAGGCATCGCTGTCAGAGATTAATGGACCTGTCGAGTCCTCTGTTCAAGGAAGGAATCGTTTCGAGTCACAGGCCGTCTCAGCCTGCGCTGATGCGATCGTAGACTGCGCAGCCCAGGATTACCAATGGAAGAGCAGTCACTGCCGCTTTTTGATAGGTACGTTTTTTTTTTCTTCACTGCGTCGGGGTTACTATCCTTGCTGGTCTGTTTGAGCTTATCCGCTCCATCTCTGCTATCTTATTATTGCATGCATGAGGGGTAAATCTATCCATTATTGCCCAGCGCAGTCTCACTCCTTCCTTCTCTTTCTCCCCGTCACTCAGCCTTGTCTGAGCGTCTCCCTCAGGCTCCAATCCTACGCGCCACTCCATCATTCCTATCAATACTATTCTCCTATTTGCTTCTTCGAGCCACTTGGCCTTGGCTAGGCGTTTTTGGCGCCCCTGGTGCTGACGGCGGTCCACTCGGTCAGTGACTCTCATCTCCTCCGTGGACCATATGGCCACCATCAGTCAGGAATCCAGAGCCAACAATGATAGTAGAGCAAGGCATTGGTGCCCAATTTCTCCATGGAGCTTAGCCATCTGATCGTTGACGCCGTGTGGCGTCCAAGCTTCTTGTTGAAGTACCATGAACTACAAGACCATCTGCAGCCCTCTTCTGGTCGAATTGGCCCTCCTTCGTGGGACTATTCTTTTCTGAATCCTCGCAACCGGGTTGAGACCCTCGACACTGCCTCTTCTCGCTGGCGGATTGATGGAGCAACAATATGCGGCACTTGCGTCTATGTTATCCCGCTGGATCTCCTCCCGAATCTGCCGCCTCTGCGTATCCTGCTCTACATTTCTGATCAGACGGAATACCCGGCCGCGCTGCGTCATAGTCTCGATGCCTCTATTGGCGTGCCTCTACGAGACGGAAATGCGATTTCTCAGCTTGGCTTAGCAAAGCATCTCTGTCGTGCACTGGACCACCATTGTGCCCAGAACCCGGGCTTCCTTCAGGAATATCTCAAATTACCATTTGGCTCGAGGCTTATTTTTGAGGACATAACTCCAGAGGTTGCGGACATGAGGCTAGATATTGAGCGGGATTATCACGTTGAATCAAATATGAAAACACTTGATACCCTCCAACGTTCATGGTCTGATGTTGCTAGAGGCACCTGGCCGCCAGCGGTGGATATCAACAACTTGTGTCTTGTGAAGCAGCTTAACGAAGCTGTAAGCCTGGTGGAGGTTCCTGGTCAACCTGCTGCCATTTTCAAGGCGGCAAGCAACTCTTTGCATCATACGTACCATGAGCTTCGTTTTCTCCTGAGTTGCTCCCCACATCCCCACATTATGCCTCGGCCTCTGGCTGTTGTGACTAAAAAGAGTGCGTTCGGTGGCAAAAATGGTGTAGTTGGCTTTCTTCTCCAACATTTCCAGGGAGGTTCGCTTCGTGATATCCTGCCGGCTCGACAGCGCTCCGCTACTCTATCGGACTCTGTCAAGCTTCGATGGTGTCGCCAAGTAGCGTCAGCACTGGCCCATCTGCACGAACATGGCGCATTTTATTCTGACCTGCGACCCGACAATGTGCTGTTAGATGCCGAGGAGAACGCCGTTCTCTGCGATTTCGAACAGCGGGGTAACTGGTATGAGTGGTGTGCTCCTGAGATCCGTTACCGACAGTACGCCGAGAACATCCGCGCCCGTCTTCCTAATCGTGTCGTTAACTCCCCCTACGACCGTTTACTCAAAGGATATGCAGGCTCGCACTCAATGTCTACATCAGCGTGCTATACGCTAGCGGAGAGCCCAATCGAGGCGCGGAATCGCGCTTGGTTTGCCCTGCCGCCGTCTGCGCGTGAAAAAGCAACCGTGTATAACCTTGGCTTGTTCATATACTCTGTTTTCGAAGGCCTTAGCAACGTTCAGCGCAACGTTGCAAATCAGTTTCCGATCGAGCCAGAGGTGGAGTTTCCAACTTACCGACGGACACCAGCTGTAATAAGGGAAATCATTCAGCACTGTATGGGTGACACGCCAAACTGGCACACAGCGGGGCTGCGGTCCGAATCACCACGAGTGTTGAGAGTAAACGGCTTGCTATACCCGGAGACGCAGACCAATCTTGAACCCGATACGCGCGCAAGTTTCGATGCCGTCATGGAAACCTTACTCAATTTTTGGAATACGGAGCTGATGCAGGCAGAGAAATTCCTGGACGATCCCAATTGGAAAACCGGTGATTTTGGGAGAGGTAGAGCGTCACTACGTGATGTAGTGGATACTCTTGGGAGCCTGTCGGAAGATATATGCCGGTAAATCAACGCAAAATTAGAGTCAGTCGCCGCACAGAAAAGGAGACAGCAGACAAAAATGGGTCTTGGGACTCTATTAGCGGTACATCATAAACGTGTGCGTATTCTAACAGTTCAACTTGCCGAAACTAGCTCAGCTCTACTCGCCAAATCCTGATTTGTAGTCGTTCAACGCTTCGACTACAAGCTGGGCCAGCGATAGCAATCTCTCTTCGTCCAATCTGCGCCCTATAAGCTGCACAGCTGCTGGGGCACCATGGTATTTCTCCGCATCATCTATTATATGTCAGGAAATCTTCTTGGAACATCGAGATGGAACCGCACAATACTTCATGTTCATCTGATCCTCATCGTTTAGGGCCGTGAAACTGGGGCTGACGACGTCTATGCTCTTGTCTGCAAAGGTTACCGGAATAACAACAGAAGCATAATCCAGTACGTTGACAGCGCTGGTATACGCTTGATGCGCTCAGTCAAAACACAATTTCATCTGCTTTGTTGCTGTCCGCCACTTACTCGAGGGGTAGAATTTCCCTGGCAGTACACCTGCATATGGCGTCACGGGGGAAAGGAGAGCCTCCACGGGGCGATCTAAAAGCACTGTCAGTGATTTCCTATGGCATCTCAATGCACGTGCTTACCACCGGTTCGCTCTGCAGTTGATGTCCAGTAGTCAAGATACCGTTTCCGATAGTCTTTCATTTGCCTCACTACCTCCTCGTACTCCGGAAGGGGCAAAGGAGCCCTTGGTTTGCCATTGGGGAACAGGTTTCTGATCTCAGGTACGAAGGGCTCCCCCGAAAGGTGGACCGCGTCATAAACATCATGACAACCATCGCCTCGGGCGATTGAACACTGATATACCTGTTACGAAAATCCTACGGAGAATGCTTCTGAGTGCTATGCTTACATGGATATCGATGGTCTCCTTGTGGTGAGGCCACTCCCAGTCTACCAACTGCGTCCATTAGCAAGTGAAACCCAATGCCGCGTATCACAAACCTGATGTCCTTTACTTTGCAGAGCCTCTTTCACTATCTCCATAGCGCGCGAAATGGGCGGATGGGGCGTGATCACACCGTCGTTGGCCAAGAATCCAAAGGCGGGTTTGTAGGTTCGTTCGTTCCGTGGCCTATACTCCATTTCGGACCTCCAGGGAATCGGAAGTGTGTAGGGGTCGTGGAGCCACGGCTCCAGGGAAAGAAGAGATTTGAGTATCAATTGGAGTGCACCAACTGAGCGACCCATGACTCCAACCACCGTCGGCATCACTTCCTGTCCTTTACCCTTGTTAGGCAACGTCAGCGCGATTGGCAATCCAGAGGGACACTTTAGCCGTACAGTGTTTGCTGCATCCTTAAAGGAGATACGCCCCGCTGAGGGTTTGATACTGAAGATGCCCTGAAAGGAAGCCGGCATTGACACTGAGCCGCCGATATCGGTACCAATTCCGAATGCGCTTCCTCTCAACGCCTGCATGGCACCCTCGCCTAGAAAGCGTCAGCTCAGCGAAGCCGGCAGTATATGTGCATAGAACAAAAGAGATCGGTTTCTGCCAGACCTCCTGATGAGCCACCCGTTGAGAGGTTCTGATTGCAGGGATTGAACGCATATCCAAGTATGTTGTTGTTGGTTTCTGGGGCCTTCGGTCGTCAGCGCAGTTGGAGTGTAGTGGGTGACGAGATACCCCTCTCAACTTACCCACAGGCTTTGCATCAGTGTGGTCTATCACATCGTACTTTTGTTCAGCTATTGTTCGATATGTAAGTGGCGGTTCCTTGTGTGACTTACCTTTCCAATAGGAACTGCGCCGAGCGTGTGGAATTCTCGGACTAGTTCGCTGTCGACATTTCTGTCCTTCCCCGTACCTATTTCTCCCTCGAAAGTACCGATCCACCCAATGAAACCCATGGAGGTATCTAGACCCTTGATGTGAAACTGGTCCTTGAGAGTGAGAGGGACTCCATGAAGAGGGCCAACAAGCTGTCTGTGTTCTCTGAAGTAATCGTCGAGCTCCTGAGCCCGTTTGATGGCTTCATCGAATCTAATCTCGAGTAGGAGATTGCTCTGGTGGAAAAGTTTCAGAAATGCTATCCTTCCGCGGACGGGATCGAACTCACTAATTGGTGAGCATAGGCGGCCCTCTTGCAGAATGCCATGACCACATCCACCGCTGAAAGCGTCCCGTTTCCCATGCTAGCCACAAGCTCAGGGACATCCATGCCAGTGACGTATTGAGACTTGTGGTCGAGCAACCCGTCCATGTAATCACCGACGATGCTGTTACGAGACCTGCTGTCTTCCAGCACTTGAGGCTCTAATATCCATTCCCGCGGGATTTTGGCGAGGTTGGCTTCGCGCTTCGCGCTCGCTATCTGCTGCCACCGAGCTGGGCGGCTGGAAAAGATTTCCGATATTTTCCACATCTCATGAGTCCAGTCCAACAGTGTCAAGGCTGACACGAAGAGGGCGACCGTGAGGATGATGGTGCGGAATTTGGCTGCCATTGTCGCTGGTCTTTATATCAATCGAAACTCTCCTTTATTATGGAGACGGGTCTTCCAAGGCTCCCGCGGCCTCTTTGAATGAATGCATCCTACGACAGTCAGGGCGCGCTGAAATGCCCCGATCCACAGAGCCACAGTGAAATGAGCGGCGAATAAAGTACTCGGACCTCAGGTCTCAAGCACGCGAACCTTTCCGTGAAAGTTTGAGAAATGTCTGTATAGCTCCTTTTTTCCGGAAAATATTGGGCCAATGACCTGCGCCTCTTAATTTCGACCGATGAAAGATTACTTTTCCATTGGTACGGCAACCAATCAGCGGTCAGTCTTACGATATCCATATGTCGGCTCGGACGAGCATTCGGGCTCAAGGGATAACATTCCCAGGGGATCACATTCCCAGGGAATCACGATAGTCGGTCACTTGTCTTCCAGCCGCTGCTGAGCTTCGACAAGGCGTGGAGCTAGCCCACGTATCACGTCTCCCCTATAATCCTTCAGCTCTACCGGAGGCCGGTGAGTGAATTGCGGTGTGCAACAACTCTCTCCCTCAGCTCGAACTTGATCAGAAGACAGCCGTTACAGGATTTTGGGGCGTCAAGGCCGGGGAGGCCGCTTGTTCCGCATACGTAACGAGCCCTGGATTTGTAGACGGATGTATGGACAGACATCCGGTTCCGATACGCACCAATTACTGCTGCAGGGTACTTTGTTCCAGTGGATCAGAGAAGTCGCTTTGAGTTCTTCTTAGCCCAGATCAAAACACCTCGTCGGCAGCTGGACTTGACAGGAAAGCGCCGCACTTCCCAACGGCGGCCGATGACCCTTATTGGCAGGGTGTTGTATAATATCGGCAGGATCACGGTTCCCGCCACGCCTAGCAAACAATACCCTATGACAAACAGCCTCACCAAGGCACATCGTCATATTGCGATTTGCAAAACAGGCAGCTCCAGAGTCCAGACTTCATGCGAGTCTCCAAAGCCACTTGACTAATAACGGTGTGGTCATGGGCTGAGCCTATGCATGCTTGCTTGCAGCATGCACAGTTCCACGACTCAAGCACTAACTTTGATCCTATAGGCTATGGAAAGGTACGAACCTGGATGAAAACGCAGCTAAGCAAGGCTCTAATGCCGAAGATCCACGGCAAACATCTTCTAGTCCTATGATCCAATGTCTCAGAAACAAGGGGTCGCATTAGCTGATGTCTCTGGAAGGCAGTGTGAAGAATCAATCGCAAACCACAGGTAGATAGATCGATCCTATTATGGAGAAAGGTACCTACCTGGTACTTTGTGACATCGTTAAATTATTGATTTAGTACGGAGTACAATTTCAGTAAATAAGGAGTAGATCAGACAGGCAAATAATAATCCTTCCGCTCCTTTTGAATGAGACACCAGACGCCAGAACCGCAGAAAATACCCCGGCTAACCCAATTTCCCTGAAGAAAAAAAAGACCATTATTGGAATCCAATTCCCGCCCGAGACTCCGCAGTCCGTGCCCGCCGGCTTCTAAATAGAGAAAGGCCCAGCCTCTCGATTCGACGCCTCCATTTCGATCCCAACCAAGCCATCCCATGATTGCCATCCCCATCCCCATCCAACCAGAGCCATCAGCATCGTCCTCTCCAATACGATCATCACCGCTCCCTCTCCCTCTCACCCCCTGTAGCCTGAATAACTCTGTCAACCTCCCCCCTAACCTCGGGCATCGCACTCCTCATCTCCCTCGCCAGGACATCGCGAAAATCCGCAAAAGCCTCCTTCTTCCCCTTGAGATCCTGGTTCCCGCGCTGCACGAGCTCAACGAACTCGCGCGTGTAGATGTCCGGGTTGCGCGAGGCATCCACGTAGTCGATTATTTCGGGCGGGAGCGCAATGGAGTGTAGTGAGGGGTCCGCGGGGTTTGCGTCCGCGTTTGGGGGGGTATTTGAGGCGGCTGGGTTGTCGCGTGTGTGCACGGAGAGGGTGGAGAGGGCGGTTGTGAGGTTTTTTCTGTTACCAAGGTTCCAGTGGTTAGATATGGGCAGGCTTAGGAGGATAGAATGGGATGGGATATAGGGGACGCGCACATCTTCCGGACGAGCTCCTGCTGCGTCTCTGGACCGAGATACCCATGAACAGCGGATTGGATTTCGAATAGGTGCTGTATTATGTCTTTGATCTCGTCTGGAGGGTTGCGTGCGTTAGTAGATGGGATGAGGTGGGCAGAGGAAGAGAACGGCACTGACTGTCAACTGTGCTTAGTGTTATGGGTGCCATGATGGAGACTGAAGTTGGGTTGAATGATCGGAGAGAATCAGATGAATGTGAAAGCTCCGCGGGCGATAAAGATCGCTGGGGTATCGTCGGCCTAACCTGATTAGGCAATGTACTTCCAAAGGGAGTCCCGATTGACGTAGCAGGTTATAGCAGGTTACGTACAGTAGATATTATGACTCGCGGATCATTTCAAATAGCTCGGGGAATATATATAGGTAAATATGCTATAAGGTACATGTACACCGCGGGCATTAAGAGCCAGTCAGTCGATCGGACCAACATGAACAGCAGATGTGGTCGACTCCTGAGTTACATATGCAACCCCGCTCCGAGCACCAAGAGTCCAAGTGGCTGAGAAACACACGATGTATGGCTAATCTAAACAGAAGGACGGCAATTATATGCAGGGTTACACTTCCTTCGTCCGAACGGCTGGGAATTTGGGTGCCTCGATCTCCGTCTCGACCATTTCCAGCCCGGACAGACTGGGGAACCGCCGGCTAAAGTTCATCTCCCAGTCCTCGCCCGGGCTCGTGGGGTTCGCTTGCGTGTGCTGGTTTTGGAGACGGTCAAAGCTGCTGGGGCCGGTTGGGTCTGTGCCCGTACTACCGCCGCGGAGGCTCTGTGGCTTTGGAGGTGCTGCAGGCCGCGGTCCTGTGCGCTGCGTGGCTGCATACCCGGCTGATGATGTTTCTTGCCTCGGTACTGAAGGAGGCGCTGCGCCCCGCGTGCTCGGTCGGGGTTGTACCTCCGGCTGCTTTGCCTGCAAAGCAGGATCGGAAGTTTCTGTAAACCTCCCATACCCCGTAGCTGTCTTTGGAGGTGGAGGCTTGCTGACATCACTGAGCAGAGTCTGTACCCTATTAAGTATTGCAGGGGATCGGGTCGCATCAGTCGGCGCTCTCCGGCCTCCCTCCCCCTGTTCGGCTACCCGGCGGCGGTATTCCGCGGCAGCATGTGCCACGCGTTTTTCTTCCTGTGAGAGACGGCGGCGTTCTAGCTCACGGCGCATCTCGGGTGAGATGTCATCATCATTATCATCACCTGGGTAGTTGGAGGGTTCACCGGCTGTTTCAGATCCCGGTACTGGAGACAGTAACGGCCTGGGGAAATCTTCCTTGGCCGGAGACTGAGCTTTGTTGTCTTGGCCGCCCTCGAAGCGGCGGAAGGCGTCACCAAACCGACCGGCCAGTAGCGTCTTAGTACCGGAAAGAGACAGCGTCGAGAGACTGGAGCGTTTCGTATGTTTCGAGGAGCTACCGCTATAACGCTTCTCGCGCTTCCGATTAGATTCTTCCTCCTTGGCCCGTAAATAATCCACATCCGATGATATGTTACTGCGGTCATAGTCTACCTCAGTTCGTGCGTGCTGCAGCGGGGATCCAACATCATAAGGTGATCTTGGCAAATCAAGTGATGAGCGAGCGCTATCCGCGGTCCGTGGAGGAAGCTCAAACTTGGTGCCTGCATGAATCGATACGGGACGAGACCGATTGTTGGCAGATCTCGACCGATGCAAAGAATCGTCAACCTCCGGTCGAAGAGCTTCCATTGAGGGTTGCGGGGATGCTGATAGATTAGAGAGCCTGTCCGAGGACTTCCTCGGATCCACTTCCAGCTTTGAAGATGTGACAGGCGATACGCCTGGTCTGGACTGCTTCTTCTCATTGTCTGCGGTTTGCTGCTGTTGTTCCGACGATGGAAACCGGTAGATTGGACGGCTGGGCGGTTTCAATTCCGACAGTCCTGGACTTTGCGGTGGGGAGGTCATGGTGCCAGTGGAGACCATGGTGGGCCTCTGTGGTGCCGGTTGGTAGAGCGGTGCTTGCCGTGAGGGCTCATCGCGATATTGACTGTATTCCACTGGCGAAGATGCCTTCACCGTCGGGGGTTGTGAGCGGCCACTAACAGGCTCCGAAGCAGTTTCTCGCGGTGGCGGCGAGCGCTTCGCAAACGCCTCGTCGGCGAGGGCGTTAGTGAGCCTTTTGGCAAGGCCTTCGTCTTCGTTCTGGTCTGCGACAGTTGGCTCGAAATCAAACTTGCTTTTCGCCTCATGTAATATATTGAACTGGTCAAGCGAGGGGAACCTATCCGAGAACTCGTCGGCCGATTCTCGTGGTTTTCCGCCGTCCAGCGCAGCGAACGGATCCGTACCTGCCCCGCGAAAGGGCGACGGACTTGGGCGAGCGGAGTTGTGCTGAGACGTATCAGGCTTCGTTGGTCGTCCACGGCGCATCGGAGCAATCTCGGGGATGTTAATCTGAGTTTCCTGGATAGGTGGGGAGAAAACGGCTCCAAGCTGCGGTGCTTCTGTTGGAGATGGCGGAAGCTCCTGGTAACGGCGCGCTTCCGACGTCGAACGATGGGCATATATCTAATATACTGTCAGTCTGCATAATATTGGGCATGGGCAATAGCCGTACGTCTTTGATTGGAACTTCTCTTCCTTGCATTCGACAGACTTCAAAGAGTACCTGGTAAATATTGGGGCGCTTTTGCGCGCTCTCCTTGAGCATCGACGCTGAAGGACATTAGTACACAAGTCGGATTATCAACGGCATTAGAAAACTCACAAATGAGCATTTTTAGCCGGCTGGAGAATGGAGGATATGAGGGAAACTTGTAGGTGGCATTGAGAATAGCCATCTGTCCAACTTCTTCAAATGGTGTGGTGTAGTAGCAGAGCTTGTACAAGAGGACTCCCAGCGCCCATATATCGCTCTTCTCATCAATCGGTTGTTTGCGATAAACATCAATCATCTCCGGACTTCGGTATTGCAAGGTCGTATGCCGTTGTACATCGTCCTCGATCAGGCGCCCTTCTGCAGCCGAGGTAGCGGCAGGGCGGGGCGGAGCAGCAGACCCAAAATCACAAACCTTGTAGATGACGGAGTTCCCATGATGAGAAATGAGAACATTTTCCACCTTCAGGTCCCGGTGCAGTAGGGGAGGCTTGAGGTAATGCATGCAAGCAACACCTTCGGCGACATCGGAGAAGATCTTGATGATCTCCGGCTCTGTCAGACGATTTTGCAGCCGCGTATTCATAAAATCAATCAACCCCCCACCCGCACAGTATTCCATCAGAAGGAATACTTCGTATCCACCGGCTTTGAGTTGGGACGCATGAGAGTCGATGTACTTGACGATGTGGCGGTGGCCCTTGAGCTTCTTCATTGTCTCGACCTCGGTGCGCATGTTGGCAAGCGCAGATTTATCCGGAACAGCTACCCGCTTCAGGACTGCCTTGTCGGAGCCGTCCACGGGCTGCGAAAGGCGTACGACGTAGACATGGGCGAACCCTCCTTCGGAGAGGTATTTCTCGACGACAACTCGGTGGCTACCAACCTGGACTTTGGTATTCGGTAGGAAGGTCCCAGCGGGGGCATTCAACGCGGCAACTGGATTGTATGAAGGGACTGGCCGGGGTTGGGCGGCATGGCTCTGGTAGGGCTGGGAGTGATAGGAGGCCATGGTGGGGAGGGAGGAAAGGGTTGAACCCCGTGGGGAAGGAGTGTCGAAACTTTATGTTGAGCGCAAGTGTGACTACCGTTGCTGCATAGAGAAGACGAACAAGATATTCTGCCCAAACGAGGGATATTGGGGCAATCCGGAGCAGGCAGATAGAAGAAAGGCCAGTTGTCGGCGGGGGGAGGGCGGGCTCAACGGGGGAGAGGCGGTGACGCTGGAGCGGTGCCTGACAGCTCCCAGGGGTCAGTCAATGGGCGATAGGTGATAGAGAGTAAGCGAGAGCGAAAGCGAGGGTATCAGGGACGGCGACAACTGACGTCGAAACCGAGGAGATGCGAAGAATCTCAGTCCTAAACGAAGCGGTGTTGCGGTTCAGCTTCCGCTGAGGTGCCTCAGGTACAGAGGTACAATGGTCATGTGACTCGCACCTGGTCGGAGGCTCTCTTCTGTTCCACAATAATAGAAATAACTCAGGTATATGATACGGAGTACGGAGTGCGGAGAAGCGCCTTTGTCTATAGATTTTACTCTGCTTCTTTGGACTGGGTCATAGCATTAACGTATCAGTGTACAGTATGAGACAGCGTCCTGCCCCAGTCATGGGGTGTCTCGGAATGATGTCACAAATCACAGGTCCGAGTCATGCAGGGATCCTCCTGAAGGCACTCTCGCTCCAAAAAATAGAGGGCCTATATATTAATATCACGAGATACCTCTGTTATATATTGTCTTCGTGTAAGAGCCTCAATTCCAACTCCTTGAACTCCCATTGGCGATCACTCGCCAGATGACAGCACAGGGACGAGGATTATGTCAGACAATCTTGACCAATCATGGATTATGACGCTAGGCTGGAAACAGAGAAACCAAAACAAACAACTTCATTGCATAGAAACCGTCGAAGAAGCGTTTGCTCTGTTCCATGACTCTGTGTAAGTGCAAACGCTCTGTAGGACAAAATCCATTGCAGTCTGAACAGCCAGGTTGAACTGTAAGACGTGATCCGACTTCTAATTCAAATCGGCCAGTTCACTGCCAAACGCAATGCGCAGTCGAAACAAGGCTGGAATGGAGGCTTCATGAAGGCTCTACTATAGATTGATAAGATGCGGAAAAGAGATCCAGAGCTGATCGCAATGCATTGTCTCATGGGATCCATGGTAGTACGGAGTAAGCATGCCGCGATCCTTGTCGAGGAACAAAGGCGAGTGTTGATAAACAATGTTGCATGTTTATTCTGTGAGCTGGACCGCCTGCAGCTATCCGAAAAACAAAACATGGCCAGATCGAGGTCGTTGACTCGTTGGAGAACATAAACCTTCTGCCACCTGTTTCCTTCAGTAGGCCAACGGCTTTGGTGAACCTGTTAGCTGCTTTCGTGGCCACTTGAGCGTTAGCGCTGATCCTGCATCTGCGCTCGCAACTGCTGTTGTTGCCGCCTTCCTTCGACTTTCCTCCCATCCATCCCACTTTGTTTTCCTTCTCTCCGTGTGTTCATCTGTCCCCATCTCTTCTCCACCTTCCCCATCATTATTTCTTCTTATACATCCATCCCTACCATATCATTATTGTTGCCCTTACGATTAAACGCCGACCCCTTGTCCGTGCTGACGCTGCTGAAGACAAGCGCTGAGACACGACTCAGCGCCATTCCTATGCCACAACGAACATGAACACTTCTCTACCCGTAACGTGCCAGATCCTGTCGATTGAGAATTAGCCGTGGGGGGCAGAAGACAGATCAGGGTCTGTTTGACTGGACCGTATCGCGAGGTCAACGCTGGACAAGTCAATTCGCTTTGCTATCATCCCAATACTGTGAACAATGGACGACGAAGGCCCGCCGCCTCCCCCGCCTCCACATGGAGAGAAGCCGAACACCACACACGGCGAGTACCGAAAGGCATCAGATCTCCCACAAGGAAATTACGATATCTTCATAATACCTCCACATTCTGCGGGGTCCGGATTCCTCTATCTCCCATCGTTACAATGCCAGCGGAATAGCTTTATCGCCGGCGCTGCCTGCGCGCTGGTCGCGGTCTATGTATGGATGACCTTGGCTCCAGTCGTAAAGCTCTGGTATGCGACGACCGTGGCCAGCGGCGGGGGGGCCGGCATTGCCATCCTCGCTGTTGGCGTTGTAGGGTTGGGAGGATGGGCATTCGGCAACTATCAGGCAGGCAGTGGTGGAATCCCTCGACCAGGACCTGGATTTGGGCCCAACTGGTCTGGATCTGGTGGACCAGGTGCATCGGGCGCGAATGGTGCAGGTAGTGGCGGAGCGAACTACTCAAGGGGTGGGAACTTTGGGGGTCAAGCTGGAGGATCGCATCAACATGGTAATTACAGCGGAAACTACGCTGGTGGGCCCCCACCAGGAAACCAGTATTCGGGGAATCAGTACAGGGCTAATAATGAGCCGCCACCGCAGACTACTCCTGGTCCTAATCCAAACACCAACCCTGATCCTGGTCCACCTCCAGGTCCCAAACCTGGCGGTGCTGGTACCAAGCCGGCGGATTCTGGCCCTCAAAGCGAAAGTAAACCACAAACTGCGGAAGACTGGGAGAAGGCTCGGGAAGAAACAAGGCGGAAGGAGGATCTGCGGCGAAAGATGGAGGAGTTCAAGAGGAAAAGAGAAGCAGAAGCACGCGAAAAGGAAAGACAGCGCGAGAGAGAGAGAATGGAAAAGGAGCTGCGTGAGCGCAGAGAACAACTGGAGAGAGAAATGGCGGCCGCGCGAGAAGCCGCTGCCAGGGAAGCGAAGTTACAAGCAGAAAAGGAGGCAGCGGAGCATCGCGCACGACTGGAGCGCGAGGCTGCCGAAGCGAAAGCCAAGGCGGAGAAAATCGCTGCTGACGCTCGAAAAAGGGAAGTAGAGGCTCGAATGCGAGCTGCACGAGAGGCAGCGGAAGCAAGAGCCAAGCAGAGAAAGGAGGAGGCAGAAGCAAAGGCGAAGAAAGAGAAAGAGGAGGCCGAAGCAAAAGCTAAGAGAGAACAGGAAGAGGCTGAAGCAAAGGCCAGGGCGGAGAAGGAGGCCGCAGAGAAGGAAGCGGCTGCAAAGGCTGCTGCAAAAAAGGAAGCTGATGCCAAGTTTGCGGCCCTCAAGGAGGCTGCTGCTAAGAAGTATGCTGAGAAGAAGGCTCGAGATGCGCAGGAAGCGGCCGCGAGAGAGGCTGCAGCAACAGCCTCCAAGGTATCAAGTGCATCGGCACCACCACCCCGAACTCCATCACCGAAGAAACCGACAGCGCCTCCGTCAAAGGCTAGCGCACCTACGGCAGATGAGGATGCATACTCGTTCCGACCCTACGATCGACCTCGACGACCGTACGGTGCTTCCCAGGGATCCGTGTACTCCGAATCGTCCTACGCACCATCGCAGTCAACAGCGCGCACAACACCGCCGCCATCTACCAGGGGTGCTTATGAGACCAAGGACCCCGATAAAATTGTCATCAGGGGTGTGTACGCCTTCAATCAAGCATCCCTTCGCGCTCCTGTGGCCCAACTCGTCTCAGGCCAGAATATGGTGACAGATGGGCTCGTCCTCCGCATCACAACAGAAGGTCTGTTTATCGATGACGACGTCCGCGGGGTCCCGCAGAGAGAATGGGACGTTAAAGCATGGACAATGAAACTGGTCGAAGTATGGTGCCCACAAGTTGGTCCTCCAAAGCCAAAGGACAAGAAAGCAAACCAGTCGTTCTTCGGCCGCAGTACCAACGATACACCATCATCAGAGGAGTCCGACGCATACCTGGCCAACTTCCTCAAAGTCTGCAAGAATACCTGCCGGCTCGCCTCGCCGGGCTTTAAAGGAAGCAACGCGAACAGCAAAGAGAGCCATCCCTACGGAGGTCTTCATGTTCTTCGCGCTACAATCCGCGACCAAGAGGGCCGTCGATACGTCTTTGTCCTCCAAGAAACGGAGGGCTGGAAGGTCGCCCTGGGACTGCAGCGGCTCCGCAAAGGTAGCCAGGTCCGAGCCCTAGGTGTATGTGGGATGGCTCTTGGAGAGACACGGACCATCCTCTCGGGCCTTGGATACTGAATTTTCCTTATTATTTTTTCCCTTATGACACCTTGACGTTCAATATTGATGACTTGCTATTTATTGCTTTGCTTTTTCCATATTTACCCCAGCCGCATGATGCACCTTCTGATATCCTTTGACATGACTGTGCATGTATATATCCCCTCTGTACCTATCTGCTCTTATATAATCGAATACAACCCCGACCGTACGACACAGTCTACATTTGGGGGGCCGCATAGAAGACTTTTAGAAATTCAGATCTCATGTACTAGTTGGTTCATTGAATTGTGTACTGTACTCCATCGAAGTAACCATCATAATGATTCATATTCATATTCATCCATATGATAATCATCAGCCGCATTCCCAACCTATTATTCAATAGATTAAAAGAAAAAGAGGAAGACCCAGGTATATAGCAAAACGCCGAAACGAGCCAATCCGACCCCGGACGGATGGGTGGAAAACAAAAGCCAGTTCTTCAAGTTCTTGCTTGTCTGGATCCAAGACCTGATCGTGACAAATCAAGATAAGAAAAGTAAGAAGACAGATATGAAAGGGAAAGAAGACAGTCTATCTGGATCATGCAAGCAAGCAACTAGCGCCGGTATATAGCAAGCAAGGCAAGCATAGTACAGACGGAGATACCGCGTCCGTACTGAAGACAAATGGTAAAGGTAAGACAAGACGAGCGAGCAAGCGTGATGTTGACGAACGGGTGGACGAAGATGAGGAGGTAGCCGAGAGATGACACCATGCGATGCAGATGCGGATGCAGAGTAAGAAAGTTCGTTTTGGCTAGGAAAAATCCTAACCGGATGTATGGATGCATGCTTTGCTTTTGACTTGACTTTTTGGTAGAAGGGGAAATTCCCGGTGTGGCGTCATTGCATTTCGTTCATCGAGCATCGCTTCGTGTGACATGACTAAGACATGACAGTGAGACTGAGACGGAGGAATATGAAAGGATAATCATGGCGAGGATGCGGATAGTTCAGTCCAGATCTAAACGACGCTCGGTAGGCTAGGCCGGAACGGATGGCTTAGAACGGGAATCCTCCGGGGAATCCGCGTGCCTGTCCGCCGCCGAACGGGTTGCCGCCGCCGCCGGCAGAGGCGAAACCGCCGCCACCATTCATCATGTTGAAGAGGACGCTGGGGTCGATGTTAATGTGAGTGCCTCCCATACCGCCCATTCCTCCCATGCCACCCATGCCACCCATGCCTCCGAAACCGCCGCCGCCGAACATGTCTGCGGGGTCCATCAGGTCATCACCATTATCGTAGGAGGCGCGCTTCCTGCAATAATCAATTAGTACTCTGGAATTTCGAGTTTAGATAGAGGCAACACATACTGAGGATCAATAAGAGTCTCGTAGGCCTCTCCAATCTCCTTGAATTTCTCATCACCGGCTTCGCCCTCACGGTTCTTATCCGGGTGGTACTTGATGGCCAGCTTGCGGTAGGCCTTCTTGAGTTCGGTCTCCGACGCATCTTTAGAAACACCAAGAATCTTGTAGTAGTCTTTCCGTTGCGCTTTCTTGAGTTCGAATTCGGCACGGCGGATGTCCTCCCGTATACCCTTCTCGCCGGGGTTAGCCTCGGCAACGGCCTTGTAGTCTGAGACAGCCTCCTGCCAGTTTCCAGCACCACCGTGGGCCTTGGCGCGCATCTTCTGCGCTTTGAGATATGTGGGGTCGAGCCGCAGAGCCTCAGTGCAGTCGTTAACCGCCGCGTCGTACTCCTTTAGGTTGATGTACGCCTGAGCACGGTTCTGAAGAATTTTGGCGTTCATATCCTTGTTTGTCTCGTCCACGCTGAGCGCTTCTGTGTATAGTTCGATCGCCTTGCTGTAGTCCTTGGCTTTGAAAGCACTGTTGCCTTCTTCCTTTGTGCGAGTGAGCTTCTGCAGCATACGCAGGAGCTTGATGGCCGCCTTCATGTCAGGGTCTAGTCCGATACACATCTTGAGAGACTTCAGGGCCTGTTCCGTCTCGCCAAGGCCGTAGTATGCCCGCGCGCGAATCAGAAGCGCATCGGGGTCCTGGTTGTTTTCCCGGAGCATGTCGATGGCAATGTCCTGGGCCTTTCCGAAAGAGTTGCCTGTGGCCATCTTCAGTTGCGCCTCTGCCGCCAACAACTTCCAAGCACGGGGTTCCTTCACGCCTTGCCCTAGGAGTTGCCGAGCCTGATCAATGCAGAACACCACCATCGACACACCGCGATTCTCGGCTAGAGTTTCCTTCGCCTGGTTGAGGAAGCGGAGCATCTTCTCCGCATTTTGTCGGTCTGCCGCTGAAGCAGGGGGTTGCATCCGGTCAAGCACCTCCAGGGCCTCGGCCGGGCGACCCAGCGCAGTCAGGGTACGGCTTAACCTGTGCAAAATCTTATTGTTGCCAGGGTCCAGCTCGTCCGCTCGTTCGGCATCCTCAAGAGCGTCCAAATATTTGTGGGCTGCCAAGTTCGCCGCAGCGCGGTTTGATCGGTAGATGGAGTTGTTGGGGTTTAATTCGATTGCTGCTTGTGGTTAACATCCGGTTTCTGTAAAAGTCGAAGTATGACTCAGAACAAACCCTTGGTGAATTCTTCAATAGCGCGGTTGTAGTTTCCGTCCTTGAAAAACTTATTCCCCGCCAACTTGAACGAGTCGGCCTCGTCTGTGTTACCAGTGGACCGATGCGGTGGCGGGGTCGGACTCTGCTCGTGGGTTTGCTCTCCGTTGATCTGGGGGGCTTCGGATGGGGTCAGACGGGGATCATTGCTGTCGATGTCCATCGAGCTGCGGGGATCAGCGGCGGCGGCGGCCATGGCTGATAGGCGACGAAGCTCGTCGGGCGGAAGATTGAGCGGGTGAGAGTCGGGGTCGTGAGAGCGCCGATGGGAATTACGCGGGCGCGCAGAGAAAGCAGAGCCGGAGGTGAAGGAGGAGGAGCGAGAGTGGGATTTGGAGGGAGACGAAGAAGATTTCGAGGGTGACTTGGAGGAGGAAGAGGAGGAAGAAGACTTCTGCTTCTGGGGATTGGGGGTAGAATGAGAGCGAGAGAAGCCGAAGAAACTCTTAGAATGGACCATTTTCAACGGGGGGAGGGACGCCGCTGATTGGCTGGCGGTGATCGAAGATGAACGAAGGCGGTGGAATTTATCAGTCTCGATTCAGGTATCTACAAGTATTCAACAAAGGGAAGAGAAAGAAGAAGAGAAGGGACAGGGACAGGAACAAAGAGCACGCAGATATCTAAATCAGGCCCGCTTCGCTGAGCTGTCAGAGAATCTCATCGAACTCCGATAGTCGTCCGGCCGGCATCGTTGAGAGGACAAGAATTCTGGAGGCTGGCGCTTAGCGTGTGTGCTCTCACCAACTGCACGAGCATGCCCATACGCACTCCCGCTTGTGCCTATCATCCTGGGCGCCTGCAGGAGTGTGCCTCATCTCTGTCGAATGGGATTCCTCCTTTGTGCGTCTGATTTGTGGGCAGTCGGCACTTCAGCATAAGGTTGGCTGGCTGGACGCTGAAGGAACGTTGTAGACCCCAGCGGTTCGCTTTGTTCGCTTGCATCAAAGGGCCATTGTCTTGTTTTCACCGTAGGTGTATATTTGCTTTTGGTCATGAGACATTTGAAGTTAAATGGGATTATCCGGCTGTGTTGGGCCTGAAACAGTGTAGCACGGCATATATACCCCAAATCCGAGTCCGATGTCTTATATATATTGTACCCAACAAGTCAACCCAATACGAGAAATTGAAGACAAATGATAAATCAGAAACCTTTCATTAGTTCAATTGAGGCATCCCAGCCTAAGACGTACACCAACACCCTGAGTAATATCAAAATAACCTCCCCATACGCTCGCTAATATACACAAAATCAAACAGTGGGTAAGTGCCTCAGGCATTTACACCAGATGAAGTCATGCCCACAAACCAGGGCTGACCTCCGGGAATTAGTCGCACTCGTTGACCTTCCTGTTGAATGTTCGTGGCGATCCGGCCGGACGCAGACCCTGATCTCGGTGGTGGCAAGCTCGGAAGTGCCTGGACTAGCCAGACTTCCCGGTCCACGGCTCGAATTGATCTTTGAGAGCGGTTCCAATTTGTTTCGCAAAGTCCAGGCAATGGTTTCCAGTAGTAACCCATGCGCTGGATCTCAATGCAATTTCTCATGTCACTCGTCGTCCAATGGCCGCCCATCGAGATCCCCGCTGCGGCAGTTCCTCAGGACGCACTCTCGTAACGGCGGGTAAAATAGGTCCTATGGGTTGGTCGTAGACATGCTGTTCATAAGGAGGAGGGAGATCGTCAGTATCGGTATCCGTCAGGAGATCTGCTGAAGAGTATCGGTTCATGAGTCGGGAACGAGATATTGATGCAGTTTCTCCAGCTTGCCCTGGGTTAGACGACGAAGACCGAGGTCGTTCATGTAGCGCAGGCGTATGGCTTGTTGTCCGCGCTGTCACAATCCATATCTGCTCGCTTTCCACCCAAACTAGCTGGTGTGGAGTTGATACGCTGTTCGAGTGAGGTCGCGAAGATCGTGGTGCTGGCGTTAGGGTGGTGGTAAAGCGAGAGAACCCTCGGGATGATCCTGGGTTAAGGGACTGGTTCGGAGGCGTACGGAAACTTCGTTCGGTGACGTTGGGATGCATGCTTTGCCAGAAGTCATTGGACGATGTGTTCGAGTGCTTGCTGCGGGGAGAAAGGGCGCTGGTGGAGGCGGGCCGTGGGGGTAGGTCCCAGCTGTTCGGTCCCAGTGGGCTCACAGGACTGAATGTGGTATCAAAACGAATCTGAGGGATATTGGCGGCGCTTTGAGCGGGATTGGAGAACCTGGTGTCCGCAATTGGAGGACCTTCCAGCGAGGAGAGATCCATTGTGATGGGGAATAACGGCACATGCGAGGAGAGCGAAAGGACGAAGGCCAGCAAGAGAGAGCAGAGGCAGCCTCTGATATAGGTGCGGAGAGGCTAATCAAGCGAGGTAGCTTTATTGAATGGAACCGAGCGAGTACGAGGACGAACCAAGAATATAGGCTGGAATACGACCACGAGTGGATCGCCACACGAACTGTATCACTTGATCTGATCGCCCGTAGAAAAATAAAGACAGGGAATTCCTAGCTCCTCCCGTAAGGCGTGACAAGGGTCCATATTTATCGAAGAGTGCCTGACTTCCGAGGCGGTGCTGCGGTCTTTGACCATGAGGCCAACAAAGGAGCGATGGAGTACACCCCATACAACAGCCGCCAGACGCTGCGCCGCCCTATCCGGGGCCGGATTCCATGATCGATTGGGACACAATGGGCTAAGGAACAATCGGAGATTTGATGTTGGTTTCGGGTAATGGGCAACTGGGGCCCTTCAGAACGGGAGTCAACATATCGCCTGTGAGCAGCGGACAAGTACCCCGTACCGTAGTATGAGAAGGCGAAGCGAAGTGGTGACACTGGGAAGTTGCCCCGCTGGATACACTTGGCCCCCGAATCCTTTGATCTGGGTCGGAAGCCGAAAGATTATCGACTGCAATCTTATTATTGTCGTCTTTGTTTCCCTCGTACTCCGTATGCATGGCAATGATGGCATAGGGCAGAGGACCCATTAGACAGAAGAACTGGTCCACAAGGCCAGTAAAATGCAGCTTGATCAAAGCATCAAGCGCCGAGTCTAAATTGCGCGCATGCGAGTTGGTGTTTGAACAAAGAGGGGACCAGAGACCGCAGCAACACTGCCACCGCGCCCTCTGCCTTGACTTCTTTGTCAGCACACCGCGCCATGCTGTTGTTTCTGGTTAATATCTGTCGCATAAGAGGGTCAGACTTATCATCCCTCCCTCCCTTCTCATGATTTGAGATTTTTGTATACGTCGTCAAGACCCATAAAAACATAAAAAACCCGATAACCCAGGCTCCCGGATGTAGTAATCAGTAGCGAGACAATGGCAGCGATAAATATAGCTCTGGCGGGCCCTGAGCTCCATAAAAAGGTTCTTTCACGAACTCGTCTGGGCAACCTCAACGAATACGAAAAAACAAGCCTTTCCTGCTAACCGGACCAGGTAAGCGCGGCCGAGTCCTCGACTCTTGAGGATAGGGTACATAGCAGTTGAGGTTGGGCGCAGGGGGCACGAATAGAATCTAAGCTGAAAACAGCCATGTCCTTCAGTGAGGGAAGTTGTGAAGGGATAGCTGAGATGGGTCGCTGACTGTAAGCGCGAGGATTATCAGATAAGCAGATGCCTTTGCTTGCGCATGATCGGAAGCCGAGGAAATATCTACAAGGTCTGAAAACATAGCAAAGTAGTCCAGTAAATTATGATTAAGATTACCTATAGTATTACTTCGAAGGGTTGACCCGATGTGAAGGACGTTCATGGTTTACATTAAATCGTATCCAGCCACCAAGACTGAGCTTCACAAAACTCCGAAGCAATCCGGCAAGCCAAAGAGAAGATCAAGAAATCAAAGAGATAGTAATATATGACTGAAGAATCAGATTACTCTCCCCAAACCACAACTAAAAACTGAACGACACCCCGGACTCTGCACCCCCGTGCATCATCAGCCACGGAAAACCATGACGGCTCGATTCACGAGTCACCCAGGGCTAGACTATTGACATGAAGTGAAGGGAATCTAAGCCAGGAAGAAAGCAGCGACGGCGGCGGCACCAGCGAAGCCGAAGGAGTTGGTGACAGCGTTAGCGGCACCAGTGAAGGTGGGGGGAGAAGGAGAGGGACTGTTATACGTTAGAATGAGGCTCGTGACGAGATACGGGGTAGGGAACTCACGTAGAGCTGCCGCTGGCCTCAACGGGGGAGGTGCCAGTGGGGACAGCGGGGATGACGGGCTTGGAGGTGGTAGCAGCACCGGTGGGGGTGACGGTGACAGTAGAGTAGGTGACGGTGGGAATGCAGGTGGTCACAGCGATGACGGAGGTAGAGGGCTGCTGGGGCTGCTCGGGCTGCTCAGGAGCAGGCTGCTCAGGGACGCTGGGGGTCTGAGCAGGGGGAACAACGCTGCTGGAGGCCTCGACGGGGGAGGTGCCAGTGGGGACAGCAGGAGTCTCAGACTCGGAAGCAGTCTCAGTGGGGACAGAGGCGGTCTCAGTGCCGGTAGGGACAACGGTGGTCTCGACAGGGACGGGAGTGGTGGTGGTGCGTCCGGGGCAGTCGGTGACGGTGGGAGCGCAGGAGGTGATGGTGACCTCCTCGGTCTGGTAGATGGTCTCGATGTCACCACCGGGGAGAGCAACGGTGAGACCGGCGAAGAGAGCAACAGCAGCAGCGGAGAAACGCATTGTGATTGATTTGGGTCGTTCAACGAAAAAACCGTCAAGGTAGTTGTTGTGGAGGCGGGGTTGTTAAAGAATGTGGGTAGTTGGTTGTAAAAGACTGGACGACCGAAGTCAAGTGGTTCTGATTGCTTCAAGCAGGGACGAAGTCTGGACTTGGGGAAGAAAGAAGGATAGAAACGAACGAGAGGACGGGGGAGCCGGGGGCCTTTGTATCGTGTGGGAGATTAAGCCTGGGAGATCCTTCCAGGGACAACAATCGGCACAGGGGAGCCCGGGTGGAGAGCAGGTCACAGCGGTGTGCCCCTGAATAAACGAGGCCACCGCTGCTGGTTGGCTGTTGCTCCATGACTACCGGGCTGCTAGGCGACTAGTCGCCTGTTAGAGTGTTAGTCCGACTCTTAGTCGCGCTCTGTTGTCTCTCTCCTATTCCCACGAACCAGACAATCCGTGTTGATCGTGTCTATCAGTTCCGTCCTTGGAGTGCTAAATGCCGGCTGGAGCGGGTACTGGACCATGACGAATTCGCCCTGAACTGCTCTGAATTCCCTCTGCCATGTCTTTCCTTCAAAGATCGGTACACGACGACGGCATCGTCAGCATGCTGCTACAGAGTCTGATTCGTTCAGCCTTACTCCATGTTCTGAACCTGACCGTCTCGTCTCAGGAGAGAAGCGTTGTGCACGCGGGCTTGGCGTGTGTTTCATCTCGTCTTTCGGCGAATCACCTTGCTTCTGAAGCTCCGTTCCTGACGCCATTGCTTACTCTCGCCCCCACAGCAGTCCACTCTTGATTTTGCCATTTTCTTGTCTGGCCAATCGCACCGAGACATTCATTTGCCTCCGCTTTCCCCTGGCTCTGTTGCTGCCATTTTTATCACAACAGTGACACAACTGAATGCGGGTTGCATCTAGCCTTGCAAGATTATCCCAGCGCAAGAGGTCAGGAATTCGACTAAACAGGCAATTCGTGATTCGGAATGACCGCCGAAGGCCCGAAGCATTGTCACGTCCGTTGGAAGAGCCCACACGGAAGAGGGTTTCCAACGGGGCAGCAGAAACATGGAGCCCAGGCCATGTTCCAGGTTGACCCCCGCTTCTACCGCTGCAGTGAAGTTTTGAATCAAGGCATGGGCGTGAGCAGTATTATTGAAACCGAATTCAAAACAGTAAAAGGTCCTGCGTGTGTAGCACAGTAGCACTGCAGCCCTCGAGTTTAATGGCAGAGGGACATCACGGACACAGAGTAATAACAATGACTCGAGCTGAGCGTTAATGAACAATAATGAGGTTTCAAATTTTAGGCTGCCATTGAGCTTGGCGATTGGTCAGACAGGCCTTGGTGCGCTTCTTTCTATATTGATTGCTTAATTAAAGCTTAGTGGAAAAGCCGCGCTCGGTCGTTGACTCGTTGCTACGGAGTATGCCGACTATCATTAGATACTCCGTAATCGAGTCTCCGCCGCATGCTGGAAGTGATCCGCTGTAGGCCAGAGGGTGTAGGCCATCGCCGCTGCTACTATATTCTGAATAGGGACGACCCTGGAATTGAAGCCCGAAGGCTTCACCGGATCGTGTTCGTCGGGCTGCTGAGTTTGACTGTCATTTACACCATTCTTGGCTGGCGCCCCTGGCGCGCGCCATACAAGCAAGGAACGATCTGGACCATGAAGTCGACCCCAACGGGTTGCAACCTTGTTGCGCGAATCAGTGCTGGTCATGGTTCATGAAGACCGCATGTGTGTTCGCGATAAACGAAGGGAAAATGTCCAAGCTCCACCGATCATCAGGGGAACGGTTCGTAACTTCATTCTGATCGAAATGCACTGTGGCTAGGGAACCAAGGTGAAAAGCTGTCATCTCCGCGAAGTGTCAGGGATAGACAAGAAAGTGGCAGTGAGTGGCTTGTAAGTCGTTATTCTTAGTAACCGTCAATATATCGCCAACTCTAAGTGCCATCGTGGAGTCCAGATCCGGGAATTCGCGAGAACCACGACTCAAGTCCATGCCATTGCTCGCATGTTAATCAGGAGTTGATGGCTTGCCGTTAGGACTGAGGAGGAAGTCCAAAGGGTTCCGTTTGACTCCTGGGACCTGAGCACTGATTATCCCTGAGTTGCGAAGTTGGTTTCTGCTGTTATCTCGTCGTCTATTTTCGGGTCCATATCAGGCTCTAGTGTGGTTGGCAAGTGGTTGCTGGATGTCGGCCGTTCAGTTCCATGGTTTGTTTTCATGGTGCCACTGCCGAGGTGCTCGCTCAACTTCAAGGCCAAGTCACGTAAGAGACTACTCGTCAGTCGATTGACAACGACTGATCGGATCGTGTGGGGATCAGCGCAGGAGGATCGTCCTTCGCCGCGCGTCTACTCCTGTAGTTCTATGCCCAATTGCCCACGAATAGCCAGCGAGCAGCGAGAACAAGCTCTGGAATTGAACGTTGAGACGTAGATAGAGCAAAGTATCTGGCAGATGATGCGAGACGAGGTTAGGGCAAGACGCGTGATCTCCAGGTACGACTAATTCGGAGTCGACATGCAATCAATTAGCGCCGCAGTTGATATTCTTCAGTTGAAGACGATATCGGGAGACTGAGACTCACCATCATCATCGATGACGGTATCCCTGCGCAGTGATGAAGTGCCCACTGCCGGTGTCCGTGTCTCAGATGTCAACCAGCAATGGCAGTAACCAACCTGAGTAGACTCCATAATGATATCACCTGCTGTTGTACTCCGTAGTTGGCAGGAGTGAGGAGCAGGACAAAGGCACAGACCGATCAGCTGGAGCCGGGGAATGCTTGGCCTCACAAGGCTGACCATCGCAGTCCAGCTGCCTCGTTCTCGATCCCGTATTACTCCAGTTTTACTATTATCAGACCACTTAGGCTCATTTTTCTGCAATCATTTTCTTCAAAAGGGCATCCTGTAAATAGAGCCTGCGAGATATACAAATGTATCTATTATTATTCCTGACTACTCCGTAGCTGTTTACTCTATACTAATTTTGACATGTTTGATCACCGTCGTGCTGGAGAATGAGGCGCAGTCAGTGGGGGACAGAGAGTAAAGCCACAATTGCGACTCCAGCAGTGAAACAAGTTCCTCTGAGCTTTGGCTTGGTGTCTCAGCTTTGCTGTCATAAAATGTCAAGTGCGAGCTGTCAAGAGATGATTTAATGTCAGAATTTTGATGGATGCCTAGCGCCTACTGAAGACCGACCAGAGAGGCCTCAGGAATTGACCAAGAGTCTTCCTCTTCCTACAACAACTCAAGTCTACAAATACAATCGACAGATCTCAATTAAGCGCCCAGCTGAGCCAGTTGGTCGTCTTGCATATTATTCCATAAGGTCTGCAGCCAACGTGGACGCCGACTTAACCGCCTGACTGAACGGCCCCCGACCCTCGTCCTCGCCTCACCTCCCGCCCACCTCGACGACTCCTCACCCTCTCTCTTTCTCTGCGCTCTCTCCGATCGTTTATTCCATCGATCGCTTCGACGGTCTCTCGCCGTCGTCGCTGCCGTCATTTACTTACTTTGTGCTATCACAACTCTTTCTCTTCGGTCATTCGCTCCCGGGGACTTGTTACCTTCTTTGATCCCTCTCTCGTTGGCCTGACCCTTATCGTTTCGCTTCCATTCCCCTCTTCTCGCCCCTCATCTTTACCTGGGCTGTTCGCGTTTTGTCTTGTGCTTTGTGCATAATAAGCCTTTACTTCGTCCCGCGTCATTCACCGACCCCTCGCTGCCAGCAACCGCTGTCTGGCGCCACGATTCTTTGTTCCGACTCTCCGCTTCCCTTCCCAACCCAATCCTCACTTTCAGCGAAGAACCGCCGATCTGGCTACCATCACGGATCCAAACGAGTTGTTCTTGCCCGGTGAGAGGCAAAACAGTCTCGCAATGTCATCCTCGCCAGTTCCCCTCCTCAAGGCTCCGGTCCCGGGCAATCGCGGGAACTCAAATAGCCCCCGGCCTCCCAAGCTTACACTGGGCATCCCGCCCTCTGCTACGAGTCGTCCTGTCGCCGGTAATGGCGTTCCTATCGCCTCAGATGCGCCCCAGCCTCAGCGTCCCTCTGGCCGTCCTGCTCCTCCCCAGCTACGCCTCGCAACCCCTATGGGCAGCACCCAAGATGTTCCACCTCAGAGAAGTGTTCGACCTATGCCGCCACCGTTAGCGACGACGGGACTGAACGATTCCAGTGGCCATTCGCGGTCAAGCAGCTATACCCACTTGGATGGGAAAGGCAGTGGCCCTGCATCCGCTTCATCATCTAATTATTCCAACCTATCATTTGCTATGGGAGGTCTTCGACAACCACACGGTGGAACGCCAGACCCTTCATCGGCGATCAGCTCTGTATATTCCGATCGTGAGAGTGGCGTGCAGATGGAACGGGAGAACAGCGTCAACAGCCTGATCCCTGATTTGGACAAGCTAAGCCTGGAAAAGGGTCGAGCTCTAGATGTTGAGGACTTGGATGATCAAGGCTGGTTGGCTGCTAGTGAGCAGAAGAAAATCGTCGAGTTAGGCAGTTTGGGTGAAGGAGCAGGAGGAGCAGTCACACGATGCAAATTGAAGGAGGGGAAAACCGTGTTTGCCTTGAAGGTGAGTTGCGAAACGGCTTTCAATGACCGCTGGGCTAACTCATGCTTTAAAGATCATTACGACAGATCCGAATCCCGATGTGAAGAAGCAGATTATCCGAGAGCTCAACTTCAACAAAGATTGCGCCTCAGAGCACATTTGCCGATACTACGGTGCGTTTATGGATAAATCAACTGGAACTATTTCCATCGCGATGGAGTTCTGTGAAGGTGGCAGTCTGGACAGCATCTACAAGGAAGTCAAGAAACTCGGGGGACGAACGGGCGAGAAGGTGCTTGGCAAGGTAGCGGAAGGAGTCCTGAACGGATTGACATATCTCCATGGCAGAAAGATTATCCATCGAGGTTTGTCTACTTCATCCAGCCGACAGTATGTCGCTAATAATGTGCAGATATTAAGCCATCCAATATCCTTCTTTGCCGAAACGGCCAGGTGAAACTCTGCGACTTTGGCGTCAGTGGAGAGTTCGGTACTAAAGGGGACGCGAATACGTTTATCGGCACTTCATATTACATGGCCCCAGAGAGAATTACTGGGCAATCATACACCATCACATCAGATGTCTGGTCTCTTGGTGTCACGTTATTGGAAGTTGCGCAACATCGCTTTCCGTTCCCTGCTGATGGAACCGAGATGCAGCCTCGTGCTGGGTTGATTGATCTGTTGACATATATCGTGCGACAGCCGATTCCCAAGCTAAAAGACGAACCCCAGAACGGAATAAAATGGTCCAACAACTTCAAGTACTTTATTGAATGCTGGTACGTTCGTATCCTCCGCACTGACCCTGAACAATGCTGATTATGATTATCATTAGCCTCGAGAAAGAACCCCCACGAAGAGCAACACCATGGCGGATGCTGGAACATCCGTGGGTACTGGACATGAAGAATAAAAAAGTGAATATGGCAAACTTCGTGAAGCAGGTGTGGGGCTGGGACGAATGAATCCCTACACCGTCGGCTTCGAACTTCTATAATACCAATCCCTTTACATATAACGGTCTTTTGACGCAACGGTCCTCTGAAGCTTTACAAGTGGCTGGCCCCTGGTTGACCCGGATGTCAAAAAGCATACGATCTTATTTGTGACTACGACGCTTTTTTTGTATCTGCACGTCTTTGGATCTACGGAGTCGGAATTCATTTATCATTTGCCGCATGACTGCCTATCTTTCATTGATATCACTCGCATCGGCGTTCGTCCGGCTTTTACATCTCGGTTCGCTTACCATCATTCGCCTATCGTTGTTTGTTTAGCAACTGTCTCGTTCTATCTATCGTTGCCCAGCCTGGCTCACCTGCACCTGCAGTACCGTGGTGTCACTTCCTTTGTCTATCTAGCCAGCCTACCTTAGCTTGATAACCCCCGTCTGACTTTTTATTTTTTCCTTGGTCTGGGTTAATGGACGGATTTCATTTTTATGAGTTTACTTGCCCGAGTTTGGTGGCGACTTATTTTCAGACCCAACCCTCTGGGCAAATATATACTGGCATCTGCATATAAGCATGTTATGAGATTGAAGAGAGTTCCAAGAGAGATCTTTTGTGAAGAAAGAGTATATTCAATATGATTTTGTATAGTTGCCGAACTTTTATTTGGGTTTGGGGAAAAAACATATTTCTTGCATTTCTGCCTCTTTTACGTCCTCACAGTGAGTGCGGTATTGGCGTGGTAAAAGATAATTAGGGAATACACACTCACACATATCAAACTGATACATAAGTTCATAACTTCATTTCTTGGTATCAATTACAGAATAACTTCGTTTATACTGGACCATCAATAAGACATAAACTCGATCAGTAATTCGATAGCACCAATCACCAAAACCAAACGCTAGAGATACAACCCAATGCAGAATGGTATATGTGCCTACTGCCTATTATTCATGTTAACCGGCTGCGCGCCCAAAACCCAGCCTATGCCGCTCGCCAGACCACCCGTAACCATGTTACTGACAACATCTCGCTTGCGCACTCTTCCCGCATCATTGTCACCGTTGCCGTTCGGATTCTCGTCATCGTCCTCGGAAGCGCGATCAACGAGGGACATTGAAGACGAAGGAGAGACAGACGCAGATGCCGATAACGGGAAGGTAGCATTAACGTTCTTGTGTAGTGCCCTTGCCGCACCGCGTGCAACCTCAAAGAGACCCATTGGTGCCTCGCCCGAGTCAAGACGGCTATGGTGGGCGGCGCGGGCGGCGCGCCGGGCGTGCTGCTGTTTTGTTTCGAAGACGTCCTGTTCGGTGTCTGGTTGGTTGAAGCCGCCGGGGAGGAGGGTGGTTGTTGTTGTTCGATCACCCTTAGCGTCCCAGGCGTCTTCTTCCTCATTTTCGCGCGCTCGGAGGAGAGAGAGCTCTTCGTCTGCGCGGCGCCAGGCACCGAGGATCTCTGGGAGTGGATCGGGGGTCGGTGCGAGGATGAGCGAGAGGGAGAGGAGTTCCATGCGTTGGGAGAGATGGATGATTTGGGTGTGCAGGGTTGGCGGGGTGGATGACGATGGGGCGTGCGTGGGGCGGTAGCGGCCCGCGTTGTAGACGGCGCGCCAGGTGATGTCGTCTTTTAAGACGGGAGGAGTGGTGAGGGAGGATGTGGCGGAGGAGGTCTGCGGGGTGAGGCGAGTGAGGATGTAGGAGTAGGCGGTGCCGAAGTCGTCTGAGGAAAGGGCGGATGAGATGGCGAGAGACATGATGCGTCGTTCTGCTGTGATGAGAGCATCTTCTTGCGACAGAGCAGGGCGGCGCGTATAATGGGAGTGGGAGTCGGTGTCATCGGCTGGGCGTGGGGGATAGCCGGCTAAGACTAGGTTTCGGCCGATGAAGAGGAGGTCGTCAAGTTTAGTGTAGCTTCTGGGGTTTTGATCGAGCACCTTTTCGATCAGGGAGAGAGGGTCTGGATGGACGCGGATGCTGACAGGTTGGAAAGGAACACCGTGTTGCAGCGTTAGGGAGTAGAAGGATAGAGCGTGGGTTGCGGAGATTAGGGCTTGGATTTGTTTCAAGGAGGTAGATTCTGGGAAGTGCGGCTGGAAAGCTTGTAGGCTGTGTATGATCTTGTTGGTCATTTAGGAAACTAGTTTGGGTGTGATGGCAACTTACACTTCGTATGCTTTTTGCATCCTGCCTCGTGATCTATTACCGTTGCTCGCGTTGTCGTACGCTGAGTATATGGATTCTTTTACTGCATCCTCTACCTGGGCCGGGTTCAGGGCAGAACTAGACTTCACATAGATATCGACAGAAAGCTCGTACTCTGGAAATCATTAGCGCTGCATATGGAGTGGGTAGATTGTTGAGGGCTGTACCTTTGACCTCTAGCAGAACCTTCAAGATCTCTGCCTCTATAGCATCCAGTGGGACCCTGTAGAAGAGGCCGTGGCAGCTCAAGTCGCTCGAGGCTGTCCTTTCCTTCTCTGACTTCCAATCCCTCAACCATAACAGCTTCTGACGGACTGTTCTCCAATCTTTTCCGGGCCTCGACTGGGCAATAGACGTCATCATACTGCGCAACTCGAACAACTGCATATCTTCGTTGCTATGAAGGCAGATATTTGTCGCTGTCCTACACGGAATGGGATGCCCCAACTCTTTAAGAACGCGCAGTGAAAGAAGAAGGCCACTGAGGAACGAGATTGAAGATGGCGAGGGATAGGTTAGCGGATTTTTGGGGGTGAGGAGAGCGTTCTGGAACAGCGTGGCTCTCGAGGCCGACTGAATTGGGTTGGCATCGAACTCAACTGAAGGAAGAGCTGAACTATCGGATGTGATAGAAAGTGACCCCTCCGAGCCCAATAAGCTGGCAACCCGTTCAAGTACACGGATTGACCCTTCCAGAGACACTTCCGGACTGTGATAAATGACAGCTAGACCTGCCTGTCCATATCTAAACCGTAGCTGCTTTGACTGATCGTTTGACAGTTTCTCCTCTTCACCAACATATCCCCCTAGATCAACATCTTCCGGACCATCCCAGTTGACGAAGGCAGTGACTACTGCTTCCGGGTCCGCAGAGCTGCGAGATAATAGCCACTCGTTCACGTACTCCCACCCAGATGTTCCATCATCTTCATTGACATTAATCTGCGAGAGAGGGATTGAGTTTCGACGCGCTGTCTGACTGAAACGTTGTCGCCTAGGCCGGTTACTGCCGTACATCCATGGCCCAACTAGCCCACGTAGGTTCTTGATCAAGTCCGTGTCATTCTTCCGTGTCCCAGCCATGGAAAGAAGGATGTTCGTTGCAGTCTGGTCATCCAACGAACTTAACGTTTCCACGGAGCACGACTTGTCTTGACTAGGGTAGTATTCGTAATTCAATCGGAGAAGCGGCAGGAGACAAGAGACGAGCCATGTTCGTATGACGGGGGATCGCTGATAGAACGGGAGGAGAAGGTCGAGGATGAGCGGTTGAAGAGAGGTTTCTGAGTCGATACGGTGGGCTCGGTGTATCAAGAAAATGGTCAACAAATCTGTTGAATCTTGACTGTCCTCATCCCCCGGATATTTCAATGGTAATAGGCGAAGCTTCCGTACACGTTTCCTTGCGGTAGCTTCAGAGAGATCCTTGACCGGGGATACGTCAACATCATCACTGTCCGAGCGAGATATTGGTCCTTCCACTATAGTTTGAACTACAGGGACGTAGCTTTTCGGCTCCGTGCTCTCGGGCAGAAATGTGAGAACGATGCGTAGCAGTCGTTCCGCCGTCAAAGTGGCCGGACATCGGGCTTGTAATTGCGGGAGGAAGGAGGGGTTGCCAGTGGCACAGAGACTGGTCGCTAGGAGAATGACGTGCGCCCCGGAGAGCGAGGTAGAGTCAGCCATTGCATCGCATTCGGCAAGCTGGACGATGAAGGTGAGGTGTTGCTGGCCGTGGACGTATTGGTGGTGACGGAGTGCACGTGCCAAGCTGGGTGGCCGGGAAGTGACTAAATGCGCAGGACCTCATCGCATCCGCTCCTCCACCCTCCCCCTACAATTCCCCGCCTTCTCTCCCCTCACAACACACAATGGCGTCTGGTTTCGGTCTCAATGGCGGTATGTTACTCTTTCGATCTCTTAATGGGAACACCACGAAGCCTCAATGGGCTGCTGTGCTGAATTTCCCCGTGGTCAAGGTGCAAAAGACGGAGCTCTCGGCTAACAGTGATGGTCCTACGTAGGTCCTTCCCGCTGCTACAACTTCTGGCAGGAAGTCCTCGGCTGCTACGTCGTCAATGCTGGAGAGGGCGAATCTGGCAAAAGAAAGTGCCTGCCCGCCTTGGAGGATTACCACGAGTGCCTACACCACCGGAAAGAGGTACGCGCCCCAACACTTGCACTTGAATGATACGAGAGGACCCTTCGAGACGGCAATATTGAGACTTTTGCGGTCACCCGGGCTACATATTCAATGACTAATGAGTCGACAGGCTCTGCGGACGATGAGAATGCAGGCTGCCTACCGCAAGGCCGAAGCCGCACACCCTCGTGAGGCTGAAGCACAAGCGGAGCAAATCCGGAGCTTGGGACTGCTAAATCGGTGAGGGCTGGAATGGAAGAGATGAGAGAGGAGGTGCACATGTTCGAGCTTCCGTGAGGTCTGGGGAAGAGCAAATGGCTCGCTCTCGGCAAGGTGGTCGACTGAGCCTCGGATAGGCCAACTATCTGCCGAATGCCAAAACCAAGGAGAATGGTGCTGAGCGCGTTTCTTGTTGATTGTTTTACTACTTCCAAGGTCATGCTGTTTTTATTCCCTGTTGCTGTATAGAAATCGAACCCAGTTTGTGGGATACGGCTGAGACATGCTGACAACGACTCATGCCCAGATGTATACAGTTTAGATTGGGCGAGCTGTCTCACGAAGGAGATAAAGGTTTTTTCATAGCTAGCGGTCCAGTTCCATGGATGTAGCCATTAGAGTTCTATGTAAGTTGGGCCATGAACGTCACTGAAGACGGGCCTAGGCGCCCGTTCTTATAACTTCTGAGACCCGTGAGCTGGGCAGAGTCATACAGCTATGAGACACCGCGTATGAGGCAGTACACAATTAGCGTGGCTTGCGTTGTCGTCAAAGTGATCCATCTTACCTAATCTACCTTAAGCTTACTGAGGCCATCTGGCAGTTCTTGGCAGATTGCCGTGGTTCACGTGACTGCTGCGAAAACCTTTCGCATGAGTGGGGCCGGCCATTCCCGGCTGGGCCTAGCGCACCAGGCCCAAGCATGGGTAGGCGCGCCCAGCCAAAGATGTCCCAATGATATAAACAGGCTGCGTGACCTCGACCGTCCGCAGACCAAAACCATCCTGACGCCGCTCTGAAGCCGTGCTGCCCTGTTTACCTGAACCTCACCCGGCGGCCCCCGTACAGTTATTGCTTGCTGTACACCACGCTCCCAGCTCGCGTCGGAGTCACCACCAACTGAGATATCTGTCATCTGGTGGTTTGTTTCATTTCAACCATCTCCACTTATTTATTTCATCTCGACATCTTTGCTTCTTCTCGTTCTCGTTTCTATACCTCTGGGTAATTTATCTTACGCGCCCTTTCAGTGTAATTTTCGATATACTCCATCGATGGGCTGGTGCTCGGCCTTCAGAGCCTCTCAACGCCTTCATCTCCACTACTCTCTCAATCGCCTTGAGCTTTCTTTTTGACCATTCAATTTGCGCTCTCCCTCCAGTGTCCTCCATGGCTGCGACGTGCAAGTGATCGACCGGTATACCTTACGCTCCCGTTGCCTCATCCTTGCGCTTCCGAGTCTGCCAGTATTTTACCAATACTAGGCTGTACTTCTCTTTATCTGAGGCGCGTCGCGGCAAACTGGCTTCTCTTTGATTCTTTTCGCCTCTACCTCTATTTAATACCCTGGCCCCTATTTACTTTCATTAATCCACTCTCAATTTTACGACCGCCATGACCTCCAGGTGAGTGCCCTGTGTGGCTTTCAATATAACAAGACACTAACGGCCGCTAGACTAGATCGTCTCGTCACGTGAGTATATTCGTATATTCGTCGCGAAATGCCGGCAAGCGCGCTAACTGGATCGGAACTACAGGTTACTCGAGACTGGCAGTTCTACTCTCATTCGTAACACAGCCGCCCAGCAACTGGCAGATGTTCAAAAGCAACATCCAGATGAACTCTTCAACCTGCTCGGGCGCATTCTTCCCTATCTCAAGTCCAAATCATGGGATACACGGACCGCTGCCGCCAAGGCAATGGGTCTGATTGTCGCAAATGCTGACACATTCGATCCCAACCAGGATGATGGCGAGGATATCAAGAAAGATGAAGAGGGCGAGGACGATGTCAAAGTCAAGTCGGAAGAAGAGCCAATCTCAGCAGCGGCAGATGAGTCACTGCGACTTGAAAGTCTCGATCTTGTCTCTATCCTCAAATATGGTAGGCGCCTGTTGGGCAGCGGGGGCAAGAACCAAGAATATCTCTTGGCTGCCATGGACTCTGCGGCTAGGCTGCAGCACCAGAAGAAGTCACTAAATGGGCGGCTTGGTCTTGAGGGAGAATATCACGACGGTGACTCGCTAAATGAGAGCGAAATGCCTCCGAAGACGCCAGGTTCGAAGGAAAATGCATCAAATTTCTTCGCTTCGAAGGAGAACAATCATCTCAACTCCAACGCCCACCCATTGGCCTCTCCTATTGAGCCTGTCAACGGCGAAGAGTCTGGACTCAGCAAAAGGCAGCTGAACCAACTGAAGCGCAAAAGCAAAAAGGATGCGAGAATGGGTGCGAACAAAGTCCGAGTAGTCGACCTGGCCGGCCGGCGCGCGTCCGAAAACGTCACCACTCCTTTAATAAGTACTCCCCATCCAGTGAAATCAGAGAATGGCGACGGGCAGAATGGCGATGCAAAGCCAGATTATTTCTCTCTTGACAGACCGGCAGGTGACGACGACGAATCTAAGATCGTATCGGAATTCAAAGGAGCAGCGCTTCCAGACAAATCTATCATTCAGCCTGAACTCGCGGAAGATACCGAGAACGTTGCATGGCCTTATGAACGCATGTGCGAGTTTCTAATGGTGGATATCTTCGATTCTAACTGGGAAGTTCGACACGGTGCCGCAATGGCTCTTCGAGAGGTCATCCGTATCCAAGGCGCTGGGGCGGGACGCTTGCATGGGAAAACAAGGCCTGAGAACAATATACTGAACCGGAAATGGCTAGATGATCTTGCTTGTCGATTACTTTGCGTTTTGATGCTGGACCGCTTCGGTGATTACATTTCTGACAATGTAGTTGCACCTATCCGGGAAACTGTCGGCCAGACGTTGGGTGCACTTTTGTCGCATCTGCCTACTCGATCAGTCGTGGGTGTCTATAGATGTCTCTATCGGCTCATCATGCAGAACGACTTGGCTCTAGAGCGCCCGGTCTGGGAGGTCTGCCACGGAGGTATGATAGGTTTGAGGTACTTGGTAGCAGTTCGCAAAGATCTTCTAGTCAAGGACTCCCTGTTGATGGACGGTGTCTTGGAAGCAGTTATGCATGGACTGGGCAATTTCGATGATGACGTTCGTGCTGTTAGTGCTGCAACGCTTGTGCCTATCGCCGAAGAGTTCGTCAACTCCAGAAAGTCCACCCTGGGCCCACTCATGAATATAGTGTGGGACTGTCTTTCCAACCTTCAGGATGACTTGAGTGCTAGTACCGGCTCGGTCATGGACCTCCTGGCAAAGCTCTGCACTTTCCAGCCGGTGCTCAACGCCATGAAAGAAAATGCGGCCGAGAATTCGGAGTCGTCCTTTGCTAATCTTGTTCCTCGTCTCTATCCGTTCCTGCGCCATACGATTACCAGTGTACGCTCTGCGGTTCTCCGAGCCCTCACAACATTTTTGCAGCTTGAAGGCGAGGGCACCAACGACTGGGTAGACGGTAAAGGAATGCGTCTGGTTTTCCAAAACTTACTGGTCGAGCGAAATGAAGGTGTCCTGAAACTCTCCCTTCAGGTTTGGTCAGAGTTGCTCAAGTCCTTGGACAACCGTGGCGTATTCAAATCCGATCCGGATTTGCCGACCCATATTCACCCACTGATCCAGTTGAGCATGGCACCCTTTGGTGTTCCCCTTTACCCCATCCCTATGAATGCTTGGCTTTTCATCAAGCCATCTGGCTTACCCTTTTCCGTGATCAATTCGACTCCCGCCAAGTCCTCGCCTACTTCCACAACAAGCTCGACAGATGGGCCCAAGAAGCGAGGTCGCAAACCGGAGAAGAAGGAAACACCTGCTCCCAGTTCTACGCACGATGTCGATGCGCACATGCTCAAGGGTGATATTGACATGGTTGGCGCGGATACAATGTTGCGATCGAAAATCTACGCCGCTAGGGCTCTCGGCGGACTCCTCTCAATCTGGGATAAAAACGGGCTTGACAGCCTATGGGGCCCGATCATGGACGGCCTCAGTCATCCCGCGTCCTCATCTCAGCTTTCGACAGCCATGATAGTGGAGGAATATGCCAAGCTTGTTGGGTCGGATAGCAAGTATGCGGCTGCTTTGTGCGAGAAGCTTCAACCAATCGTCGAAGGAGACCGCCCTCCTTGGTATAGTGACATCTCGTGCTACCTGAGTGTTGCTCGTGCTCAATGTCATTCATTACTCAATACTTTCCGAGAGACCGCGCCGAATCTCAAGTCCGAAAGACTGACTTCACTTGCCGTCGTTGTACAGGGAGACCCGGATGCGGGTCCAAATGCTTTCTCCCTGGCAAAAGCTTACCAGGTAATTGGGCCAGATTTTGAGAAGCTGAAGAGTCAATTATCACCTGCGCAACGGATCACCTCTACCAAAGTTCTCACCGAGACCAGAGCCACGGCAGAAAATGCTGTCATCCATGCCAAGGAAGCGAGAGAGACAAGGGACATGCGAATTAAAGCTGCGGCTGCAGGAGCGCTGGTCAACTTCCATGCAATCCCCAAGAAACCTGGTAACATTATCAAGGGAGTCATGGAGAGCGTTAAGACGGAGGAGAGCGCAGAGCTTCAGCAACGCTCTGCGACCGCTGTAGCAGCTCTGGTGGAACACTACACGAGTGCGGCCAAGAGAGGCCCGGTTGATAAGGTCATTGGTAACTTGGTAAAATACTGCTGCGTTGATACGTCTGAGACGCCGGAGTTTGAGCGTAACAAGGAACACGAGGAATTAATCCTATCTCTGCGGAAGGAGGAGGATCGGCGTGAACATGCTGATGCTGCCACTTTTGAGAGGGAGGCCAAGGAGGCAAGAATCATGCGCCGCGGTGCCAAAGACGCGCTGGAACAGCTTGCCGTGAATTTCGGACCACAACTCACTGAGAAGGTCCCCAACCTCGCATCATTAGTTGAACGACCTCTCAAGAAAGCGCTGTCTGGTGACCTACCAGCAAATATCGTTGACCCTGAGAACGTCCTGGGCCAGGAGGTTATAGATGGATTGTCGACGTTGAGGGCCTTGCTCCCCAGGTTCGATCCTGGTTTGTATCCGTGGGTCGTCTCCCTCATGCCTCTTGTCGTCAAAGCCCTTCAGTGCAAGTTATCTGTTATCAGGTACGCAGCAGCCAAGTGCTTTGCTACTATTTGTAGCGTTGTTACCGTGGAAGGTATGACGATGCTCGTGGAGAAAGTGCTGCCAACCATCAGCAATGCGTTGGACGTCCATCATCGCCAGGGAGCGGTTGAGTGCATCTACCATCTGATTCATGTCATGGAAGACGGCATCTTACCATATGTTATCTTCCTTGTTGTGCCAGTTCTTGGAAGGATGAGTGACTCGGACAACGATGTCAGATTGCTTGCCACGACCTCGTTTGCGACATTGGTCAAACTCGTGCCATTGGAGGCGGGCATTCCAGACCCGCCAGGGCTTTCGGAGAAACTGCTCGAAGGACGTGACCGGGAGAGGAAATTCATGTCTCAAATGCTGGACTCGCGCAAGGTTGAAGAGTTCAAGTTGCCTGTTGCAATCAAGGCAGAGCTGCGCCCTTACCAGCAAGACGGTGTCAACTGGCTTGCGTTCCTCAACCGCTATAATCTCCACGGAATTCTTTGCGACGACATGGGTCTTGGAAAGACGCTGCAGACCATCTGCATTGTCGCAAGCGACCATCATATGCGGGCCGAAGACTTTGCTAAGACCCAGAAACCCGAATCCCGCAAGGTTCCATCTCTCATAGTCTGTCCTCCATCGCTCTCTGGTCACTGGCAACAAGAAGTCAAACAATATGCACCGTTCCTCAACTGCGTTGCTTACGTTGGGCCGCCCGCGGAGCGTTCAAAGCTGCAGGCATCTCTTGCAGATGCGGACATTGTCGTAACGTCTTATGATATTTGCCGCAACGACAATGATATACTCCGACCGATTAGCTGGAATTACTGCGTTTTGGATGAAGGTCATCTCATCAAGAACCCTAAGGCCAAGGTCACGCAGGCGGTTAAACGCATCAACAGTAATCACCGTCTGATTCTGTCGGGGACGCCCATTCAAAACAACGTGTTAGAGTTGTGGTCTCTGTTTGACTTTCTGATGCCGGGCTTCCTCGGTACGGAGAAGGTATTCTTGGACAGGTTCGCCAAGCCGATCGCCACGAGTCGTTTCAGCAAGTCCTCAAAGGAACAAGAAGCAGGGGCTCTGGCAATTGAGGCGCTTCACAAGCAGGTGCTTCCATTCCTCCTTCGCCGTTTGAAGGAAGAAGTATTGAATGACCTTCCGCCCAAGATCATTCAAAACTACTATTGTGACCCCAGTGACCTGCAGAAGAAGCTGTTCGAGGACTTTACGAAGAAAGAGCAGAAAGCCCTGCAGGACAAGATGGGAAGCTCAGAGAAGTCCGACAAGGAGCACATCTTCCAGGCTCTGCAATACATGCGCCGTCTCTGCAACTCCCCTGCTCTTGTAGTCAAAGACGGGCACAAGCAGTACAACGAGGTTCAGGACTATCTGCAGAAGAAGAAATCCTATATCCGCGATGTAGCGCACGCGCCTAAGCTTAGCGCTCTCAGGGATCTACTTTTGGACTGTGGAATCGGCGTTGAACCCACTGAAGGCAACTTGGCGCCGGGCGCTAGCTACGTCAGCCCGCACCGAGCTCTGGTGTTCTGTCAGATGAAGGAGATGTTGGACATTGTGCAAAGCGAGGTGCTTCGAAAGCTCCTTCCTTCCGTGCAGTTCCTGCGCCTCGATGGCGGTGTTGAAGCCACCCGACGCCAGGATATAGTGAATCGGTTCAACTCGGATCCTAGTTACGATGTTTTGCTTCTCACTACCAGTGTCGGTGGTCTTGGTCTTAACCTCACGGGTGCAGACACCGTCATTTTTGTGGAGCACGACTGGAACCCGCAGAAAGATATCCAAGCCATGGACCGAGCACACCGTATTGGACAGAAGAAGGTGGTGAACGTCTACCGATTGATTACCCGAGGAACCTTGGAGGAGAAGATCTTGAAGTAAGTCATTCTTCCATATCATTGACAACAACTACTAACCTGTCTAGTCTGCAACGATTCAAGATCGACGTGGCCTCAACGGTAGTCAATCAGCAGAACGCCGGGCTGAACACGATGGACACAGACCAGCTGCTGGATCTATTCAATCTCGGCGAAACAGCAGAGAATGCGGAGAAACCAACAGAAACAGGCGGCAAAGAAGTCGACATGGTCGACATAGACGGCGAACTGAAGGAGAAGGGCAAGAAGGGCTGGCTTGACGATCTAGGCGAGCTGTGGGACGACCGACAGTACCAGGAAGAGTATAACCTGGACTCGTTCTTGTCTACTATGAAGGGATAGTCTTTGATTCTGACACTTACCATGTAGCAAGGCGTTGGCGCGGTTGGTTCTCGGTTCCGGAGTTGGTGGATACTCTGATTTGATACTATTTGCAAAGACCAAGATAGACGCTTGGTTACGCGACCTCCTGTATTTTATGTACATTTAACTCAAGCCTCGAGCTCCAAGTCTTTTAGCGCATGCAAAAAGATGTCTTGTGCGCTATCACCCGTCACTGAAGATTCACAAACAACCCACCATCGACTAGGATCTGCGCGCCCGTCTGTAATCATCCATCAGCATCGCCCCAACCATTCCCTTTTCTTTCTATAAGGAAGCGAGGGAAACAAAACTCACCACATAACCACTCAGTCCCTCACAAGCAAGGAAAACCGCCGGCCCCGCCAAATCCGGCGGCTGCCCCAACCTCCCCAACGGGATCCTCCCCTCCATATAGCTTCTCTTCGCGGGATCGCTCATGTCCTCATCATTCAGCTGCGTGCGGATCGTCCCCGGCAGGAGCGCATTGCATCGGATCCCGTACTTGCCCAGCGCCACGGCCGTCGACTGCATCAGCGACAGAACACCGGCTTTCGTGGGCGTGTAGTGCGTCTGCTGCCCGCCGCCAACGAGCGCCGAGATCGACGAGATGCCGATTATCGAGCCGCCCGGCGGAGACTGCGCGTACGCCATTTGCCGGGCCGCCGCTTGGACCGCGTAGAATGCGCCGGTGAGGTTGGTGGTTATGGTGTGGTTGAGGAGCTGGGGCGTGATACTTGACGTTCAGTCAGCTCTGCACTCACTCGCTGTATGGAAACTGGGGGCGCGCACTCAAGGAACTCTTCAAACCGGCAAACACCTGCATTACTGACGAAGACGTCGAGACGCCCGAATGTCTGGACCGTCGCCTGTATGAACTCCGTGCCTGTTTCCGGCTTGGAGACGTCGCCTGGTACAGTGATGAAGCGCTCTTTGTTGTCGGGTTGGGAGGTCTCCTGGAGGAGATCGGAAACGTCCTTTTTCATCGCTTCTAGGAGCGGTTCGTCGTTGGTGCCGCCGAGGTGGTTGACTGCGACGTATGCGCCGTGCCGGAGGTATTCAAGGGCGATTGCCTGCACGTAAGTTGGATCAGTGATTGGTATCGGTTGTAGGCTTGGAAGATGGTTTGCGGGGTTGAGGGGTAGCTAGGGTTCTAGAACTACGTACGCGGCCGATTCCCGTCAACCCGCCGGTGATGGCGGCGACTTTGCCGGTGAGGAGTTGTGGGAGGGACATTGTGACTGCGGGATCTGGTATGGAGGTAAGAGGTGTAAGGAGAACGAAGGAGAGGCAGATTGGGATGTCTGGAGAATAAGAGTGGAGGTGGGGATGTTCGGGATCTCGTGGTGATGTTAGCCCGAGTTGGAGGGGCAGATCGAGTGACAGGCTGCAGGCACAGTTGAGACTTACGGAAAGGGATATGCATGAGTATATGGCCTACGTATCCTAGAGAAACATACCATGAGTAAATGGCAAAGATTCCATCAGCGGTGCCTGCAGAGCATCATGGACCTCTCTTCAGGTTTCTCAAACAAATCACTCATGCTAGTAAACTTCTTGGTAATGAGCCGATGTTCCCATCTCTCGTACCTCTCCTGGGACCACGAGCTTCCAGAGTAAGGTAGATGCACGTCCCATTTAAACAAGGAAAGCTCATGTCTTCTCTTCCCCTCGACCCAGGGCCGAGGTTCTGTAAATTTCCCGCGCGGCTGCAACATCATGCACGCGTAGCAGTAAACCCAGTTGGCGTTTTCAAGCCATATAAGTAGTTGGGAGCGAATCTCACCCTTGCTATTCTGTCGCAACCACCGGGTGCACGTGTGCTCTACCAGCGTCCTGCTACGGACTTCTTGCCGGGGCGCGATGGACGCAGATAGCGGAGCTCTCGGCGCTCTAGGACGGTGCTAAAGAGGTGGTGGAAGAGCTTGCAGGTCAGGGAGAGACAAGCTTGGTCGAGGAGTGAAAGATAGGAGGAGATGGAGCGGTGCAGGCATTCAGGAGGTGGAATATTGGGGCGTCATCTTCTGATGGGCATCGTGGGACGGTGGGAGACGGAGCTTGCGATTTTGACTGGGCAGGCATTTGGATGGAGGGTGGTGGTCAGTGTATGGATGTTATGGTGCGCGAGAGACAGCACTGATATAGCTTGTGCATCTTGTCGAGCTTGGATCAGGCGATTTGTGTAGATGGTTGAAAGTAAATTGAAGTTGACAGCCCTGCAATTGTTGATGGAAATAAAGGCGTGGAAGTCAACTCTGCTCTACCAACGGCTTCGCCTTTGCAACAGTTATCCAAGAATCAAGGAGAGAGCGAATTCTATCCTTACCTAGCCAAGTAAACACTTATTGTCGCCATGTACCAGCACCCCGTCCAGTCGTTGCAAGACGTCGTCGGGTTCAGTGGCTTCATCTCCCACGCGATCCGACACCCCCTGGATTTCCACAACAGCGTCGGTCCCACGCTCAACGAGCTCACCAATGGCTTTCTGGGTTCATCGTTCCGTCCAGAAAGCGACCTCCCTGATCTATCAGGAAAAGTCATCTTTGTGACCGGTGGTTAGTTGCGAATCCAGAATTCCCCGTACAGCATCCTAATTTTTCGGACAGGAAACACGGGCCTCGGAAAAGAGACAGTCCTTCAGCTCGCTCGACACCGTCCAGCACGCATCTACCTCGCGGCAAGGACAGCGAACAAGGCACAAGATGCGATCGCATCAATCCAGAAGGCTCTCCCGCACCCCGTGGACATCCGACACATCCCGCTAGATCTCGCGTCATTCGCGTCCATCCGCGCGGCAGCAAAGCAATTCCTGTCGGAATGCGACCGTCTCGACACTCTGATCCTCAACGCAGGCATCATGGCGCACCCACCATCCCTCACGGAAGAAGGGTACGAGATCCATCTCGGCACGAACCACATCGGCCACTTTCTCCTCACGCAGCTGCTCCTCCCCACTCTCCGCAGGACCGCATCCCGCCCCGACCCCGAGTCCCCGGACGTGCGAGTCGTCACACTAAGCTCGCTAGCGGGCAACATGGCACCATCATACGATGTCATCACATCCACCCCCGCGCTGCTCGCTCTCGGCTGGGGTTCGCGGTACGGGGCGTCCAAGGCGGCCAATATCCTCTTTGCTGCGGAGCTGGCTCGGCGGTGCCCCGAGATTCTGTCGGTCTCTGTCCATCCCGGTGCGGTGATGACGGATTTGTATCAGCGGTCGAAAAATGCGGGTTTCTTCTACGAGATGGGCCTGTCCCTGGCAATGAAGTTCTTTCGTAGTATTCGCACTGGCGCCCTGACACAGATTTGGGCTGCCGGGGCGCCGAGGGAGCAGCTGGTCAATGGCGGATACTATGTTCCGATCGCGGTCAAGGGAGTATCACGGTACGAGGGGGATGTGGAGATGGCAAGGGCGCTTTGGGAGTGGACTGGGGATGAAATTGCGAAGCATCACTGACATCTATCTATTGTAGACACTTTGGATTATTGGATGTGTTGGAAATCCCAGGCCTGTGACTCGGATATTCCGTTTGCCGCTCTCCACGTGGGGATTGTGGGGGAGTGTCTATACCTGCTATAAGTCTCTCGGGTTTCCCAGCTTTCCTTACTCTCTGTGAACTATAGTTCTGCCATCTCAATTGTGCAAAATGACATACCATCAGTATCTTCCTGACCTTAGCCTTCCGCGCTTCCAGGTAATGCGCAATCAGGATGCGCATGAATACGCGGAGGCCTTCAAGACCGGCGGGAACCCGCCATGGCTGCATGGTCTGTACATGCATTGGAAGGATCTGGCTCAGGAGCCTTTCAAGGGCGTGACCACTGACGGTACTGATCTACCTATCATTATGGGGGGAGAATGCTAATGAAGACCAGGAAACGTCCGCCCAAACCTCTTCACACTTCAAGACGAGCAGATCCCCATTGAGTCCATCGTCTCAGCAACAACACATCTTCTTTCTCTGCTATCACCAGATCAGCAAAAATCACTCAGCTACCACATCGACTCGCCCGAATGGCGCACCTGGTCGAACCCGGAGTTCCTCCTCAGCCACAAAGGCCTGCGACTTGACGAAGTCACTCCCGAAATCCGCGACGCCATTCTCGCCGTTCTCCAGGCCACCCTATCACCAGAGGGCTACGACAAGGCCATCAAAGCCATGCGCATCAACCACTTCCTCGGCGAGCTCGTCGAGTCCCCACGCGTCATGAACGAGTACTCCTACAACTTCGTCCTCTTCGGCACCCCCTCAACAACCAGACCCTGGGGCTGGTCCTTCTACGGTCACCATCTGTGTCTTAACATCTTCCTGTACAAGAACCAGATCGTCGCCTCGCCGTGGTTCACGGGCGCCGAGCCAAACGAGATCGATACAGGCCCCTACGCCGGAACGCGCATCCTGCAAGTCGAGGAAGACCTCGGCCTGCAACTCATGCAATCGCTCGCTCCGCACCTGCAGCAGAAGGCCCAGACCTACAAGCTCATGAAAGACCCCGCCATGCCACCCGGCCGCTGGAACCGCGACGACCAGCGCCACGTCTGCGGTGCCTACCGCGATAACCGCATTGTGCCGAATGAGGGTATCCCCGTCTCGTTATTCAGCGAGAGTCAGAAGGGGATGCTCTACGAGATTCTGAACCAGTATCTTTTGTACTTACCGGGGTATGCGCGCGCGTTGCGGATCGCCCATATCAAGGAGTACGAGTCCGAGACGTATTTCTCGTGGATTGGCGGGTATGAGGACAGTGATCCGTTCTACTTCAGGATCCAGTCGCCTGTTGTTCTGGTTGAGTTTGATCACCATTCGGGCGTGTTCTTGAATAACGAGGAGCCGAAGAAGTTCCATATCCATACGTTGCTGAGGACGCCGAATGCGGGGGATTATGGGATGGCGTTGAGGCCGCTTGTGCCGCCGATTGAGGACGCCAATGGGAAGGAGATTGTCTGGTGAACATGTATGTTGTATGACTCGAACATTAGCAATCCATGCATATGTGTGTTTTACCCACCTGGAATATAAACTATAGCGAACGGGCAGAGAAATGCATGCGGCAGCGAGTGCAGGACCTAATCGTTGCGGAGATACGGATCTGGGCATTCGGAATGTCAAAGGACCTGAAATCCGAGTCATCGAGATTCGAGATCGGCATGAGGTGCATTGTAGCCCAGATGACAAGAAGAAGAACAAAGAAAGATGAAAGCCGAGACAACCCAATAGGGCGGACTGCAAATAGACTTTGTTGGTTGGAGGGAAGGTACTTTCTTCAAGTCTACCTTCCTCCGTACCATCCTTCTACACACGGATGTGCTACTAATTCTTCCTTTGATTTGCGCTCTCCTGCGCCTGTTCTACATTGCCATTGATACCTTCTTCCTGTTCATCCATGACCGCGCATGGTCAAGTGTCCCCGAACACTCTTTCAGGTAGAATCTAGACGGGCACACTGCTAAATTACCTACTGCTGGCCGTCCTCGCCGCTGCAGTTCGCTTCACGGCCGAGCCGTCTTTCCAACACTCGAGGAAAGAAGCTTCGGAAGCATATACAAGACAGTCCTGGCTATCTCTCTCAGCCAAGGACCTCGGGGAACCCAGTCCCAGAATCGAAGCTGCGCAAGCCCTGAGCCTGCTCGTTCGACTTTCTACACAGCCGGCCATGTCAGTTCTGCCTTTCTGAGCGCCGACTGGCTCACGAGAACTTCCTTAGTCTGTCAACTGCTGATTGAACCGCACAGTTCACTATCGTTTCCAGACCAAGAACTCCGGCGCCGCGCTACCTGGGTAGTCTATATTCAAGACAAACTCAATACAGGCGGGAGGTCATGGCCATATCCGCCTTTCAGAATGATGGATGCACCTTGCAGCTGCCCTGCGATGAGGAGATCTTTCGAGCTGGCGAGTGGCAAAGTATGCTCACGCTCAGCGATCTGCTGACCTGGGATCCCGACGTCGACGAAGCTTTAAACCCGACCGCTTTCCTAGTCCTCATGTCTTCGACCTTTGGACGCTGCATGACGCACGTGCGCTGCGGAGGGTTTCAAGACCCTCTCCCTCCGTGGGAGGAGTATTCCAAATTTTCCAGAATTGTCTCGGTGCTAGTCGGGTTGGTACCCCATTTCATTATTTGTCATGAACACGTTCCGTACTGGCTTTGCCACTTGTCGAGAAGATGCGGGCTATGCTATCTTCAGTCGCATGATCTTTCATATTTGTGATTGTCTCATGAACGATCCGTTCGTTGTAAGGCAACATGCAAAGTCAAACGGACTAGAGAATAACCCTGCAACATTCACAACACGCCTCCTTGAAAATGTCAATTACCACGCCAGGCAGTTGCTGGATCTTCTTGATGCAGCATCCAAAGCAAGTGGTTTCAGAGCCCTCTCGGGCTACTTCCCCTACCATACTGTCGTTGGCGGCATCCTTTCCTTGGTATGCAACATTGCAACTTTGAAAGGACAGAACGAAGCGTCAGACGAATTCCAATATTTCTATCGGAGTTTGGAAGTCCTGGAACGTCTAGGACGCACTTTTCAGCCGCTCTTAACATGGTGAGTTCGGCACCTTCCAAGCAAGCTTTCGAGCCGATACTAATAGTGACATAGCTACTTCGACTTCGCGAGTTCCATGCGCATCACTATCGTATCTTTGCAGACTCAATTGACCCGGTCTGTAACTTACAAGACATTGGCCCAGCCACGGAGCAGGCGTTCTGGATAATGGTTGATCAAGAGTTGGTAGTGGAACCTATACTCCTATCCGATGATGTCTTTTGGTCACACCTGTCTGCCTCGTCGTCCTGCTCCTCCTTGGATTCGCGCTCGGACCTGTCGTCTTTTTGACGACATTAGGATTGAGATGCGACGGCCTGACTCTCCTATGTTCGTCTTCCCGTGCAATCACTGTCTTCACGTCTTTTGCGTTTCTCATATCAAAGGTGGCTATTGTGGCTCAAGCGACTGGGCGGATGTTTTTGTTTGCGTTATATGCATCGTCTTTGGCTTCGACTGACATATCCAATTGGGCTAGCGGGCGTGGAAATTGTCGTGGTGATTTGTTTTCTTTTTGCGGGAAAGCAAGATCAAACTAACGATGATGCCGACTCGAAGGGAATTTCCTTTCCCTCTTTACAATCGAATATAGAACTAGGCTAGCATCTCTTTGAGATGATGGCCTGCCTGATTCGTCCGCCTTCTTCATTAGCTGCCCAAGCCATCCATGGAAATTAGTGGCCAACGAAGGAGACCCTGTTGAGATGAGAAGGGAGACCTGGCTCTTAAGCGGCCAGGACCCCGATGCTGCATTTAGGTACCGTTAAACCTGAGTGCTCGGCAACAACGGCAATCCTACGGTACTCATGTTGACTCGTTGAGGGCCTAGGCTTCTCCTGAAATTGATGGATCAGCCGTGGGATCCAGTTCAGGAAATCCCGGGGATCCTTCGGGCAATGACGCATGGACTTGGTGTGACAAAGTGCAGGAAGAACAAAGAACTTGAAAGCCCAGACAGAGGCGAGGCCAACCACAATTTACCAAGACGAATCACAATAATGGTCTGCTTGTTATACTTTGTCGGCTCATTGTCCGTCGGTCTCTCAACGTCAGAGCCCCCAATCCTCGCAACCCGGATTTGTACGAGTCTTCGACGTGTCTCGTACGTACACTGGTACTTTCTGCGTTCAACCCAAATGGCTATTTTTCAAGGATGCAAGTACCCTTGCTTCTGCTACTTGTCTCGTTGTACCTCTCGCTATGGACCAGTCCAAATCGATACCACCCACGCATGTCCAGCTTTCCATCATCGACACATGTCAGCAGAATGCCTATGGTCCCGCGGATCCCTTTAGGGACACGCTCGATGCGGAGTCGCTGCCACGCTACTATATTCTGGCTATGTTTGCACTCGCAGCCCCATCTGTGTGGGGGCTTTACTTTGATCGGGTCGAGGATGCACTGGAAGCTGCGGTCGAAGCCGCAAAAGAGTCTTGGTCGCTCATCCTGGCCTCACACGGGCCCGAAGGGATCGACAACCCGACGATAAAACTTGTCCAGTCTTTGATTGCGCTAGGTCTGATTAATTATAGGGCTGGCTGGATGCGCTCGGCATTTGCGATGACAACAGCAGCTGTCAAGGTTGCGCGCGCCTTGCGTCTAACAGTTGAGCCATGCAGCTCCCTGACATTCAAAGAGCAGGAGGAGCACCGTCGCATCTTCTGGCACACCTATATGCAAGACTCGGTCTTTGTGTGTGCCAGGTCACGGCCACGGCCGGCCTTCGATAATGAAGAATGCGCCGTCCAGGTCCCAATCCCGGAAGAGGTTTTTCGTGCCGAGGAATGGCAGAGCATGTGTACAGCAACCGACCTTATCAAATGGGACTTTCAGACTGATGGCGACCTGCCTCCATTATCTGTCGTTTTCTATTTGGTAACAATACTGGCGCGCTGTTCCAAGTACATATATGGCGGCGACGACGGTGACGGTGACGATGACAGCAAAAGTCCTCGCAAGCAGCAGGAGCAGCAACCCCCGTGGTCCTCAAACTCTGCATTCGCGAAAATGAATTCCGACCTGGCCGCGGCAAAATCTTCCATTGACCCAAGCGCCCTCTTGACTGCCATCAAGACCTTCCGCAACGGTGTCGGCATAAGCCGAGAAACCTCGAGGTTCGTTATCCTCAACACGCTCTTCTTCGATGTATGTCAATGTTTAGTAAACCACCCCTTCACGGTGCAGCAGCGATCCAGGCAATTCGGACAAAGAAAGCTGTCTATAGATCTCACGACGCGCGTCCTATTCGAAGATGCAAATCCTCACGCCCGGCAGATGGTGGAAATCGTGGACCAGATTCATGAACGCGGTGACCTCCACCGCACGTCAATGCCCTTCCCATTCTGGGTGGCTCTCGCTGGGGGCATCCTCTCCATAGCATTCCACGTCGAAGCGCAGAAAGGTCATGTGCACGCCGAGACAAGTGGCGAGGCACCTGATTCATGTCAGTATTTCGTCCGGGCCGTCAATCTGCTGGAGAGATTAGCGTTGGATTTTCCTGCCGCCGCGAACATGGTACGTTCAAAGAAACCAACTTTACTCTATCGAGATTGGCTCTCTCTGTCCCCCGGTACTTAATCAATTCTGAGTAGTGGTATAGGCAATTCGGCTCCGCGACTTCCACGCTTACCATTCCCAAGTTTTCGCAGCTTCCCTTAATCCAACAAGCTTGTCCGAGTCAGATGAAGGGGAGCTCGACCCGGCCACCGAGCAAGCCCTCTGGACATTGATCGACCACGAGCTGGTGGGGGCGCCTATTCCGCCACCTGTACCCCGTCTCTCTGATACCTCGACTTGTCCTTCTATGGATCTTGGTTCAGAGCACTCCTTTTGAATTATGCTTTGTAACAGTGCATTTCTGTACAGCGGCGGTCTTCTACCTGGTTTGTGATCAATCTAGGTGGTTGTTTACTTTTCTCCTGTGTATCTGTGCTTGGTATCGGTGGTCATTGTGCATAGACTGTTTGGGCGGATATACATACCTGGCCATGTTTGGCTGTGTTTTTGGATTCGATTCGCTGGACGTATTGATAATATAATTATAATGGCAGAGTGAGTACCTCATGGCATACCCTGGTTTTATCGATGCAGTGCATCGACTCTGCTGTATCTCCTGGGGCAGTGCATGCGATGTCAATTGAGAAATTACAAGTTGCAGCGGACCCAAAACAGATCTTCATCCTCGGCACTGTAGGAACTTTAGGTCCCATAGAATTCTATTCCGACAAGAGGCCCCGCTGAGTCAAGTTGTGGTACCGCGCCGAATAATGCGCTCATACCAGGAGAATCCATCGGCGCCGTTGGCATTGACAACGGGTTGCTTTGTTGCATTTGGTAGAAGCGTACGTACCTCTGTTCAGCGGCGCTGACACTCTTTACAAGTTCTGGTTGTATATTTTCCGCGATGTAGTATGAGAGGAACAAGCCTCAAGGTGACCGAGGCCTAATTACTTCTAAGAAGCTGCAGACTAGGTAATTTCTACGAACGAGCCAAGTCGCACCTAGCCAATTACCATATTTCGTCTCGACCTGGATAATGGGTCACGCCATCACATTTTGGGAATCCCGGTACATATTTCTGTAACTTATCGGCTGAGCAGAGTAGTGAGTATCATGTTGGCCATTGCACCGGGGGTGTTGAGGCCCTGTTCCTGGATTCTTGAACATACACGGAATAGAAGTAAGATATGCACGTCCCAGCCACGAAGATGAAGACAGCCTAGTACCCATTCGTCCACGATCAGATTTCGGTCCTCGAAATGAAAAGCCTCCGAGCCGCAATCAGTGATTGCTCATCGATGTGTATCAGTATCGACATTATCGACGCCCCTATCCGCATCGGCAACCGAATCCGAATCCGAATCCGAATTCGAATCCGTCTTTATATCCAAATCGAATGTCTCCGTAAGCCAGCCCCCAGCAAGTGTCGTTGCCTCCTTCGACCCATACTCCGAATTCGCATGGCTGCTGCTGAGTACACCAGGCGCAGAAGGGTCAGAGCTGGGAACGCTGATATGGGAAAGCGTGACTCTTTCCTCGCCGAAACCCCTCTCCCGCCCAAAGAAGCAAGCACGGCGCATGACATCCACCATCTCCGTAGCTTGGTGGGAGAGGACGGTGTCATTGCGCGTCCGTCTACGTTTTACAGGTTCTTTGTATTCGAATACATCTTGTCTCTCGCTTTCTTCCGACGGTGTTGGCGGTGGTGTAGGCAGGTCATTCGTGCTTGTGCTCGTGCTTTCCTTGGACTGCTGCTCTGTAAATGTGAAGATACGGACCCAGGGGAGGGTCACGTCGAGTCGTTCAATAGGTTGACGGCTGTATCTCTCAGGGGGCCCACCGGCGCCATAGTCCAAGCCGTAGGGAGGCCATCGGGAGAGGGCTTTGCGGCGGCGGGCTGGTGGTTGATCTTCGAGAAGAGAACCGAAATCTGGCGCTCGATCTTTTGGCGACCTTATCTCATCGTGTAGAACATAAGGATCCCATATCTCGAGCTCCTCTTCAGGGTCCTCCTGGCCCACCACCCGCACAGGGACCGGATACTCGGGACCAGTTTGATACCGCGGAAAGACCTTGGGCGTATCTTTCCCCGGGGATCTTAGAAACAATATCGGTGAAGCAAATGAGTCAAAGTACCGCTCAAGGTTGGCAAAAAATCTCTCGCGGGCTTCCAACAGCGGAACCAAGTCCTTCGGGACATGTCTTTTCCTACGACGGCTGACGGGAATGCTAGATGAAGTGCAGTACTCGTCTAGTGAAGTCCAGTCACAAACAGGCTCCAACGCAGCAACAGCATGTACGGAACGCGGTTCTGTAAGAGCTAACATGAGGGCAAGAGAGCCGCCAATGTGCGTGCCGATGATGCCTAGACGGGCTGGTTGGAGGTTCTCCAGGACCCAGTCGAATCCGGTTAGGGTGTCATGGACTGGGGTTGGGTAGTGGTAATAGAGACTTTCGGGTTCCTTTTCACCACGATGTATTTGTAATCGCGCGTGTAGTGGGAGTTGGTTCTCGTCGAATGGCATCTTCCCGAGACGGTAGTTGATTGTAACCACTGTTGAAGAGGTTATATCTGCCAGCGTCCGAGCGGAGATCGCGTCCCCTGAGCCGTCACTACTAGAAATAGTCTCAGGCCCATTATTCTGGGTCTGATCTTTGACATTCTGGCCGTGGAATAGAGGCCCTTGGGGAAGGTTGATAATCACATTTGCGGAGACCAGATTGGCTGGTTTTGGTTGAACCACGCTGCCACTTAATTAGCACATGCTGTTCTACACATTTCATATGCCCAGAGTAAGAACCTTAAGGATATATAACCATTACCCCCAACCGGTACATCGTAGATGCCATCGACGCTTGTGGACGCGGATCTCACGGGTACAGAAAGAGCGCAACGGCGAACTCCAAGAGTGCGGGGGATGCTCCGACTTGAAGCCAAAGAGATTCCACAGACATGCAATCGAGGCAACAAGATAAGCCTTGAAGGACCGAAGCGCTGCATATCACCGTATTGTCATCGTGTTTGAGTTTGTTTGAGGACGCAGGGGCAAAACGCGGAAGATATGGCTACGACGCTAAACCGCTTCTGTACTTCGCAGCCACAGCTCTCAGGCAGCAGTGCCCTAGGTATTATAATAACTAGCCAATAGCGTTGCTTATAGTAAACCTCTGGATTGTTTATGTGTAGCAAGCAGTAAGTTATAAAAAAATCTTAACTATCACGTGCTGCGCTAGTTTTAATTAAAATAAACATGTTTTAGGCGCTAGCCCTCCGGGCGTTTAATATATTTTTTAACTAAGTAATACATGGCTATATTATAAAGCTATATACATGTTTTAAATAAAAAATATTACTAAAAATAAAAATAATAAAACTTTTATATTTTTAATTTACTAATTAAAGTGCTTTTTTAAAACTTATTATATTTTAAAAGGTGGTAAACTTAGTTACTTCTAGTAGTTTAATTATTTTATTTATAAGGTTTTTTTTTTAGCACGTGGTAAAACTCTATAAAATATTATTTATAAATATTTTATATAAAAAAGTATTTATTAGCTAACTAGCGTGTAGTAACTAAAATTTTTTAACTAGTAATATTAATAATAGCACTAGTATTATTAAAGTATATTATAATTAGCTTATTATTTTATACTTTAAGTGCCTTAACAAGCTTTTTTATAAATAAGGCTATTTTAATAGCCCTGTTAAATACTAAAAATTTTATTATAATAAATAAAGGCGTTATAACCACTTATTTTTTTAAACTTTATATAATAAAAAACTTATAAAAATATATAATAAAGCCCTTGGTAAACTTTTTATTAAAATAATTTTAATAAAACATGTTAAAATAAATAATTATTTTTTTATATAAGTTTTAATAAGTACTAAATTACTTTAATTAGCTATAATATAGTAAAACACGTGCTTAGCAGCTATTATATTATTAATAATTAAAATTTTTTATTAATATTATAAAAATTAAATTAGGTATACAAGGTTAACACGGGTTTTCCTAAGCTAGCTAAAAAATTTAATTAATTAAGTAAAAGTATAAGCACTAAAGGTGTTAAAAACTAAAGGTATATTAAAATTTATAATATTTAATTAATTAACTTTTTATATAATTTTAATATACCCTTTTATTATTAGTGTTTTTACTAGCCTAGCCTTGGTAAGGTTAAAATGCTAAGCTATTTATTTTATATATATAGCTTAAAAAAAGTAAATTATCCTATTTTTATAATCACGGGATATTATTAATTTAAGAAATTTAATTAGCTTATTACTAACTTTAAATTTATAAATTTTTTATAAAAGGCTAATAATATTATTTATATTAGCCTTTATTTTACTAGTAATAATATTATTATTTATATAAGTAATAATTAGCGCGTAAGGTAACTTTTAAATATATATATAAGGTTTTTTAATAAGTAGCTTAAAGCCCTTAGCATGTAGTAATTAATTAAATTCCTAGTTTTATAAATATATAAAGTTATAAAGGCTAAATAAGGCTTTTTATATTTTATATATAAGGTTATTACTAATCCCGTGGCCGCGTGGCTATTATATATAAATTTTTTAATTAGCTATTTTTATATTAAAATAAGTATTAATAATATTAAATTAGCCTTAGCTAAGCCTTTAAATAGCTATAGCTATTAATATATATTTAATTATTATATTAACTATAACTAAATAAAAGCTCTTATTATAATTTAATTTAATAACTTAGTGGTTATTACACGCGATAATCCAAGCCTTAAATAATAAAATAAAGCTATTTTTATTACTTTTAAGCGTAAATACCTACTTACTAGGAATAATTTTAGCCCCTTTTAACTATTTAATAAGCTTCCACGTGTTTATAGCAACTACCATACTAATATAAATTAATATAGCTTTTTTTTATTAATTAAAAAAATTAAATTGCCGCGCTTTTTTATAAGATTTTAATATTTTAATATTATTAATATATAATTTAGCTTTAGCTAATATCTAGAACCTTCCGGTAAGTAAATACTAAACTATTTTATTAAGTATTTTAATAACTCTAGTGTTAGCGCGCTTGGTTACTTTAATTAATAAATTATAATTAATATAGGGTTTAGGGCGTTTAGTTAATAAGATAATTATTATATTAAAAATATTAATATTTATATTTATTTTATGTAGGGTGGCCTTTATTATTAAAACCTTTAATTAATTAGGGAATTAGCCTGGTATCTTATAATTTAATACCCTTAAATCTTAATTAATTAAAGTATCTAGTACTATATTAGTATCCATGTTAAATATATATAGCTTAAAGTAATTTACCTTAAAAATTTATTTACATGTATTTTAAATATTATTTAGTGCTAATTTTAGTAAATTAAGATTATTTTTAAGCTTTTAAGGGCGCGGAGCAAGTGGGGCTTAGGTTATTAAAAAAAGTAATATAATTTATATTTAAAATTAATTAATAAGATTTATTAATAGTGGTATATAAGCCAGTGTTATTATAATATTAATATTTTTTATTAAAAATTAAGGTAGTGTTACTAAATTAAGGTTATTATAATAATTTAATAAGGTTAGGCTTGGCGCGTTAGTACCATTATTATTATTATTAATTAATTACCTTAGTAAGATTTTTATATTTTTAGTATATAAGTATTATATTAGTGCTAGAATAAAATTAACCTAGTATTTTAATATTAGTAAGGTAAGTAACTTTAATTTAATATTACTATGTGGTATTAAAGTTAGTTAGTATTATAAAATTAAAAATATAATTTAAATTTAGCTAATAATTAGTATTTTAGGCGCCTGGATTATTAAAATTAACTTAGGAATAAATATATTATTAAGTTTAGTATTATATATAGTAGCCCCCGGTATTAATTTATTAGGTTAAGGCAGGGCACCCTTTATAAATATAGTATTAAGTAAGTAATTATTTTTATAAAACTTTAATTTATTAAATAAAATATACTTTAAGTAATAAACCTGCTTCCCTAGGACCTATACTTAAAAAATTTTATTATTATTTTTTTTATATTTAATTAAATAATTAATTAAAGCTTTTATAGCAAGCTTATAAGATTATTTATAGTTTTTAATTAATATATAAATATATAATTTATAGCTATAAGCACGGAAGTTATTAAAGCAGGGTATTAAGTTATTAATTTAGTAATATTTATGCCATAGCTATAAGGGTAACTTACTATAAGAATTTTTAATAATAAATAGTTAATTTAAGGTTATAATAACGGCCTTAATTATCTTAAGCCATATTTTTTTTAGTAAACTAGTATTAATTTTTATGGCTTGGGCTATTATATTAATATACTAGGTATAATATTTTAAAATTTTATTAAATTTTAAAGTTTTTAGTAAAAAAGGTTAAAATATTAAATTTTTTAGCTTAGCCTAGGTTTTATACTTAAGAAACTTCTTACTATTATTTATTTTAATAGCATAGATATATTATCCCGTGAGGCGCTTGTGGTATTTTTAGTATAATATTAGTTATTAAAATACTTTTTTTTTTTTAATATAGTATACCGTGGCTAATTAGGTGGTGTTATTAATAATTATAAGATAGTAGTTAAATTTACTAATTTTAGTTAATTAAATAGGTTATATATTTATATGCTATAGTTTTCCTGGATTTACTTTTTATAAAACAGGCTAGAATAATATTTTATAAAATTTAGCCTTAAAGTAAGTAAAGTAGTTTAATTAATTAGTAATATTTATATTAAGGCCTTTTACCTAGGCTATAATATAAAGTCTAGGGATGCCCGCGTGGCTAAGGCGCTTATAAAGTAGATTTATATTAATTATAGCTAATTAAAAATATTATTTAAATATAAATTTTAAAAAAAAAATACCATGGTGTGTGTAAGCTTGCCCTATAATAAATTTATTTAAACTAATAAAAGTATTATTTTTTTTATAATACTATATGCTAAGTATTTTTTTTAGCTTTTTAATAAATAATAGGTAAATTAAAGCCTTAGGCGCGTGATATTTATAAATCCTAATTTTTTTATATATATTATTTATACTTTTTATAATAATAATTAATATTTTATAACCTTTAACACGCTTAATTACTTTACTAAATATTTTATATAAGTACCCCAAGCAGTTTAGGCTATATTTTATATAGTTTTTAAAGTTAAAGCGCTTAAAAAAATAAACTTAGCTAATTTTATATTTATAAGCTATTTTATTAATTTAGTAGTTATAGTAAAAGTAGGTATAACCAAAAATTTAAAACTAATTTTAGGCTTTAATTTATTATATTTAAAGTTATAATTATTAAATTTATTATTATTATATAAAGCTATAGCTTGTGGCTTTACACTAGTCTTATTTAAATATAGTGCTTATACTTTAAAAAGCTTAACTTAGTTATTAAGTTAAAGTTAAGGGTTTAAATAATAATAGTTTTTTTAAAAGTGGCCGCCATGTTTATAATATTTATAAAAATAAATCTTATTATCCCCTTACTTTATTTAATTAGCCTATTTTTTTTTATTTATATTATTTAAAGGGCTAATAAGCGCTTTAGTATAAGGTTTTTTATAATAAACCTATTTTTTTTACTTTTTTAAGGGCGGGGCCGCGGTAGTAAGTAGGATAATTATTTTAGCTTTAGCTATAATATTTTTATATAGTTATTTTAGGTTATTCTTGCTATAATTTTTTAAAATTTTATTAATTAAAAATAATTATTAAAGTATAGCCCATGTTTTAAGGTTATTATAAATTTTTTAAAAAACTAATAGCATGGTAATACTAAATTTAATAATAATATATAGGTTTTTAATAATATCCCACGTGGTTATAAATATTATAATAAACTTAAAAATAATAAAAAACTAGTTTTTATATATATTAATAATATTAAGTGCTACCTTGGTAATTTAAAGTATGCCTTATTTAATAATAATTTAATAAATTATATTAAATATTTTATTAGTATATTTTATTAAATATAA